AAAAATCTTACGCCTCAAAAAATGCTCCTTAATAATTAAAAAGTGTATACAAAATTTCTTAAAAATAACTGGAGTAATAAGAAAATTACGATAAAAAAGTTATTTTTTTTCCTAAAATTTTAGCACCCTGTAGCTCGAAAACTAAGAGGTTTAGGACATACATTGATATAAACTTTTCTTCTTAAAATCATCCAAATATTCACATCCTGAAGTATCGACATGCAATTAATTAACACCCTATATACACTCTAAATTTATTTACACTTGATAATATTCGTGTAAACAAGCAGGGGAATAGTATTAATTTTACCTACCGCATTGCCCTGTTAAATGATACATTTCACCCTATTTTTAGCCTCGACCGAATAAAAAAATATATAGTTGATATCGATGTCGAGGAAATCGATTGTTAATTGGCTTTTAAAACGCTAGTTTTGATCGTTTGTCGTTTAGCATTTCGACACGTTCGCCCGGAAAATGTACATCATTTTGTGCGTATGTGCATGCGTGTGGGCCCCGGGAAAATATATTAACGTAAATAATGGCGAGTTTAACGATTCCGCACGGAACGAAATAGAAAAGCGCTCGAAACGGGCATTTTTACGCGCTAAAAAGCGCTATAAATATTATAATAGCTACTACGAAGTGTTAATAACAACATCAAAAAGGCCCCTTCGACCGACAAGTAGGGGCCCAACATGGCGGCAAATTGAAATTATGACATATGTCAAATTGTGACATACGTCAAACTATAATATATGTCAAATTTTTACGTTATTTATTGTCATTTAGAAGTTATTAAGGATCAAGTCTAGGAAGTTGAACCATTTAGAGGAGATTATTTGGAACAGTTCAAGCCGAATTCGAAAAGTCCAGAACCATTTAGAATGATTTCAAAACTATTTAGAACTTTTTTATATAAGTACCTTACCTTCCAGAAGTTTTTTTAAATTTTTGCTTCAAAATTTACTAATATTCGAATTAAATCAACTAATTTACGTTCATTTAGAATCATTTTACTGTCTTAAAACCATTTAGAACTGATCAAAATTATTTATAGAGCGAATTATTTGAAATTGTCCAGACCAAATTCGAAAAAAAAGTCCAAAACCATTTAAAACGCTTTGAAGACTATTTAAAACTTTTTTATATAGAGCCTTAAATAACCTTCTAGAAGATTATTTAAAATTTTTGCTTCAAAATTTACTAATATTCTAATAAAATCAACTAATTTACTGTCATTTATAATCATTTTACTACCTTAGAACCATTTAGAACTGACCAAAATCATTTATAGAGCGAATTATTTGAAATTGTCCAGGCCAAATTCGAAAAAAGTCCAAAACCATTTAAAACGCTTCGAAGACTATTTAGAACTCTTAAGTCATACGTCAAACTGTCAAACTACAACATACGTCAAACATCACAATATGCGAGTAATGTGTCAAATGTTGACATACGTCAAAGTAGACAATTATAAACAAACGCAGTATGCAAAACATACAAAATTAAAATTCCCCCAGCACGCTCTGTTATTACTTTATTACTATGTATGTACCTGTTTGGTGTATTCCCCGTTGGGAAAGGGAAACGCAGCGTTCGATTTTAAATCCAATTTGGAATTGTGATTGAGCTTTTCTTCTCTCCCCCCCGGCGCCCCCAACGCGACCGACTTGACCGGAAAATTGTTTGTGACAGAACCTTAATTAGATCGAAAATATCTCCTGGGCTCGGCGCGACCGCCATTATTAATATAACTTTGCGAGGTTTTCGATCGCGGAGAGCTGTTGTTAATTAAATGCTTGATTAGAAAAAAAATGTATCGCTTAGTTAATTATGTTTTTATAAATGCGTTGGTGTAGATTAAAAAGGCAATATTTGATGTATGCCGAAGGGATCGATCGCGCGTTTTATTCTGATTATGTTATTTTTTATAATGGTTGATTGAAGTCGGGCGAAGGAAAGCTATCAAGTTAGGACGGGGAAAATTCTTTGGAAATTCAATCGTTTTCGAATAACGAATAAATCCCGGTCGAATTGCCGTCGGAGAAAAGAAAATTGTAATTGGAGTTTATTACGGCAGAAATGCCTTCTTTCTTTTTTTCTTTCTTTTCTTATTTTTCCATCGCCGGGATCGAAATTGGCGTTTTTTTCGGCACTTCATAGGGCCGTTTTCGCGTCACGAAATTTATATAACCGAATGGAAAAACGACCCTATTAGCGAATATCAATCGCTTTCCACGCTTTTCCCCATGAAAATGCCAACAAACGAAAAGGGAAATTCCCAAATAATTCAACCTTCGACAATTAGATACGAATCAAAAAAGAAAGTATCCAATAAGTAAGTTGAAAGTATTTTAAATTGGTCTTAAATAAGAATTATAATTTATCAATTATTTGTGAGATATAAGTGAGATAATTTGGAGAAAAAAATTGATAAGAGAAATATTAATTGTTTTATACAACCATCTGCACATCATTTAGTAATTTATACAGGGTGTCCCAATAAAAAGTAGTCCCTTTTTAAAATGATTTTTAAATGCCTAATCATAAAAACATGCGGTTTTCTCAAATATACTTTATTTTATTATATGTTTTGTTACAGTGATACAGAAATTATGTATTAACAATACAGGGTGTTTTATCAAAACCTCCTCTTTTAAATTCACAGTAACCAAATTAATTTAAATGGAACATCCCGTATATACAAATGTATTTTAAAAGATATACTTTTCTACTTTTCAATTTATTTGTAGATGTTATTCTACAAAAGAAGACGTCCTATTTCATAAAATTTAGTTATTGTGAATTTAAAAGAGGGGTTTTTTATGAAATAAAAAATAAAGCAAAATAAAATAAACCTGTCAAAACCGCATGTTTTTATCATTAGACGTTTAAAAACTATTAGCTCACTAAAGGGGCTACTTTTCATCGGGACACCCTGTATTTTCAAAATTTTCCTTTTTAAAAAATTAAATAACTGTTTTATTATTCTGAAATATGCATACACAACACACACATATCTAATTCTAATTCTTTAAACAAACATCCAATCAGTCAGGATGTCATTTACGCCGGTGACTTTATAGTTTATAACATTAAATTCGTTGCATTGCAGATGCAATTAACTAAACTAACCGATTCAGGAAGACCGTAAAACGTCCGTCAAACGACGTAAAACCAGTAAAAACAGGTAAGTTAGCGACTAATTCCGTGGAAAAGAAAAATTATCGTACGGCTAAATTTATCGATCGTATTTCAATAATTTAATGCGCCCCGTCTCAATTAAACCTCGAGACGTGTAGCGTTTAATTTTAATACCGAGCGTTCGAACCTTCGGAGGATAAATAACAATACAATGGGTATTAAATCCGCGGGGCGTTCGGACAATGTTTGGGCTTTGTTTATGGACATTTTTCGTTAGTTAGATAATATTGGATTATTCAAATCACTCGTTCTATGCGGAGATAAAGGGGATAAAATTAATTTTAGACATCCTGTAACTAATTTAATGCGACACATGCGACTCTTGTAAAGACCTTAAAAATCCATCATCGACTATTCAACTCTGTGTTTACATTCTCTACACCCTAAAAAGGTGAATAAGTAGCAAGAAAAAAACTTCAAGTTTATTATATACCGCGCCACGGATTATATTACACATGGGGTTGGATTATTATATAGAGGAAACGATGTGCACACAAATTCCGAAAAGAATAACAAACTAAATTCATTTATCCAGCACATGTAACATAAATTATGACTTAAGTAATTTACTTAGGTCAAAATATATTCTATTTCAGTGAGAACTTAAGTTCGAAATTGGGTAAAATATGTATGTGTTCAATTTAAATATATTCCTGAGTCAAAATTAGGTTATGCAGATAGAGCAGGTAACATAAATTATGACTTAAAGTTAGAACATAAATTCAAATAAGATTAACCTAAACTTAACCCCGCTTTCCCTGCCCTAATTACCTACAAATTCCACATATTTACTTCAAATGTACTCCACTTGAATTACGAAAAAACATACTCAAGTCATTTGTACTTAATGTAAATTAATCCACTCAAGTAATATTCGTTAAAAACGAAAAGAAAAACAAACTATACAAATTCATAATTCATCCAGCACTAATTTACTAAGCAGATGAATGCAACATAAGTCACTTACATAAGCAACATAAGATTACTTAAGTCATATCACTTATACTTAACCCGAAATTACCAGCCTTAATTACTTACAAATTCCACATAAATACACCTACAACTCAACCATTTATACTACACTTATGTTCAAGTATACTTAAGTAATTTGTACTTAGGTAAGTAAATTCATCTGCTTAAGGCAAATTCGTACTTAAAGTAAATAAATCCACTTAAGTCTTATTCGTTAGTTACGGAGCACACAAATTCCGAAAAGAGCAACAAACTATACAAATTATTTCAACCAGTAGTAATTTAGTAAGCAGATGAATGTTGCAGATAATTTTGCAGATCTGCAGATTACTTCTGCAGATTATTTAAGTCATATTACTTATACTTAACCCGAAATTACCAACTTTCATTACTTACAAATTCCACATAATTACACCTATACAACTCGACCACTACACTCATGTTCAAACATACTTAAGTCATTTGTGCTTAGGTAAGTATATTCATCTGCTTGAGTCAAATTAATACTTAGGTAAGTAAATTCATCTGCTTAAGTCAAATTAGTACTTAGGTAAGTAAATTCATCTGCTTAGGTCAAATTGGTACTTAGGTAAGTAAATTCATCTGCTTAAGTCAAATTAGTACTTAGGTAAGTAAATTCATCTGCTTAAGTCAAATTAGTACTTAGGTAAGTAAATTCATCTGCTTAAGTCAAATTAGTACTTAGGTAAGTAAATTCATCTGCTTAAGTCAAATTAGCACTTAGGTAAGTAAAGTCATCTGCTTAAGTCAAATTAGTACTTAAGTAAAAAATTGAACAGGGTGATCGACTTACATTTTCTCGGCGTCCAAGGGTATGTTCCTGGGGACGGCGACGAGCCCGCGGCGGGAGCAATCGACGGTGGGGCCGGTGCAGGAGCAGCTGCGCGGGCATCGGGCGCCGCCGAACGACAGATGCGCCATCTCCTGCGCCGCGACGGCCGCCAGGAGCAGCGTCGCGACGAACGGGGCCTTCCTCATGGTCTTGGGGTCGCCTGCCGACGGGCGGTGGTTGTTCTGTATCGGTCGTCTGGGGGGCGGGGGGCGGTTAAATTCGGGGTACTGGAAGCTGTAGAATAGAAATATTTAGAGGTTATTTGTGGTGGGACGCCGCTGGGGGATGGTATTGAAAAGCGTTTGGGGGCGAAATTTGTTTGCATTCAGACTTTTATTATGTTGATTTTCTATGGAAACTCTAACGGGGAACATATGTAATGTTTATATTAGGGGTAGGAGATTGTGGCGCTTTTTTCCGTTGCAATGAAAAGCGCTTTTCAATATCGAATATATAATCTTACTTATTTATTTATAGACTTTATTTTTTTGGGAATTTCAAAGGTTATAGGCAACAAAAGTGGGTTTGTCGCTGGAAGATTTCGATTTCTATTAACTCGTTCCGGGGGCGTTTCGATACAAAAGGGAACATCAGAAGCGGGATGAATGACATGTTCGAAAGGGAAAATGAAAATATTGGAATTGCGTTCGGAACTTCGCATTGTCAACAAAGAGCTTTTATCGCGAGACGCGTTTTCTCAATAAAAAAGTCGACTTTGCAAATATGCCGTTTGCGTGAATAAAGAAATATAGCGATGGAACTTCGCGAGTGCCGAAGGAGACGGGGAAAAATAAAGGGGGAATATTAAAAATTCGAGATCGGGGACAAATGTAGGGTAAAACGAGTTTGAATTTTATACTATGCCTATTCGATATTTTTTATTTCAATAATGCATTATCTCATGAATTATAAATACTGTTATTCTGTCTTATATGTTGCGTACAATAGGCATATAATGAATTTATTATTGTACCGGTAATACCAGGTGGTTATGAATGAATAAATTTTTTAAGATGCTTAATTTCAGTTTTTCATTCAATAAGTATTTTATCAAATAGTATAAGTATTTATCCATTAGCACAAAAGAGTCAATAACCTACCCAAAGAGTCAATAATATACTCAATTATCTTGCTAAAGAGCCACTGTAGTACTCGAATGAGTACCTGCATTTTTCTTAAGAAAATCAATCATTTACTTAAAGAGAATCAATTATTTACTTAAGAAAACACTTGGAGCTATTATTGTATCGGTGGTTATGAATGAATTAATTTTTTGTGATGCTTAATTTCAGTTTTTCATTCATTAAGTATTTTATCAAATAGTATAAGTATTTATCCATTAGCACAAAAGAATCAATAACCTACCCAAAGAGTCAATAATATACTCAATTATATTTCTAAAGAGCCATTGTAGTACTCGAATGAGTACCTACATTTTCTTGAAAAAATCATTTACTTAAAGCAAATTATTTAAAGAGAATCAATTATTTACTTAGAGCTACCAACAAACTTAATTGTTAGAAAATCTCCAATAATTTAAAAAACACCCTGCATCGCATTTTGAAAAGGTGTAGCAGAATGTTTGGGAAATCTCTTTGTAAACAGAAATTCGAATCGTGGAAAATACGAAGAGGGATTTTTATTTAGAATATTTTTCAAGCGCCCAAAGTCCCTTATTCCACTCCAGATTATACGAAAAATATACAATACCTTTATGTATTATTCAAAAATATCATTTCAAAATTACCGAAGCACTTCACAACAAAAAAAAACCAACCATACGAAGAAAAAATCGCGATATTTACCACCGCACTCGCAGCGCAAAAAAAACCCGAAACGATCGTTCGGCCTATCGAATAAAAAAAAAACCCGCGCGATTATTCCCGGAAAAATCGAGCGTCGTGAGTAGAATGGAACAACAAACAACCAGCGACCATCGCCGACGCAGCCGCGACATCAACTGACGAAAGCGCTGCCTGAAACCGAAACGCCGAAACCAGAAACCGGCGGCTGAAAAAGCCGGAGCTCCGAAGAGGTTTCGGCCCCGGCGCAGGACCAGCCCGGCCCGTCCTCTTCTCGGCCATTCGTCCGCGTTTTGAAACTGATAATTATGCTGTCGTAAATTAGGCCGGAATTGTTTCGCGTTTTTTTTTGGGAATCCCCGGTGTGTGTTTTTTTTTGCATGTTGCGTACGAGGGAAGTGTCTGAAGAAGAAGACTGAAGAGGACGAAACTTTAGAGTGTTGTTGGTTGTTTGGTGAGTGCGCGAGAGATAATTTAATGTGACTCTTTATATTAGAAAAAAAAAACTAAAAGAAGACATCGAGGGGCTCGTTACAGTTTAGTAAATTAGGAATCGACAAGAATTACCTGGGACTAGATTGCAATTAAAAAATTATTGTGGTAGATGAGAGGTTTATAAGAGTTCTTTTTGAGTGAACGGAAGAAAAATATACAAAAATAGATTGATTAATTTGTATTTATAATACTGTTTTCTCCCTACTTTTACGGAGAATTTTGTGTAATTTAGGAAGAAAATGTTGGGAGAAAATTACCATTTTCTCACTACTTTTACGTACGAGAGAAGACTATGAAGAAGAAGACTGAATAGGATAAAACTTCTTGTTTGTTCAGTGCGCGAGAGATAATATGTTCATTTATGTATATTAGAAAAAAAAACTAAAAGAAGATAAAGGGATTCGTTGCAGTTTAGTAAATTAGGAATCGACAAGGATTTGCTTTGACTTATAGATTGCAATAAAAAATTATTGTGTTAGATGAAGGGTTTCTAAGAGTCCTCTTTGAGTGAACTATTATTAGGATGAAAAATATACAAGAAGTAATAGTTTGATAAATTTGTATTTATAATACTGTTTTCTCCCTACTTTTACGGAGAATTTTGTATAATTTAGGGAAAAAATGTTGGGAGAAAATTACCATTTTCTCACTACTTTTACTTACGAGAGAAGACTCTGAAGAAGAAGATTGAAGAGGACGAAACTTCAGAGTCTTGCTTGTTGTTTGGTCAGTGCGCGAGAAATAATTTAATGTGCCTCTTTATATTAGAAAAAAAAAACTAAAAGAAGACATCAAGGGATTCGTTAAAGTTTAGTAAATTAGGATTCAACAAGAATTACCGGTGGTTTATAAGAGTCCTTTATAAGGAGTTTATAAGGGGTCCTTTTTGAACTATTATTAGGATGAAAAAATTACAAGAAGAAATAGTTTGATTAATTTGTGTTTATTACTGTTTTCTCCGTACTTTTACGGAGAATTTTGTATAATTTAGAGAGAAAATGTTGGGAGAAAAATCACAATTTTCTCACTACTTTTACGTACGAGAGAAGACTATGAAGAAGAAGACTGAAGAGGACTAAACTTCAGAGTCTTGTTTGTTGTTTGGTCAGTGCGCGAGAAATAATTTAATGTGCTTCTTTATATAATAAAAAAAAAAAGAAGACATCGAAGAATTCGTTACATTTTAGTAAATTAGGAATCGACAAAAATTACCTGGGGCTCAATTCTCGACTTCACGTGAAAAGATTCACATGTGAAATAATTCCACTACATTTATTCACGTGCTTGTCTGACACAGTATTCTTCGTTATAATGGAATATATTTTCACATGGAAACACTCTTGATACATACGTCTAAGATTAACTAGATATTTAGCCAATCACATTTCACCATTTTAAATTTGTTATGTTGACACTCCTGACAAAGCGACAGCATTGACAGCAAACTTGCCATGTCTTATTTTAATTTTGTTTTATCTTCATGTTTTGTTACAATATACGAGAACTATATGAAGTTCAAAAGCAATTATTAATTAATGGTGACTCTAAGAGGCCTTCAAGTTCTCGAAGAAAATTTGATATTACTTCTTTGCCTGAATAACACTATAAATTGTTTACCGCTGTATTTACTTATTTATTTTTACATACACTGTATTTATTATTATTAATTAATATTAATATTTAATACTGTTTTCTCCCTACTTTTACGGAGAATTTTGTATAATTTAGAGAGAAAATGTTGGGAGAAAAGTCACAATTTTCTCCCTACTTTTACATAGCTATAGTTCAGAAAAAGTTATATTCAAAATTAAGCACCGTTATTTCTTACCATTACCAACCATTTCCTCTTCCACTGTGAAAGATATTAAGAATAATTAAGCTAATTACTAATAAACAAATAATTACAAACATTCCTCAATTATTTGGTGTTCATAGTGCAAAGATAATTTACCAAATTAAAATTTAGAATTTCAAATATTTAACTAAGCGAGCAATACTCGAGTACTTATTAGATCTCTATAAATAATCGACATTACCAGACGCACTGATTGCACAGAACATACATAAACAAGAAGGGACATCGCCGTGAGAATTTCGTAGACGTTGTAGAGCGCACTCTGAGAGTAGTAGCTGTACTAAATTAATGGGTGTTGCCTAGTAAAAGGGGATATCATGTAGAACTCTACACTAAAATTAGTAATATAGGTTTTTTATTCGATTTTTTCTGACTTTTAATATTATCCAATTTCTTGTAGAACTTGTACAATTTGTTACATTATTATAAAATGTATAGAATTTTGATATAGATAGTAAAATAAATTGTACAAGTTTTACAAGAAATTGGATAATATAAAAAGTAACTACTCTCATAAAATAAGTAAACACAAACACTTCTACTTAAAAATATATTGAAAAAAATGTCAAAATTCATTAAATTTAAATAAAATCGCTAAATAAACAAATATTATGGCGGAACCAGAAAAATTCACTACGCGCTGTAAAAACAAGCAATAGAACAAAAGATTTAACTTTAACTTTACACAATTCATCACTAACAATTCACTAACACTACTATACACAAAACTTATACAACTTACAGGCAATAACAATGCCTTTGAAACTCACTCGAAAACAAACGAAATAAATGAAAAAAAATAACTTTTCGGTTTTAACTTCATCTTGCACTACAAGAGAAAATATGCAGAATCGATGCGAATCAATACAAGACGCCATTATTGTTTTTGAAATACGGCGTTGAGCGGGTTGCTTGCGCTGACCTGAAATAAACTACTGTTGGGCCATCTATCAATAGCGCCGAAACTAAATGAAAGTCTAAAATTTCTCATAAGGCTGTCTAGGCCCTGACTGATTGAATCAACAACCCCATCTGCGACTAACCCAAACACTATTCCACATTCCCAAAGCAGAAATCTGTATATTTAAACCACCATTAAACGAAGTTTCCTGTACTTACCATTACAAAATTAGAGGGAAAACTTTTAGGGAATTCACACCAAATTTCTCGCTCGTTTATTCGACCAAAACATCTACTCACATGCACAAACAAACAACCATCATCTCGAATCGCATATTTATTTTCATTATACTAATCGCTATGTTGTTGTTGATGTTGTCGATGTTGTTGCTTCGACGATACACCATTGGTATTCGCCATCATTTTGCTAACGGTGAATAATTCGATCGGCACGTCTCTCAAATATTCTTCGAAATTGTTTGTATTTTTTAAAACATCATCGCCATCTTCTCCGGACGAACGCCGGCTGTAATCGCTCGTCGAACGGATAGAAACTGAAAGAAAAATAATTAATAACTCGTTGTTTTTTTTTGAAGAATTTTAATACCTTTATCAGCACTTTTGGCGATTGCTGCATCTGCACTGGCTGTAGCATTTTTAGCTGTCGACCAATTCAATACATTACCGATCCTTTCGTCTATTTCTCTATTTTCCACATCTTCGTTATCGCTCAAATTAACCTCAGCATGTCCATTAGCAACAGCAACATTGTGATTGGGTAAATCTGCTTAGAAAGATGAACAAACTGAAGAGTTTAGAGCACTTATATCGAATTTGTGAATCACCTTGGAACATCCTGGTGAGCGGCACAATGACGGTTTGTTCCCGGAGACCGTTCGTGGTCGGTTCGTACACGTGATGCCCGAATTGTTCCATTGTACTGTTGCCCAATCTCCCTCCGGCGAATTCCATGATGCCTATTTGGGTGGTGCGCACGTGATAGGGGAAATTCTTGTTCGCCACCGATGGCATCGTTAATATCTTCAAAAAATATATACAAAAATCACTATCAGTCTTAGTCTTACAAGTCTTAGTAGAAGAGGAACTAGATGTTTTAACTTTATGAGGTAGAAAGTAGAAATGGAGAAGAGAATGGGGTAAAAGGAAACTTAGTTGAAGAGGAACTAGATATTTTAAATTGATGAGGTAGAAGTAGAGCTGAGGAAGAGGATAAAGTAGATCTTGATGAGGTAAAAAGAGACTTAGTTGAAGGGGACTAGATATTTCAACTTGATCAGGTAGAAGTGAAGATGATAAAGAAGTTAATGTAGACCTTGTTGAGGTAAAAGGATTTTAAGTTGAAGAGTTACTAATATTTTAGCATGATGAGGTAGAAGTGCTGGAGATAATGAAGGAGTTTATGTAGATCTTGCTGAGATTAAAGGAGACTTAGTTGAAGGGGAACTAGATATTTTAACTTTATCAGGTAGAAAGTAGAGATGAGGAAGACGATGAAGTAGATCTTAATGAGGCAAAAGAAGTCTTATTTGAAGAGTAACTAATATTTTAGCATGATGAGGTAGAAGTGAATACGATGAAGAAGTTGATGTAGATCTTGCCGAGGTAAAAGGTGTCTTAGTTGAAGAGTAACTAATATTTTAGCATGATGAGGTAGAAGTGGAGATTATAAAGAGGTTGATATAGATCTTTGTAAGGTAAAAGTAATCTTAGTTGAAAAGTACTAGAGCAAACTATGCTCTACAATACTTCTACCTTCAAATAACTTGAACCTTCTGATAGTTAAAACGTGATCTAGAAACGGTTCTTTGCTCATCTCTTCTTGTCCTGCAATTTACTTTTGTTGGGTTTGGATAGGGTTCTGGATCTTCTAGGGATCCGGATTCGGGATAAAGGAGCTTACCAAAAACATTAAATGACCACCGAAGGTAATAAAAAGCAATACAGCAAACACCACCGATTCTCTAACCCATTTGTCAATGTAAGTATTCGCTGATAGAATGAAAGCGGGACCAGCAACAAACCACAACGTGCCGAATATATTGAAGGGGTAATAGAAGTTTCCCTGTAAAATAACCAACCAGTATTTTATAGTTTTTAAGCAGTGTATATACTATACTTTTTCCGGATAGCGTTTTAAAGTAAAAATCGTAGAGTAAATAAACATGCACCAAGCTAGGATCCTTAAAGTTATCAAACCATATCCAGCAGGAGATTCGTACAAATAGAGCACCTCTCCAGGATCGAACACCTGCGAATTAAATTGATGAATTCATTGTATAATAAATAGGAGATTAACAGTTTTACTCACATTAGCTTCGTAGATAAAAAGTGCCGCGTAAGTGACGGCGTACAAGCACATAAAAACCGTTAATTTTATGCTAGCAGGTAAAGGCAACCGTCCCCTTGTTATCGTATAACCCTTCGCTAATAACAATAACAACAAAACGAAACTGGTCTCCGACGTACCCATTAATATCTGCCCTAAGTGAGAATATCAAAAAAATATCTCGGCGGATGATGAAAAAATTCACTACATACCAAATCGCCTTACTTTCGCCGCCAAAAATCCGCTAACGGCCAATTTCAAATAGCAACTGCTCACGAACAAAACGCCGAATAATTGCACGATGACCGAGTACACGAATATTTTGTAGGTGGTGTGCAACAGTTGCCTCGATTTCAATTCGATCGTGCAAACGACGATTCCCAACAGCAGAAACGAGTAGGATACCGTGAAAGCCATCAGCACCGGCAAAATATCTGTACCAAAAGAATATTCACATATTTAAAAACGACAATGGAGATGCCTAAACTGCTGCCAAAAACCCAAAAACATGAAAAAGTTATTCCTTTGGTAGATAAAGAGGTTCAAAATCGACCAATCCCAATTTCCTTTTCACTTACAAGGTTAACAAAGTTGCCCAAATCAGCTGCGACTATTGATCAAAGATTTTCTGTAAAATTGATCAAAAATTGGATCATTCTGAAGCTTCTGAATGATCGATTTAGAAGCAAATCTTTGATCAATAGTTACAGCTGATTTTGGCAGCTTTTATTAACCTTATAAGTGAAAAAGACATAGAATCTTTCAATAATGCCAAATTGGTGTATAGCTAATTCACGCCATTTTCGTGGATTTCAACTCCTACTGGGATTGGTCGATTTTGAACCTCTTTATTTACCAAAAGAAAAACTCTTTCCTGCCTTCGACTGCAATTTTGGCATCTCCTTTGTCGGTCCCATAAGGCCTTTCCCGGTGGAGCGTGAGTTCTGGACCACCCTGTATAATAATGGGAATGAAAACTTACAAAATTCATCAGCTGATAAATGCTCGTGCCAGTAATCCCCTGGCGGTCCGTTGGTCATTAGAATTTTGTACTTAATACTAATCCCCTGGAAAAAAAACAATCATTACAGCAAATTTTCCACGATTTGTTCAAAATCTCACCTTAGTGCCCCTGCAATTGCTAACTGCAATAAACCACCATCTTTCCCTGGACGATCTGAACCTCCTGGCGTTGTGGCAAGTCACAGTTCTTCCTTGACGAGTGGTGAATCTTTCTTTGTTGAAAGTAGATCGTTTGGACAATTCCTTCGCATCCGATCCGATCGTCTGGAATGTTAGTAATCAAATTTGGTGATTTCTAAAAAAATGTAGCTGCTTACAGTTTCTATCGAGGCGTCTGTAGTTTCGTAATCCAACGTAGTACTTTCGGTACTAGAAGAATAGGAATCTGATGGGCTTGTGTTGTACATTTCTGTTGTGAATTGAGTGGTGGATGGTTCGTAGAAATAAGTAGAAATAGTACTTGTAGATTTGTTAGTTTTGGGTACCGGCGGTAGAGTAGGTACTATTAGAGTGTATGAGCGTGATGTGGTGATGGTTTGAACGAAATTACATCCGGACAATTCTCTATACGGTTGAATTCGAGCGGTTAAATTGACGATTTGGTTTTGCCTGACGTTCAACACCGATTCTCTTTCATCGCAAGTCTGCAATAAAATGGAGTTAGAATGTAAGATTGGTGGTATTTTCGTTGCGAACCTTGTTTGTTTTGTATACGGCCGGCCATTGATCGTCCGTATCGTAATAAAGCAGTAGATTCGGATCGCCTTGGTCCTCGTCGAAGTCGATTTGGTACTCGAATTGCCCGTCTTCGGATAGGAAACAAAATCGCGCCAAAAACGCCCAATTCTGTATGAATAATTTAATAAAAAAAACCCAACGTAAATGCACGAATAAATCAATTTTTTTGCAATTCGCAATACTTACCTCGTTCGTTCTTAATTCACCTTCTATGTATTTGCTTTCGACGCGAACAATTAACGCGGAAATTAACAGAAATTTGAACATAATATAAAAAGAAATGCGGAATGTTGTGGGGAAAATTTAACCGATTCGCACGGGTTTATTGATATTCATCGCGTCGCTTTGGAAACTAATAGTGTGTGTGGGTATACAAACAATTTGTTCCCTCGAAATTTTGGCGATGAATGTTCGATTATCGAATAAAAATAGGCGGTAAAGATATTAATCTTAAATTCGATAATTTATTTTGTTCCAGTCTTTATCAAGAACAATAGTGGATAAAGTAATGATAAAATAGATATTTGGAGGTGTTTCTATGTAATTATATTCACGGGGAAAAGTTAATTATTTTGAATATTTGAGCAATGTATTCACTTATAAAGCTGCGAGTGATATTTGCTGATGCGCTGATTGGAGATTATTATTTTTTTAAACTATACAATTTATCGTTTTGGATTGGAAAAAGTACCCAATAATTATCTCTCTAGAAAATTTCATCTTTAGGTTCGAATTTGCAATAATTTGTTCTCCAAAATCTCCCAAAATTCTATTTATAAACTCCTCTAACTCCGTTTACTTTGAACATAAAAGTTCCTCGCTTCTTCAAAGTAGTGAATTTATTTATTCTAGTTCTGTACTAGTTTTAGTAGAAAGTTTCCATGATTACCAGTATAGAATATGTCATAATACAAATATGTAAACATATTTTGTCAAAAATTAGTCCTCCTCATATAACCCATTATGTCCACCGTGTCCAAATTCACAGTGTCCATTCGTGAACTCATTCGCAAAGTAAGTAAAAGATCTTATAATTAAAGTATACAAATTTAATTCACGAGAATTTTTTGAAGAAATTCAACTGGTTGTTGCCGAAAACATCCCCTGAAAGCAATCCAGCGAAAAATGCTGTAGAAGTGCGAGCAGAATCCGCTGATCTCTTTAAAACCCACGAAGAAGATGCCACAAAAAGGTATAAATTGTAGTTGTAATTCGAAAATTAAGCGATTTTCGAAAATTTTCGATTCTCCAAAAAATGTAGAGAAACGTTTTTTACACAAAATAAAACAAACAGCGCGTTTCTATCTCGCTAAATTACCGAGATAATCGCGATTTTTCATGCCCTTAATCCTTTTTTTGCTTTTTAAGCATCTAACATCTCGAGCTCGCGCAGCTCACAGGACCCAGCCTAACTAATATCTCTCTTTACTACTTCTTTAACTCTCACTATTATTAAATGAATTTAGTATAAAGATATACAGGGTGTTCTCGAACTTATGGTACTAAATTCTAGGGGTGGTAGATTGCATAATTTGAGATCGATTCGAAGATTTCATTTTTCTAAATGAATGATCATCTGACTATTCAGGCCAGGGTTGTATTCGCTTTTTGGCATTTATTTCGCCTTATTATTAATATCGAAATGAATTTTCAGCGAGGTAAAATTACCGAGAGATTCGAGTGCGGCTTATATTAAAAGCTATTTGAAAAATGTGAGCCAATACTCGCCGATTAGTAGGTAAAATTTTATCAAAAAATATTCGTAAAATCCCGTATTTTTAATTTTTTTTGTTTTAACAGACCGAAATCATCCCCGTTTGGAATTGAGAAGAAACATTTTTAATTAGTACGAGCAATAGATATTCAAATGTCGATGTAGAACGGAAAATATAACATCAAATTGCAATTTTGTATATTTGTTTAAAATATTTTCTGAAAGCGTTCTAAATAGTTCTGGACCAATGTAGTTTATCCTGGACCGTTTTAAATAGTCCTGAATCTGTTCTAAATGATTTTGGACCGTTCTAAATGTTTGTAAGATGGTCCTAAATAGTACTGGTCGGTTCAAAATGATTCCTGACAGTTCTAAACAGTTTTGAACTGTTCTAATTAGTCCTGAGAGCGTTCTGAACGGTTTAGGACTTTTCTAAGTTTATTCTGGACAGTGCCAAATACTCCTGAACCTGTTCTTGTCGGTTCTAGTCAATTGTAAAATGGTTCTAATTGATTCTGAATATTTCTGAATGGTTTTGAACAGTTCAAAATCTTCTCAATTCAGAAATTAAGTATTATAAAAAAAAATAGTTTCACTTACGAGTTTTCTTTATTAACTTAAATATAACTTTGATAGACTTTTAAAAAATACAATATTTCGGTTCGAATAGAATTAATTTAAATTAAATGTTGATAAAGATATAGGAATACCGCATTTGTAATTCCAAAAGCATAGAACTAACAAGCGTAAGTGACGCATTCAAAATTGCATAGAAATTCGAGTTTATCAAACAAATATTTCACTATTATTATTTAGATTTTTTGATATATTGGAAATTAGTACATGCTCGCTAATAGGAGTAGAATCGAGTAGAAACTGACTGTTTTTTTTTATATAAAAAGAATAATTTGTAGATTGAAATTCGTGCAAATATCGAATATTGTTCCAATAAAATTAACATCTTGTGCAAACGTTATCGTTACTTATACTTGTTAATTTGCGAAATGCCTCGATTTATTTCCACAAAAATAAAAAGTAATTGACAGTGAACTAGCAATTTAACAAAAAAAAATCAATCTTATTTATTATATACTCTCACTCAAGTTGCTAATTCACAATCAATCCGACTATATTATACTCTATTTAAAAACTAGGAGGAGCATATTGAAATGCCAGAATCACACCCAAAAAAGTTACTAGAACACCCTATCTTTTATTTATATAAAATTGAATGTAAACTCACCATAATTATATTAAAAGAAGGAATGAATTAACAAATCACCTAAACACTTTACATTTCTAAAACGTAACCTCAAAAAGGTGGTAAACAAGAATAATACAATTTTACACAGTGAACTCGATTTGTAATTAACCAATAAACAAACGCGAGTGTTGCCAACTTAAATTCAAATCGCTCCTAGTTTTTAAATACAGTATATACCCAAAATATTGGCAACGACGTCATCCAATCACAACGCTCTATTCCGACCAATAAGAACCCTCGCTCAGCGACGACGTCACCACCACTCGTCGACGCGAATCAACCGCCGTTCATGTGCTTTTCTAACCTAACTTTCAAACTCAACTTCTCCTCCTTCAACTCGGCCAATTCCTGGCTAAGTTCCTGGCATATCCTCAACAGCACGGCGTTCTCCTCCTGCAGCTGCCGGAACAACGTCCACTTGGCCTTCTCCTCGACGGACACCGGACTCGCGTCGCCCCTCGCCTGCGGCTTCCTGTACACCTCGAACGCCCCGTGCCGTCGCGGCGCCGCCGCCGCCTCCGCCTCCGCCTCCTGCTGTTGCGCCGGCGCCGCGAACCTAGCGAACAACTTCCTGCGCTCCGCCTCGTACACGTCCCCCCTAAAAATCCCCTCCGAAGTGTTCTCGTACATCTCGAAGCGATCGAAATCAGCGACGAACGGCTCGTCCTGCGCCTGCGCGTCCCCCTCCGACTTCTGATTGGTCAGCCGCTTCGAGCGCTGCACGTTCGGGCTGACGCGCGGCGGCACCGTCGGCGGCGCGCCCAACTTGCTCAGCCGGTTCAGGTCCAACGACGAGCTGCGACCGTGCGTCTTGAACGGCCGCGGCGGCGGCGGCGGCGGCGGCGGTTTCTCCTTCTTCGGCGGCGGAAACGCCGGCAGGCTGACCGGACCGTCTTCGACCAGTTGATTAACCGGAGGCGGTGGGGGTGGAATAGCGCCCGGTCCTGGCGCGTTGATTTTCTTCGGTTGCGGCCGCTGGATGGCGCTGTGCTGGGCGTCGGAGAACTTCTTCGGACTGTGTATTTCACCGTCCGGTTGGTCTTCGGATTGGTTGTTGGCGGCTTCCGGGGTGAGCCGTAGAGGTACCGGATGAAGTATCTTAGGGTCTTTGTCTAAGGTGACTTTCTGGAAGTCGAAATTGACTGGTTTGGGGCCCGGCGACGACACCGAACCGGTCGGGCTGTCGACGAACTTGGTCCACTCTTTGGCGGCGTCTTTGGCGCGTGGCGAGAGGACGGGCTCGGCGTCGGGGCTGCCCGATAGAGGCGTGTCCGAGGAGTCGGGCGCCAGGGCGGCGGGCAGGGCGTCGGGCAGTTCGATGTGGTTGCGTCTGAGCACCACCAGGTGCATGGCCGTGTTGAATTCGGCGAGCGAGAGGGCGCCGTCTTTGGTGACGTCGGCCAGTTGCCAGATCTTTCGCAATTCGTGGATGGGCAGGCGGGATTTCTCGAAGAACGTCCGGGCGACGGGGCCGGCTAGCAGGGCGCGCGTGTCGGGTTGCAGCGATCTGAATTGGTTCGTGTAGTATTCGCGTTGTTCGCCGGTTATCGTCCATACTTCGTTCGACACCTCCGTGTCCTCTTCGCTGCTGTGTTTCTCGGACGATTCCTCTTCGGTACCTACGACAAACTTTTTATATCAATCTTACAATCATCCGGATCGACTAATACCTAATAGTTGGCGCTGTTCTTCGGAGAGGAGGCCCTGCCAAACGCCCGAAATGAGCCAGCTTCTGTCCTGAACGCTGTTAGTAGGAGTGGGACTGTCCGATGTTGTACTGGATATATCCGGAGATCCGTTTCTTACGGTTTCGCTTTCCGCTTCGGAATCCGTACTCACCGAATCGGTCTGTGAACAAATTGAAGTGACGTCATACAGCGTAGCCAATCAAGTTACTCGATTTTCGTTTCAATTTTTTTACCAACCAATGGGAGCTTTCGATTAGTAGTGACGTTATTAATTACAGAATACACTTACTTGTTCTGTGTAGTTGTTAATATCGTTACTGAGTTCGATTAGATCTCCGATGGGGCTTTTGTTGTCGATGAGCGACCAGGAGAATCGGGGTAGAGGCAGTTCGGCTGTGGACGATAAAACTTCATTTCTAACGGGAATGTTTGCTTGATGTGCGGCTGCTAGTTTTAGAGCGGAGAAAAATTGCTTTTTATTGAGATAGTTCGTTCCGAGGGTCCAGCATATATCGGATATCTGCAAGAAAATTCAACTGTGATGTTATCGAAAGAAATATGCTGCTGGTTAACTTGTTAAAATTCCTATTTAAATGGTGGCAGGCTGGGTAATGTAATTGGCGTGGATTTGAAGCATTACAACTTACAAAAACCTAATTGTTACATAAAGTAAACAAAATAATAAGGAATTAATTAAAATCTCACCTGCGTTACGACTTCTTCTGGTACGTTTCCCGATTTTATCAGATCTATTGTTTTGGCTAAGGGTATTTTTCCGGAATTGTCTTCGTCGCAGCACAAAAACAAATCGGAAAAATACCTTTGCAACGTATCGGAGATCTCTAAATCATCCATTATTTCCATTTATTGGCCGACATTATAAAATTCCTAGCCCCTTCTATGTATTTATTTATTGAAGATTGAAGTGAAGTTGACTTTTGACGTTGACAGTGCTAAATGTCAACACGAATTTGTCAGATAGGCAATACTTTTTACATCTATTTGATCTACATATTTCATCTTTTGATTGTGGAACAGACAATTTTTAAATTTTTTAGTGAAACACATACAAATTACTTTTATAATCTCCATTTATTACTAAGGGGACAATGGAAGCAAATACAACATTTATAAATTTATCATGCAAATACTAAATTAAATATTTTCATTATTAGTAAAGATACTTGTTTAACACGTTGGGTTTTTTAGCACAATAATGACTAATATTTCCGCTTCAGAAGCAGATAATCCATATCACAATATTCCATAAATATATATTATAAAATGATTCGATTAAATGGAATATGCATAAATATATAAGGGCGTTACAAACCAAAATAGTTTCTAATTTTGTAAAAATCAAAAAAACCCAGTGCATAAATATATAATGATAAAATAATATCCTTTTGTAATACCCTTAATGAATAATATAATATGGAATAAAAAAACTTTAGATAGAAGAAAACTGCGAAAAACAAAACCATCATAAATTTATACACTTTTCAAATTTATATTATAATCTATTCTTTATCGATGTGTAAAAATTTTTACAATGCTATCTAAAGCTTTCATTTTGTACAAGAACTTACAGTTGATTTGTTTAATGTAATACACATTTAGCTAGGAAATTTACAAGGATATGCTACTAATGAATCATTCCTTTTTTATAATACAGTTACGATAAACATTTAATACCCGAAAAAATGATATTAAATCTGCATAGGACTCTACTATTTTACCGTAAAATCAGTACATTACATTCGTAAATTTACACTGCAGAGAGCAGATAATTTTAAGGATGAAATCCTATTTTCTATAACTTATTTTATGTACATCTATATCCGCCAGACATTCGACAATAAATGTATAATGTAGCAAAAAGCTCTCGGTATTGGATAGTAAGAAAATTATAAATGAATTAGATCTCAACTTATTTGTATAGTAATATAACAGACACTCCAAAATAAATCAAAAATCTGGATTTTCCGGTAAATACGCCAACAGTAAGCTATTGGGTAAATATCATATTTCCGGAAATCTCCAGTAGGAATGTACTTGTTGCTATTCCTCGGAAATCTCCTCTAGTCAGGCAATCGCTTTGGCTTCGGGTAAAAAGGCTTCCCAGTACTTGATCAACTGAAAAATTAATCAAATAAATATTCGACAACGCCACAAGTCCATCGCAATTTACTTGAGCTTGATGCTCCATGTGATTCTCCAAGTATTTAATAAACATCGTCTTGAACTCCTGGATCCTGCACCTCTCGAATCGCTCCATTTCCTTCTTGATCATCTGCGAGATCTTATCGAAGCTCTCCTGTCCTCGTTCCACCTTCGACTCCCACTGGAATCATTCCAATACAATTTATACGAATAAAATAATACATTAAAATAATCACTCACCTCGACCAACTCGGCCTTGGCCTGATCGAATTTCTCGTTCTTCCCGGCCAGCTCCAACTTCGTCAGCACCTCCCGCTTTTTGGCCAGCATCTGCTGGGCGTGCTGCCAATGCTGGAACAATTTCGTGCGCTCGTGGAAGGCGTCCCGCACGGCCCCCAACAGCCCCAAATAATCCTTCAGCAATTCGCAGAAGATGAAGAAATCCGTGTTGGCCTGCTCGATGTGCAACGCCTCCACCTTATTCAATAAAATACGTTAATTGTGGTCGTTTAGAGCACCGGAAAGGTTCGATTTACCTTCTCTTCGGTATCGGCCAATTGGGATAGAGCCCTCGATAGAGTATTGTGGTCTTCGCAGGCGCTCAACATGGCCGCCGATCTGGACACGCCGTTGGTCAGATGGGCCAGTTCCTTTCGGTAAGAGACCATCGCCTCGACGCTCGCGTGCAATTTCCTCAATTGCGCCTCCAACGATTCCACGTGGCCCAGTTTCTCCTCGAACCACTGCGAATGAAACGTGAAATGATTCAATTTATATTCGACAGCGTCGCGCTACATATACATAAATACATAAATCAAGGTTGTGAGATGACAGTTCGAGCTGTCAAAACTTCAAAAATTATTTTTTTGACATTTCGAAGAGAATATGGAGAGATAGATTAACCGAAGATACGTGATGGACGATGTTAACAACAATATCATCGCTTATTTAAGTATATTTTTATAATTTGTATCTATTTTTAGTTTGAATAAAACCTTCCTTAATGCCAATTCTATATAATTCGTAAAAAACCGCGATCCTTTACAACATCGCCTCCTAGCGGCCGTTTTAGGAACCCTGGTCTATCCTCAAATAACTTTTTCTACCTGTTTCCAGACCTTAGAAACAGGAAATGAACTTACCGGATCGGTTTCGTCCATTTTGTATGTTATTTTATTGACGGTTTCGCCGACTTTGTTGAAGAGTCTCATCACGCCTGCGCTGCTGAGGGCCGATGTGCTGGTGGCTTTCGGCAATTCGATATCTGAAATGATCGGTTATCGATGATTAAAGAGTTCCAAATAGTCCTGAAACGGTTTTGTGATCGTCCCGAACTATTTCGAATGGTCCTGATCAACTTTAAACGATTCTGGACGGTACAAATAGTCTTAAAACAGTTCTGAATGGTTCAAAGACCGCTCTGAACTGTTCCGAATAATCCTGATCAATTTTAAAAGATTCAGGACACTCCAAATGGTATTAAATCAGTTCTAAATGGTTCTAAAACCGGTATAAACTGTTTCAAATGATCTTGATTATTTCTAAACGATCCAGTAGAATCTAAATAGCCTTAAAAGAGTTCTAAATGGTTCAAAGACCGCTCTGAACTGTTATCCATTACTCCGAATAATCCAGATCAATTCTAAACGATTCAGAATAATCTGGACAGTCCTAAAATTCTCTTAAGCAAGTAGATTTGTTCCTGTTCGAGTATACTTCGAGTGGAAACCTCTAATGACTAGGAATATTTATACCTGATTCGAGAAATTCCCTAAAATGTTGGTCTTCCAGTAAAACTGGATGTTGAGCGGTCCTCCTTAAATACCTTTCCAGAGACGCCCGTCGCCTTTCCACGAAATCGCCGCCTCCGTTCGTGGGGGTGCCATCTTGGCTGGACATCTTGATTTTGGTCATCCCTAAACAATCGTAAATATAAGTCATCGGCAATTCTCTGATAAATTGTTTACAACAAACATTCGTTAAATGAAAACTACTGATAACATTCGCTGGTGACTCATTAAGATAACAATTCGTCTGTGTTTGCGTTAATTAACGGCGCAAATATTTTTATTGAAACTTTAACGAGCTGTTAAAATATTTAACGAATACCTATGACGCTTTTTTCCGGAGCAGGCGGAATGATCCGTCCGACTTTTAAATACTTCTCCGTTAGTTTGTCGTGGAGCCCAAGGAAATCGCTGAACCGTCTGGATACTGCGAATTCCTTCTTTTTAAATATGGACATGTTGGTTCTGGTCGAGACCCGATAGGCCATGTAGGCTCCCATTCCTTCTCCGATTTTTTGCGGTTCAGTAATGGTGATTTCTAGGAATCTATCGTCCCGTTCGGAATCCTCCTCCGGATTGACCTGAGCATATCGGGAATCAAATAGCGAAGGGAATTTAACGAATTATTATTACCTGTTCCATGGTGGAAGGCATACTGGAATTGTTATGTTGATTGTTGATCGGTACGTTCTCTAATTCCTCTGTGATTTCTAAAACGTTGTAGTTCTTGTTGATTTCTTCTATGGTGGGGCCCTAAAAACGTCGACGTTTTTTTTAATATAAACATTCGTGCGCAAAAAACCCATACGTACTTCGAGAGCCGATTGAAAAAGATCGTCGTCCTTATCTTTATTGTTTATATCGACATTTTCGAACAAAGGGGGAGGTTCCACGCGATCCGCCATGATTAATTCTATCGATGCCGATGAATCCTCGACTAGAATCTATCGGGAAAACTGCTGTTTACAACGAAATTAATTGATAATTGAATTATTTTAACGTTGACACAACACAACACATTCGCCAAGTTCACCAATTTTGACTTCTTCTTCTCTCAAGGTTGCAAAACTAATATGTCAACTGTCTTTTTTTTAATTAACGAGTTGCCTCTTACTAAATGATTCCACAGTTAGTTTTAATTCTATATCGTTTTCAATGAATCCTCGACTAGAATCTATCAGGAAAACTGCTGTTTACAAGGAAATTAATTGATAAAATGATAATTAAATTATTTTAACGTTGACATAATTTTCACTTCTACTTCCCTCAAGGTCACATGCCAACTGTCATATTTTTTTCTTCTTTTTTTTTGAAACATGAATTGCAATTACTTTTGGGGACATCACCAACATTTTATGCAAATATGTAATTGGTTGAACAATTAAGTTTTTATGGATTAACTTTATTTAAAAAAACGATAAACTCTGATGTACATAACAATTAAATATGTAATTAAAGAGGTAATAAAAAATTGTACACATAAATTAATAACTTAAAAATTTTGCATCTTCATTTACAACTTAATTTAAGGTCGAAAATATGTAAGTAAAATTTGACTTAGAATTAAATGTAAAACAACGAGCGGTGTAACAAAATATTTGACTTAAAAAGACGCAAATTCTCTTACGCCCCTCGTTTGATTCCTTTACAAACAAATATTATAAGTACACCTACGTATTTTTCAAATCTTTTCCTATGCTATAATTCATTTACATCCCATCAGGTTTCGGTATATTGGTGTTGTAAGCTCTTATAACTGCTGATTGCGACACCGCTCCTCCTTCTTCTTGAGAAAAAGCGAAGCCATCTAGACGGTAAAAACAATTTTCTTTTAGTTAAATCCAATCGATTCGAGTTAATTACAAGTTTTAGTAATCTACCAAAGAGACATAGTTAATAAGAAAACTTGTACCAAAATAGAAGAAATTTATAGTCCGATTAAAAATTGTTAGTGTTTTAACCCAGCCACTCATACAGATGAAATTAAAAAATCCTAAACCTCCAATATTATTCTTCCGTTGTTATCACACTAAATTCACTGGACAATATGCAGGCGATTAAAAAAGCTGGGTGGGAAATTAAGCGTTAAATATAGAGTAGGACTTCTTGAAGTTTGAATTTACGATTATAGTTACTATTCTATTCGACTACTCTAACATTTATGTACACTATAATCTGTGCTTTTCGAAAAAAAACCGTGGAGAAAGCATAGCAAGTGAATTACCCAATTACATCTCCAATATCTGAAAATTTTGTACTTTTAAAATACTAAAGCTAGCACAAATCCATCCTATGCAATAAACAATTTTTTTCAGATATACAACGAACCGCCGGTAGTCGAAAACTGGAAATCAATCAACACTCACGTGATAACTCAACGTCCTGCTCTATCCTCGGAGCAGTGCACCTCCTGGTGAAGACGTTCCTCAGCAGCCGGGCAGTTTCAGACAGTCTGTAAACCATTCGTATCGATACTCTCTAGCGGGATTTCGAAACGGGACGAAAGAGGATGATGGAGAAGATGGAGAAAATGGAGAAGATGAAGATGATGAATCGATTCCGGGTACGTTAGTTAGGTTAAAACAAGCCGGCGCGTGCGTACAAAGCAAAAGATAATCTACAAAAATGTGTTCTAATAGAGCATGCGTAGAGAAATCGAGAGTAAAAGTGCGAGAAAAAAAATAAATAAAGAATCTAATTTATCCGTTCGATAGACATGCCAAATAAATATACTTACATATTGCAAATTGTTCCAAGGCATGCAATGGTCTTGCAAAACAAATAACGAATTATATTAACCAACACATTTATATGAAAAAGAAAAAAAAACACACATTTTAACAAAGGTAAAAACGCCCATTGTAAAACCCAAAAACGCGCGAATGATATCGAGAAAATCGAATACAGAAATATGTATATAACAAATTATCTTGGTAGTGATGTCACTACTCATCGAGAGCTCTTATTGGCTGGTAACGAACATTGAGTACACTGATTGGTTAGATTCAATGACGTCACTATCAACAATTTGTGTATTAATTTTATTAATTGCAATATTTCTGTAATCGCTAAGTTAACAAATCATCTACTTTTAAGCGAAAACATAAATAAAACATGCTAAATTATCTGATGATTGTTTAGCATATATTCCATATTAAATTTCCTCAAAACTTTCGGGTATTAAGCATACAAAGACTAATAAGGTAAAAAATAATTCGTATTTACTTAATACCATCTTTAATAATCCATACACATTTATCAGAAAAATAATTATTTGTGCGTGATTTTGTGCGCTTCGTAATTTTTCGCTAAGATTATTATCACAATTTTTTTAACCAACAACTCATTGGTGAGAACACACACGTGAATCCACTTCACACAACCTAAGTATTTACCAATACGTAGCCTAATAATCCCTTCAAAAATGGCACAGAAATTAAATTTAGCCAGCTTATTGTTAATTTTGTAGCAAAAATAACTGTACCACATTCGGGAATTAGTACGTGAGCGAAAAATTTTTCTATTTTAAATAAAATGAATAGGAGATATCGGCCCGCATTCAGCGCATCATTTTAGTAACTAAGGAGATTCTTTCAATTTGACAGATTTACATTGGTTGTTATGGAGTAACTAAGGAGAATCTTTCAATTGACAGTTTTACATTGTTGTTATGGAGTAACTAAGGAGATTCTTTTCAATTGACAGATTGACATTGGTTGTTATGGAGTAACTAGGGACTTTCTTTGCGTTAAAGAGACTCTTTAAAAACGTGTTTAAAGTTAAAAAGGTGGGCTGAATACGGACCAAAATAGTATATAGAAAAATTCGCCACGTATAAGGAATATGCAACGCCACACACAACCTAGCTAAAAAGAATTACAGACGTGCTCCCTCCCACATTAATCAACTTCTTCAATTCAAAGCCTCCTAGTGTGACTCGACGGCGTTACAGCGTTAAATCTCGACCATCTGGATGCGGTTACTGTGCTGTCACAGAAAAACCAACATCTTCGTTTTACAACATCGAACATTCAATTATAATTGAACAGAAAAAAAAAATACACACACATGTGCCATTGCAGCAAAACCTCACGATGGTGTATTTTGTGTTTGGGATGTTTTGTCTTGAGGAATTTTGTCTTTGGGCTGTTTTGACTTGAGGAATTTTGTCTTTGGGCTGTTTTGTCTTGAGAAATTTTGTCTTTGGGCTGTTTTGACTTGAGGAATTTTGTTTTTGGGCTGTTTTGTCTTGAGGAATTTTGTTTTTGGGCTGTTTTGTCTTGAGAAATTTTGTCTTTAAGCTGTTTTGACTTGAGGAATTTTGTTTTTGGGCTGTTTTTTCTTGAGGAATTTTGTTTTTGGGCTGCTTTGTCTTGAGAAATTTTGTCTTTAAGCTGTTTTGACTTGAGGAATTTTGTCTTTAAGCTGTTTTGTCTTGAGGAATTTTGTCTTTGGGCTGTATTCTCTTGAGAAAACTTGTTTTTTTGCCAATTTTGTCTTGTGTCACGCCTCGCGATTTATGTTCAAACGTGAATCGGAGGATTTGCTGAATCGCACGTTCCACACAGCAAATTACTTTATGCAAACAATTCAATAAAAATTATTTATTAGTGGAACACATTGTTAAGGAAATTATCGCATAATACTACCAGTAGTGCACAAAATCAACACAAAGGTGAATGCGGCAATTGTGTTCAAGAATTACTCCAAACTATTCGAGTAATTTTCGAACATAATCTGATGAAATGTCCAATTCAGATAATGTAATTTCTTTCGATTCGACAAATTACACAATCTAAATTAACGAATAAGAAACACAACAAACATAACCAAGATGAATATCAAAGCCTCTTCGACATTTAAAGTAAAAAAAAACAAACATGCTTACGATGAAACATCGACAACCTAATAAGAATAAAACGTTTATTTTTGTTGTATAATAATTGAAAAAAAAAACTCTATCACTCGAGTGCGCTCGAAACGAATAAAAAATTGGTACTTACGAATTTTTCGCCTCTCCCCTGTACACCTGCGGATCGCTCTTCTTGATTTCGCTCTCTCGTATCACGTCCGTCAGCGATTTGAATATCGTTCCGTGTATACTGCAAGCATGTACATAATTTTTACTCATTTCTTTCCCTTCCATTTTCTTTGGTTGAAACACAACACACCAGTATTAACTTTAATAAAACACCTTCGCAAACGAAATCTACTTTCGACAAAGAAATCCGACATTATAGCAAATATACTAAACTATCGAGGATTAATATATTTGTGACTTCAATGAATGTCATTTCTTTGTACGAATCATTTGCAAGAATCAAAAGGCTTACATTTTAAAAGTGAAATCTGGCAACAAGGAAATCGTTGGCACGAAGAATAGACCCAGCCAAAATATGCTCGACGTGAACATCAACACGAACATGCCCAAGAAGACGGCCCCGAACGGAATGACCGGCCAAAAGTAACTAAAAAAAACCACAAAATATTACTCGATCGATATGAATAAATAGCCATCGATTTACACACACCTGTAGATCACAACGAACACAAACCACAACAATATGGATCCCCAAACGGCGCAATGCGTCAGCCAAGTCCACGAGTTCATCACCAGACCGGCCTTTAACGTCACCGTAATGACCACATACTGCAACAAAAAACACATATTTTGCCACATTACACCCTCTTCTACCCCCCTTCTACCCTCCTCTACCCTAACCTACCCTCCTACACCAACCTACCTAGCATCTAAATGCTCCCTACCCTCTACTACCCAATCCTGCCTCATCATATCTCACTTATACCTACCCACCAATTACCTAAATGCTCCCTATCATCTACTACTCAATCCTGTCTCATCATACCTCATTAATACTCTCTTTTACCTACCCATCAAGCATCTAAATGCTCCCTACCCTCTACTACTCAATCCTGCCCCATCAAACCTCACCCTACCTTCTTTTACCTACCCATCAAGCATCTAAATGCTCCATACCCTCTACTACTTAATCCTGCCTTATCAAAACTCACCCTACTCACCTATTTACACCCTCTTCTACCCCTCTTATACCCTCCTCTACCCTAACCTACCCTCCTACACCTACCTACCCAGCATCTAAATACTTCCTACCTTCTACTACTCAATCCTGCCTCATCATACCTCACCCTACCCTCTTATCTAGCCCATTAAGCATCTAAATGCTCCCTACCCTCTACTACTCAATCCTGTCTCATCATATCTCACTAATACTCCCTTTTACCTACCCATCAAGCATCTAAATGCTCCCTACACTTCTACTACTCAATCCTGCCTCATCATACCTCACTAATACCCTCTTTTACCTACCCATCAAGCATCTAAATGCTCCCTACACTTCTACTACTCAATCCTGTCTCATCATACCTCACTAATACCCTCTTTTACCTACCCATCAAGCATCAAAATGCTCCCTACACTTTTACTATTCAATCCTACCACCTCGTACCCATCTACTCACGGTATAAATGCAATTTCCGAGCATCAAATAACCGCCGTCCATGCCGTTCATCCAGACGACGTCGTGATCGATGGTCAACAGCGATATCCAAAAGAGCAGGGCCGAATGGAAGATGCCGTTCATGATCCATATCCAAAACACCTTGATGTTGAACAGCTCGCCGTTCTGCGACGGTTTGTACAATTGCGGGTACTGCGTCATCTTGTCGGCGCCGCAGGGTTTGTCGAAGAGGCCCATCGCCATCGGCGGCAGGAACGTGAACATCACGTTGTACAAGGCGATCGTCCAACGTTCGAAGATTATCTCGCCCGACCAGCCGGCGTAGATCTGGTACCAGAATTCGATCACGTACAGACAGATGTTCTTGTAGAAACTGTAGAGGATCACTTTGCATATCCTGGATGAAGATACGATTCGATTAGATTAGTTCGATCATCAATCATCAAGGAGTGTATAGGATCTGTTTGGGCGAGAATCTACCCCAGAAGAATCTATTGGAGATATCTATACTGGAGTATAATCTTATAAAGAAGAATCTACAGGAGAAGTATGTACTGGAGAACGATCTAATGCAGAAGATTCCATTGAACAATAATCGCCTGGAGTTGAATCTACCACAAAAGAATCTATTGAAGAGGAATCTATTTGAAAAGAATCGATTGTAGAAGAATCTACTAGAAAAGAATCCATAATCCATGGAGCATAATGCACTAGAGAAGAATCTACTGAAGATGAATCGACTGAAAAATAAACTACTGTAGAAGAATCTATTAGAGAAAAATCTACTGGAACAGGATTTGTAGGAGAAGAATCTACTAAAGATGAATCGATTGGAGAAAAATCCACTAAAGATGAATCGACTGGAGAAGAATCTACTAAAGATGAATCGACTGGAGAAAAATTCACTAAAGATGAATCGACAGGAAAAGAATACACTAAAGATGAATCGACTGGAGAAGAATACACTAAAGATGAATCGACTGGAGAAGAATCTACTGGAAAATAAAGTACTGTAGATGAATCTATTACAGAAAAATCTACTGGAAAAGGATCTATAGGAGAAGAATCTACTAAAGATGAATTGACTGGAGAAGAATCTACTAGAAAAGAATCCATTGGAGCATAATGCACTAGTGAACAATCTACTGAAGTTGAATCGACTGGAAAATAAACCACTGTAGATGAATCTATTACAGAAAAATCTACTGGAAAGGATCTATAGGAGAAGAATCTACTAAAGATGAACCGACTGGAGAAGAATCTACTAAAGATGAATTGACTGGAGAAGAATCTACTAAAGATGAATCGACTGGAGAAATGTACTAAAGACGAATCGACTGGAGAAGAATACATTAAAGATGAATCGACTGGAGAAGAATACATTAAAGATGAACCAACTGCAGAAGAATCTACAGAAAAAGAATCGATTGTAGACAAAATAACCTAAAGAAATGTTAATCATCAACCAAATACCGAAAAACTTCTAAAACCCCAACGATCTCACTTTGCATCCCGACAAAATCACATTCACTAACAAAAAGGCGATACTTTTTACCTGGAATAGTTCCACGATCCGTGCACGAGCAGCAGCCTGAGCAGAAACCTGAATTGGGCAATGCTGTAGTCGCTCGCGCATGCGGCCTGCAAACCCTCCACGCCCGATATGCCGACGCCCACGTGGGCCTTCCTGATCATCGGCACGTCGTTGGCGCCGTCTCCGATGGCCAACGTGATGGATTTCGTGTATTTGCTCATGTGTTCTACCACCTGCAATCGCAAATTTATACCAAACGAATATACTATAGATAAAACAGGCGCTGTTTACCTCGGCTTTCTGTATGGGCGACGCCCTGCAACAGATGACGGCCTTGCAGGACGTGCACAATTTGAGAAAATCGTTTCGCAATTCGCAACTCAACGCGTACGTCAGCGTTTTGCCGTCGATGATCAGAGCGATTTCGTTCTGTCTGCCCAAGTTCTCGCCGATGTCCTCGCAATTTTTCAGTATCGACTCCCTGGTGGCCTGAAAGACGAACGTTTGAGCGACTAATCGACGGCAACTGGAGATGAATCTACTGGAAAATGATCTGTAGGAGAGGAATCTACTAAAGGTGAATCGACTGGAGAAGAATCTACTAAAGACGAATCGACTGGAGAAGAATCAACTAAAGAGGAATCGACTAGAGGAGATTCTGCGACAGAAGAATCTACTGGAAAAGAATCGGTTGGAGAAGAATAAACTAAAGATGTATCGATTGGAGAAGAATACACTAAAGATGAATCGATTGGAGAAGAATCTACTGGAAAAGGATCTATAGGAGGAGAAACTACTAAAGATGAATAGACTGGAGAAGAATCTACTAAAGACGAATCGACTAGAGAAGATTCTACGACAGAATAATCTGCTAGATGAATCTACTAGAAAATGATCTGTAGGAGAAGAATCTACTAAAGATGAATTGACTGGAGAAAAATCCATTAAAGATGAATCGACCGGAGAAGAATCTAAAGATGAACCGACTGAAGAAGAATCTACTAAAGATGAAGAGAACGACTGGATCGACTGGAGAAGAATCTACTAAAGACGAATCGTCTAGAAAAGATCCTGCGACGGAAGAATCTACAGAATAACCTAAAGAAATGTTAATCATCAACCAAATATCAAGACTTCGATCGATGACGATAGACGAACGACTTACGTCGAGACTGTCCTCGTTGAGAATGATCACCTGCATGCCGTGCGAGAGCAATCGACAGGAATAGCCGATGTTGATGGCGGTCTCCTGCTTATCGCCCGTCAACACCCACACGCTGATATCGGCTTGCAGGAGACTGGCGATCGTTTCGGGCACGCCTTCTTGTAGTTTATCTTCGATCGCCGTAGCTCCGATCAATTTCAACTTTCTCTCGATCAAATTGGCGGCTTCTTCCACTTTTTCTACAACCATTAATACGCTGAGTAAATAGTTGCGAACGAATGGCGATTAGATACCTTCTCTGTGTTGGATGGAAATGCAAGCTTTAGCGAATTGTTCCCTCCAAATTTCGTAGTCGCTCTCCTTCAAATCGACGTAGGCGCAACACAACGTCCTCAAACCCGAACTGGCGAAGCCTTCGAGATGCTGCAGCAACACCGCCTTGTATTCCTGCGCTCCGGCGCTGTGATCCAATCGCTCGAAGATCACCGAATCCGCCCCTTTGCAGTACAACTTGATCTTGCCTGCAATTCGTACAACTCAATCGGTGATGGTTTTAAGAGGGAAATTCGGCGGGTCGGTACCGTTGGGATCCTTGACGATGACGCTCATCCGCTTTCTGGATGAGGTGAACTCGAGCACGGCCAGGATTTCGTACTTTTCCTTGGTGCCCAAGGCGTCGATTTCGACGTACTCGGGCGTCCTGCTGTGGAACACGTAGCCGTATTTGCTGGCGCCGTAGACGAGGGCGCGCTCGTCGGGCGAGGCGGCGTGGTAGATGATCTCCTCGTCGGGCGGTTTCTCCGGTATGACCGTGTGGCAGATCGATAAGAGGACCAGCATCTCTCTGATCAGCGCCGCGTTCTTGTGATCCGATTTCAAGTGCTGGAAATACGGCGAATTAACACTAACATCGAGTTGAAGTTTTCGAACGGCTGTAGAATTGGCTGTAGACGAGTTAGAGAGATGAAAATTTGAAGAAATGTAGGTTTATATATTGGCTTGGAGTCTACCAAGTAGCATCATCCCAACTCAATTATTTGTAAGAAAGCGTGTACTTATTCGAAAGTTTTGAGCAAAAGCGAACGATTTGAGATGTTTGCCTAAATATTGGCATCCCGAAGGAATTTTTGGTGGATTTTTGGGAGACATGAAGACAATACATGGGGCTACTTCTGCTGAAAATTTCACCTCTCTAGCCCCACTGTAGCCAATTTTGCAGGGCTTCAAAATATCCAGTTGATAATTTTGTTGAATAATGTACAAGGGCTCATTCAAAAGGGTAGTTTCCACCCTTCGGAGTTGTGTGAGGATGATGATCCTTGGTAAGCTTCATGATAAGACATGAGGCTATACCTCCTGAACATTTCACCTCTCTAGCTCGACTGTAGCCAATTTTATATTGCATCAAAACAGCGAGTTGCAAATTTTTTTGAACAGCTTATTTACTTACTTTGACTAGCATGCAATCTTCCATGTTATCGGTGAGAGGATAAACGTTTTGTCCCACGGCGCATTTTTTGAATTCCATAATGTTCCTGGTAAGCGTGCCAGTTTTGTCCGAAAAAATGTACTTGATTTGGCCCAATTCCTCGTTCAAATTGGAAGTTCTCGCCATGGCGGGCGTGTCGGTTTCCGCATGGTACATTTCCCTGTCCATATTGATGAAAATCGCCTTTAAAAAAACCCGTTAAATGATCAAAATTTCGAATCGATTCGATGGGTTTTGTACCTGAATGAACCGCACCAACTCCAACGTGACTTGCAGAGATATGGGCACCAAGTTGTTGAACAAAATCAGAAACGTTATGAAAGTGTAAAAATAGCTCTGTTGTACATCTGCAAAGCATCCTGCATTATTTCCGCTCGAATAATTCGCGAATAAATTACCTTTCAGACCGATATACCAATCAGTCTTGGTGTGTTTATTGGTCCAAAATATATTAAATATAGAACAAATGACGCACATGAGAAACAACACTCCGAACAACAGGAGGATCTGCGTGTTGGTCATTCGATCAACGTTGGAGCGCTTCAGAGGCGCCAGAGCGGAATTCTTCATCAACTTCGTATCGTGACCGGTGTAAATCACCACGCCGAATATCCAGGAGGTGTTGCGCAGCAGGGCGCCCCTCAACAGCACCTGATCGGGCCCCAGCGCCTCCGGACTATCAAAATAATTCAATAGGTAGATCGTCAGCAGGGGAATATCGACGGGAAGATTCTAGTTTTGTGACGAGAGGCTTAAGAAGAGGCTGTTTTGCAGAGGGTTTGTTGATGAACAATGTAGAATATAAATTCGGGGTTTTCGAGCCTTAAGAATTGAGTTGGGATGATGCTACTTGGCGAACATCAAGATAATAGATGAGGCTATGTCTGGTGAAAATTTCACGTAATTAGCTTGACTGTAGCCAATTTTACAGAGCTTCAAATTATCGAGTGGTTAATTTTGTTGAACAATCTAGAAGGTCTTATTCAAAGGGGTAGTTTCACCCTTCAGACTTTTGTGAGGATGATGATACTTGGCAATATCGAAGATGAGATAAGAGGCTATACCTCCCGAAAATTTCACCACTCTAGCTCGATTGTAGCCAATTTTGCAGGGCTTCAAAATATCCAGTTGATAATTTTGTTGAATAATGTACAAGGGCTCATTCAAAAGGGTAGTTTCCACCCTTCGGAGTTGTGTGAGGATTGTGATCCTAGGTAAGCTTCAAGATAAGGCATGAGGCCATACCTCCTGAAAATTTCACCTCTCTAGCTTAGCTATAGCTCATTATGCAGGGCTTCAAAGAATTTTGATCAACATTGAACAAGGTGTAATTCAAAGGGTGGTTTCGACCATTTGGAACAGAATTGGGATGATGATTTTTGGTATAATCCAAGATAAGACATGAGGCTATAACTCCTGAAAATTTCACCTCGCCAGCGAGTTACTTACGATCTGTTGTTGTGCCTGATGACGCCCTTGAAGTCGTACAATTGCCGATTGGGCGGCTCGCATTCGATAGTACCGGTTAATTGCTTCAAATCCGGAGTATTCGTGATAGATGCGGTACTGGACAGCGCTTGGCGGATCTTCAGGTTCGTTTCCCCGTCCAAATTCGACGTTTCGATGAAACTCATACCTTGCGGTTCGCTGAAACGCGCTCGATTTCAAAATAAACCCATCGATAATCCATTTCGAATTTACCTAGAAGACAACAGCACCAAATCGGCCGGGAAAAACGTGTTGTTCAACACTTTCACCACGTCCCCGACGATGATGTTCTTCCATTTCACCGTCACCCAACGGTTCTGTCGCAGCACCTCCACCGTTCGATTGTTGATTTCATCGTCAGCCCTGTGTCTTTTCTGCAAACCGCGATTAATGGTTACGAAAATCGATCTCGATCCGGATATATTGGACCACTTACGAAATCCTCGACGATCTCCTTCACAGCGGACACTGTCAGTATAAAAACGAGAGGCACTAGCGTGGTGTATTTGCCCGTCGGAGACACGTCCGGTATCTGCTGCAGCAACGCCATCAACAGAAAGAAGCAATTCGCCCATCTTCGGAATTGCTCGAACAGAAACAGCGGTATGAAGGTGTGAATGCTGCAAAAGAAAATGACCAAGGACCCATACAAACAGTTTCTCACAAAGAGTATTTAACCTAATGAGTATAAAGCACCAAATAGAGCGAACCTCTCACCTATATTTGGCGGTAGAGACGAAATTTTTGCAAAATTTCGAAACCGCCGGCTGCACCCGATTGAGGAATATCACCCGTTGATCACCATCGGTTCTTTGACCACCCGACGTCTCCGTGTCTCTGTCGAGGGTCGAAGACAAGTTCCCATCGTTTGCATCTACAACGGTACTTTGTCAATTAACTCGATAATTGGTCGAGAAAACTACGGAAAGGATTAGTAAAGAATGTTGTACAAAGCGTCAAATCCACAAAAGATTGTGTGGAATTGAAGGAATTCCTGGATAACAGAGCTTTGGAGACCAATAGTGCAACAATAGACATTAATAAGCACAATAATATAGACAATTAGAGTTATACAAGAAAGTTATGTAGGTGTAGGAGTAAAGGAAAGTTATTGTTAAGAAACATCAGATCTTCTGGAATATTCTACTGTGCATGCGAATATTGGAGATTCTGGATACAAATTGGTTACAATTTCGATAGAAGATTCTCCAGAAACGCATCTACAACGGTACTTTGACAATTAACTCGATAATTAGTCGATTAATTAGAGAAAACTGCCGAAAGGATTAGTAGAGAATATTGTACAAAGCGACGAGTAATCGCACCAAATCCACCAAAGGTTGTGTGGAATTGAAGGAATTCCTGGATAACAGAGCTTTGGAAACCAATAGTGCAACAATAGACATTAATAAGCACAATAATATAGTCAATTAGAGTTATACAAGAAAGTTACGTAGGTGTAGGAGTAAAGGAAAGTTATTGTTAAGAAACATCAGAGCTTCTGGAAACTTCCACTGCGAATATTGGAGATTCTGGATACAAACTGGTTTCCATTTCGATAGAAGATTCACCAGAAACGCGAATTTTTGAATAAATAACTCGGTGTTATTCGTATAACTTCGCAGTAATTCATCCACTCGATAATAAAGTGGAGCCTTTGACTTTGCGAGACATTAGTTAACAGCTTCGATATAGCTTCTGATACAATCGCGCGACGTTGCCACATGGTAATATTTTTCTCCAGCGCCAGTTATTTTTGAAAATCGCGTTACTAGTCTCAATAAAGACGCTTCGAAACCTATACGAAAATAAACCGGAACGGAAAAAAAATCAGTTTTTGGGTCCGTTCGTGATCTGTATCAAGTGATTTACAATTCATAGCTGTCGGATATTTAATCACGCAATACTTTCCACACGTACTGTATCAGAATTAGAATTCGAACGCATTATATCGGAACGAAAATAGGTTTAATTGCATAAAACATAACGATGTATTCCTCCACGTTCGTTCACGACAAAAGCCTAATGAATAATTAAATAAACCGGGTTACATACATCGATATTAAACGAGCACAAAGCGAAACAATATGGCATTTAAACATCACATTTTTTTTACTTACGTCTCGAGAACCGCCTTCTGAACGAACGGATCAATTCTCTAAAGAGCGACATTGATCCCCGCGCGGAAATGGAGCGCTCATAATAGAAAGATTCGGCGAAATTAGAGAATTTCATGGGAAAATCGGCGCCGCGATTGTGACATTTTTCACGGGAACACTGGCGAGGAAAATCGATTGTTCACCTGTAGGAGTTTGCGCGCGCCTTTCCCCGACAGTTTCATGAATATTTCAATTCGAACGGACGTGCGCGATATGTACTAATATATTTTTTTTTTCGAATTAAACCGACAAAAAAAGTATGTAAAAATAAACCGAACGTGTGTACCTACTTACGAAGGAAAATATAATTATAATTCGCTCAAGTTTTCCAACTGCAATGAAGCTTTTAAAAGTAACGAAACTAAATCAATTTTATTCATAGAAAAAAATTTATTATTGACAGGTTTTAACGAGTATTGACAATTCGGAAAATTAGCGCGGTACACAAGGGATAATGAAATAAATATTTCACCGATTATCGACTGAGCAAATGCCAAGATGTGGCCGATGAAAAATTCACAATCGCATGAAAATTGCATGGGGAGTTGTTTGTTATACACGACCGAATAGAGAGGGAAAAAAATTAGTTGAGGAAAATTGTACGATTTTCGAATTCGACTGGTCATAAAAAGCAACGTTGCCAGCTTTATAGTAAACTCTCAAAGTGCTGGTCAACAAAATAGGTAATAGGGAAGGAACTATTTATTGGGGTGGGCGATTTTGGTGAACGCGATCATACAAACAAAACACAATTTTCCCCCCAATCGATGCCCGAACGAGCTTTTTGAATGAAACGATTTTCAATTTGGGTATAGGCAATTCGTCGATCGATCCACTCGTTTAATATTTACCCGACGATCATTATTAGTTCGTTAAATTTAATTAGTTGGAAAAATAAAAATAAACCCACACCACAAAATACTAAAAATATAAGGTGTTATTGGTAGAAAGGAAGCAAACTATTTTTGTACAGAATATTAGATTGCTATTTAATTATGTACTCTAATAATTACTGTGATAATTATGTAGGAAATCACATCCATTTGTACACTTTATTATAAACAGTGTATAAAAAGTATTGTCAATGAAGCTACTAATATCGAAGATAATGCAATAGAAGAAACAACTATTGAAGTAATTGTAGAATCGATTATTGAAAGTACAACGAAGAACTATTGATAAATGATCAAGATAATAATCGACTATTAGAAAATCAATTTTTTGTTCATGTTGAATTACTGAAAAATTAGGAACAAGATATTAAATTACTGTAGATTCGATTAATGAATCAACTATTTACTGGAAATTATCACCTGCATAGCATCAAGTTTAATCAACAACAGAAGAATCAACTAATAAGGAATATCTAGCAGATGTTCGAGCTAACAAGAAACAATAAATAAATTCACATTTAGCAGAATTTCCTGCATAAATCCTTGTACAAAAATGGCTGTAATCTAAGTTCCTTACCCAATACAATTCAGAGAGCCAATTAAAACTGCATTATTGCCTCTGAACAGTTAATAAAGTTTTCTAATAATCTGTACAAAAAACCAGAGGAAGAACGTGGTGAATGCGAAAGGGGGTGTTTATATAATTTATATTTTAATTGGATTAGTTTTGGGGGTACCTGGAGGGTCAAGATTGCCGGCCTGGTCACCTCGGGGTCCGGAATCTGTGGAATTGTTGCCGGTGGCCGTGTTGGAAGACACATGTCCTAGTTCGATATTCTGTTCCGAAGGCATCCGTCTCGATACTGCGCTTTATAACCTTCCCTGTACAATTTTCAAACGTTTTAATCCGATTTCAAAGCAACTAACTACATGTTTTTTTGTTTCAATCGCCCAAATCGTTAATTCTTAATCACAGAAACTTCTTACCGCTTATTTCGAATCCGTGCTAAACAATTTCGATTCGATTAGAGCGCCGATAGTGAAACGAACATATCGACTGTCCCCGGTAAAAAGGTGTAAGAAAACCGCGCGCTCGGGAAACTCGAAAAAAGGTAAAAAAAATAGGGAAAAACAATTGCCTTTCGTCGGCGACCGTGCAAGGCACACTTGGATCAACAACGACGCCGAAAGCACACGGTCCGCTAGATAAATTAGCGTCGGCGTCGGACAGTCAAAAAAAAAACACACGCTTATATACGGGGTGGTGCGGATAACTCGCCCGAAATGGGGCAATTAAATTTTGCGAATTTACCACAGATTGTAATTAAAAATAAGCGATGTTTGGAAAGATTGTTTTTAACGGCAGGATTAGATTTTTGATTAGATTGTATAGAGAGATGAATTATCCTGTATGGCGGTGACCTTAAGGTGTTTTTAGTTGATTTTAACGATCCGTGTCAATTTTACGGCATTCCCCGTTTTCCGGGTCCGGAATAAAAGGTGATGATCGATATATACGAACAAAAGAACGGATGATATTTCGTTGATATTTACAAATAAATCGCCTGTTTACAGGGAGGTATAAAATAAATTTACCAACAGATATTATAATACATATAACACACCAGATACAAGAAGGGTTACATGGTACGTCCAAAAGCTAGTAAAGTTCGTACCTTTTAAAATGACAATGACGTCACGAGCCAGCCTGTTGCAACGTTGCCGCGTTGTAATCAAAATCCTTTGTATTTGCGGATTAAAAAAGTCACAATTACACGAAAATTACATCAAAAATTCACGAAAAATGCATAGAAAAAAAAGCGGGGAAACTGATAAACGTACAAAAACTATAGTTCTAAACGATAGGGACTATAGAATCGCGCTCGGGAAACTATAGAATCATTTAGAACGCTCCAGAACCATTTAAAATTGTCTAGAATTATCTAGAACTGTATAAAATCATTTAGAACACTCCAGAATTATTTAGAACTGTCTAGAATCATTTAGAACGCTCCAGAATCATTTAGAACTGTATAAAATCATTTAGAACACTTCAGAATTATTTAGAACTGTGTAGAATCATTTAGAACGCTCCAGAACCATTTAGAATTGTATAAAATCATTTAGAACACTCCAGAATCATTTAGCACTCTCTAGAATCATTTAGAACGCTCCAAAAAAAGATAAAAATCGCTGGGAAAGTCAGGAAAACAACAAATTGCAGTCAAAACTTAACTACAAAGAGCGGAATTTTGATATAGTAACGATATGGCAACAATGCATCGGCAATTCAACAGCACTATGTAAAATTCCCCTAGTCAAATGACTGAAAATGACATCATTATCACTTTAAAACGTACGAAACTTTAGTACCTGAAAGTGTATATATAAAAAAATCAAAATTCTACGATAAATCAGGCAGGGCTGTAGCCTTGGGGCGCTCCCATTCGTAACTCGATAGAAGTTAGGTCGGTTTTTTTTTTGCAAGGGTAGTTTTATGGGGCAAATCTGATACTAGACGGGCTCGCCCAGTGTCACTTAATTTCCTAACAAATCTCTCTTTTCGTTTCTGTTAATTTTATTGCGGGAAAAACGGGCTTGGTTGGTTAACGACACGCGAACAATGGGATTGAAATTGCACTGAAAAGGAATTGGCTAATCAGAAATGTGCCACATACAGGAGTGATATAAAAAAAAACTGGAATAAATTTTATTAATTTGTACGTTATCTGATGCGATTTTCGAGTTAAGGACACAGATATAAACTTTATCAAAGTCGAATATTTCTCAAGTCTAATTATAGGGTCAATTTTTATGGTGACCTCAAATTATTTATAGCGAAAACTAAGCACATAACACTGAAGAGTTCATTTTAAACCTATGTCAATGCAGTAATAATATTAATAATAGGTATCAGTTTATCAAAATTCAAATATTTTAGCAAGATGGTGGCATTTCCTGAAAATCCTTTATTTAAAATTAACATAATAACTAACAATTATTTATCGAACAATATCATATCTAACTTTTGTAGAAATGATAAAAATTTCCTATTTATTGTAAGTATGACTCTATAGATAAATTAGAAAATATTGCAAGTTCACAATTACACGAATATAATAAACGTATTATAAGGAGTAAATAAAAGATAATAAGATAAAAAAAATAATTTTGATGAAAATCACTCTAATAAATTATCTACTTGAACTAAATGTATTTGACTCATTCAATACGTGACGAAATATTCAAAATAAATTTCCAATAAAATTGAAAAATGTACATTGTATAAATTTAGCACTCGTTTAAATAATTACTTATTTAATTACTAGCAGCAATAAGTACTATTAAATATAAACTTAAGCGATAACATTTCGATAAAACTTAAATTTCTGGTTTGAATTTAGATTTTACATTCGATAACGAGTAAACCGCGATGAATTTAACTAAATTAAATGCAACAAGTCGAGGTAATTTAAAAATGTCCAAACATCAACATAACCTAATTAGGAGATATGAGTAATTACTAATTACCTATTGTACGTCCTGAAATTGTATAGTAATTCCTTCTTCTGTTAAACATGAACATACTCTCACTACTATAAAATTAAATTGGCACACACACGACCGTTGTAAAGCATTACGAAAATAAATATTTACTATAAAAAAAAGTACGAAAAATTACAAATTTTGACACTTGTAGTCACGTTGACATGACAGTGACAGCTCAATGCCATATGTTAACACTAAACGAAATAACCGAAGTGTAAGAGACCAATAAATGACACCACAAAGAAGTTTGACAGTGACAGTGACAGTTCATTGTTTATTAATAAAGTAAACTAAAAAGTACACAATTAAATGTGTTTTAATCTCATTAAATTGAACATTTCCACGAAATCAGCTTGCAATTTGGTAAATACAACAATTATTCTTCACAATTAGATCCTATAAAACGTATTTATTTTGCATAAAGGCGCTACTGGCGTTGGTTTTCGTTTGTTGGTATTGCGCCCTGCGGGTAGACCGGCACTTTTGGAGTATAAATTCCAAATAAAATGCCTTTCACGGCCGACGCGGTGGCCGCCCAGCAAGTACAAGAGCGCCTGAAGGCCCTCCAGCAATTAGTGCCCGAAATCGAAAAGAAACGGCACATCTGCGAGCAAGGTCTCTCCGCTCTACAATCCTACACACACGACGAAAAAGGCGGACAAAGTTCACAGGCAAGTCGCGTTTATTCCGCAAATTTGCGCTATAATTAATACCCTGTATATATTTCAGAAGATCAAGTCGTTGTACAAAACGTGCGTGGTCCAAGCGGAGCACGAGGAAGACCTCATTCGCAAGGCCTTGCAAAAGATAACCGAAATACGAAACATAAAAAACGAAAGGCGGATACAAGTAAGACCTATTAGCGTTCGATGGAAGCTTTTTCTATTTAATCGAAGATGGCTTTTCAGACGCGCTTCGCATCGAATAAAGAATCCGTGCGAAAGGGGATCAGGATGAGGATGTTGTACACTTCTGCCAACACGATACCTCTCTACGTCGGTAAATTGGGGGAAAAACCGCCGCCTTTATGCGGCGCTATACCAGCCGAATCGAATTACATAGCCAAAGTAAGTCTGTCATCTACAGGTTGTCCCACGATGAGTTAAAACTGTCTACAACCGGTCCCGGAAGTAGGCCTATTAACTCGTCGTGGGACACCCTCTATAACGTAATATTCGATTCGAAGGTGGGCGATATGGTGGCGGCGCTGGTGAAGAACCACGAAGGCGACATCGAATGGATATTGGCCGAAGTGGTGAGCTACATTCACGGTTCGAACAAATACGAAATCGACGATATTTTGAAGGAACAGAACCAAATCGGCCGGTACACGGTGAGCAAATGCAAAGTGATACCGTTGCCTCTGATGCGGGCCAATCCGAAAACCGATCCGCAGGCTCTGTTCCCACAAGGATCACTAGGTAAATTATAAGGAATACAAGTAGATTTTGAGTGTAGTAGAGTCGATTCAAAGTAGAGTAGATCAAGAGAAGATCAGAGTAGAGTAGAGTGAAGCAAAGTAGAGTAGATTTAGAATAGAATAGATCCAGGGTAGAGTAGAATAGAGTATATTTAGAATAAAATTGATTCAGAATAGAGTAAAGTTGAGTAGAGTCAGAGAAGAATAGAATACAGTAGATTCACATTAGAGTAGATTTAAAATAGAGTAGATCCGGATTAGGGTAGAGTAGATTAAGAGAAGATCAGAGTAGAGTAGAGTGGAGCAAAGTAGAGTAGATTTAGAATAGATCCAGGGTAAAATAGAATACAGTAGATTTACAGTAGAGAGGAGAGTAGAATAGATTTAGAATAAAGTAGATTCAGAATAGAGTAGAGTAAAGTTGAGTAGATTCAGAGAAGAATAGAATACAGAAGATTCACAGTAGAGTAGATTTAGAATTGAGTAGATCCAGATTAGGGTAGAGTAGAATACAGTAGATTCAGAGTAGTGTAGAATTGATACAGAGTAGAGTAGATTTTGAGAAGATTCAGAGTAGCGTAGAGTACATTCAAAATAGAATAGATTCAGAGTAGAGTAATATTTAGCAGATTCACAGTCGAGTGGATAATAGAGTAGATTCAGACAAAAGTAGAATAGATTAGATTCATAGTAGAGTAGGTTCAAAATAGTATTGATTCAGAGTACAGTAAAATAAAGTAGATTAACAGTAGAGTGGAGAATAGAGTAGATTCAGAGTAGAGTAGATTGACAAAAAAGTATATTCAGAATACAGTAGATTCAGAGGACAGTAGAGAGTAGAGTTGATTCAGTGTAGAGTAGAGTAGTTCTTACATAGCTCTGAACTGTTCAAAATGTTTCAAAATGATTCTGGACAATTCTAAGCGATTTTAAACAGTTCCAATTAGCTAAAATAGTACCAAATAGAGTAAAAACAATTAAGAAATGTGATAATTAAGTAAGATAAAAGTACAACTAAGCTACTTATTACACATTTTTCGCACGAATTGTTTCAGTAATGGCCCTGTTTCCGGGAACGACTTGCTTCTACAAAGCCCTGGTGGACAAACCGCCCGCCACTCACGCCGACGAATACCAATTGCTCTTCGAGGATTTGACCTATCCGGAGGGTTACAGTCCTTCTCTGCCGGTTTTCCAACGGTACGTTATCGTTTACAAAACCAAAGGGAAACAAGGCCACAAGTCCAGCAGTTTGCAAAACGCCGCGTCGATGGCAGACGACGATGCCATCGGAGCCGAGGCCTGTAAATAGCTGCATACAAAATAAGGAAGGGAGAAATAAAGGAGCAAGTTTGTAGAGATAAGGGATTGATATTTAATTAAGGATACATCTGTAATTTGTATGAATGTTTCTCATTATATTACGTTTTGGTTTACCTATAATTATATTTTTCATTTGATTTGGATTTTTTTTATTGCTATTCCTTCTAAAGTTCGTACGATTTAACATTACATTGATGTCACGAGCCAGCCTGTTGCAACGTTGCCGCTCCAGAATCATTTAGAACTGTCTAGAATAATTTAGAACAATCCAGAATCATTGAGAACTATCTAGTGTGATTTAGAACGCTCCACCATCATTTAGAACGCTCTAGAATCATTTAGAACTGTCTATAAGCATTTAGAATGATTGTCTAGAATGATTTAGAACACTCCAAAATCATTTAGAACTATCTAGAATGATTTAGAACGCTCCACCATCATTTAGAATTCTTGAGAATCATTTAGAACGCTCTAGAATCATTTAGAATTGTTGAAAATAATTTAGAACGCTCTAGAATCAGTTAGAACTGTCTATAAGCATTTAGAACGCTCCAGAATCAATTAGAACTGTTCTTTAGAGCGCTCCAGAAAAAGACTGTAAAAGTCACAAAAATAACAAATTGCATTCAATCATGTCATGTGAAGAAGAAACATAATTTTTGCAAAAAATTTGAATTGCGTGGAAATTACTAAAAATTCCGTAATTATCATTTTAAAACGTACGAACTCTCTATCCTATATGTTTCTATTACTTCATATTGTAATTAAATTGCAACAAAATTTGGTTGGAAACAATAAACGACAAATAAAAATGATAAAGAATATGTTTTAATACAATAAATGAAACGAAAGCTACTCAATATGGTACATTTTTTTATTCAAATCAACTGAACGGCTTCCTAGACGCGCTTATTTTAAATAGACTAGAACAGAAGGGCACGTTAAAAGCTCACGAATTTATAGTGACACTTTTTTTTCTCAAAATCAACACCTTTTTAAACATCTGAAATACAATATATAAATTATAAATTAGTATTAAATTATCATCATTTTTATTGGCGAGACATTTCTTAGTAACCGGCGAGTTCGGCGAATGTGGAGTCCATTTCATCGGCGAGGGACTTGTACCTGTCCTTGTTAATACCAAGCTCATCTAGAAATTAAAAAAAAATATATTAATTTGTGTAATAATTCATTAATTTAATGGTTGATTTAAATCTCACCTTAGAAAGCAAAGCAGATAAGCGATAAAGCAGCATAGCAGGAGCGTCTACACTTAGCAGAAATTATAAAGCAACTTGGCAAAAAGCAAAGCGATAATATACAAAAAAAATTACAAACTATAATATTACAAATTTTTATCATTAAAACTGATTTAAGTTTCTTCGAACTACCACCTAAAGCGCTTAATATATCATCACTAAATTCGTTTAAAATTATAACATCGAAGAAACCTAAACGATATACTGGCAGCAGAATTGTAATTAAATCGGCGGTTTATTTCTTTTGGTTAAGCGAAGACATTTCGACAAACGTTTTGTCCATGTCCGTCACAATTGCGAAATATTTATTCTTTTCTCTGAGCACGAAATCTGAAAAAAGCAAAAAAAGCGATAAGCTCGAAAAATTTGCAAAACAACCATCAACAGCAACGAAAACTTCTTAATTTTCCATTAAGAACTCATCCATTCTTTTAGTAATTCCTAAGTTCCTCATCAACCCGAAGAACAAACACATTTAATCATCCATCAATTCCACCGCGTTCGCTCCAAATACCTTCGAGTCTGTCGACCTCCTTCTGCAACTTCTTCACCGTCTTCTCGGCGAACTCCGCCCTCGCCTCGGCCTCTTTCAACTTCACGGTGAGGCTCTTCAGCTGCTTCTTGAACTCCTCGACCCTCTGGTTGGCCTTCTCCTCGGACACCTCCAGCGACTTCAGCGAGTTACCGACCACCTTCAGCTCCTCCTCCAGCTCCATGATCTTCGCGTCGCCGCCCTAAAAGCAACAAACCGATCTAACTAACCGATTTGATGGTTGCTTAAGTACTGACCTTCACGCGATCTTCTGCTACTTCGAGCTCGTCTTCAACGAAGGCCAGCTTGCGGGAGACCTCGTCGGATTTGTTGTCGGCGTCTTCGGCCAACAGACGGGCCTCTTTCAGTTGATTGGTGAGTTGGTCCATGCGTTCCTCGTCTTGTTGGGAGCGGTTCTCCAACACCTTGCACATACTGGAACAAACAACGGTTTGGCATGTCTTACAATTGACAATTCGATTGACGTTTAACGGTGTTGTTACCGGGAGCTTTCGTCGGCTGCTTGGGAAGCTTCAGCCAATTTGGTGGTAGCCGTAGCGAGACGTTCCTCGGATCTTTCCAGGTCTTCTTCGATGAGCTGTACCTTCCTGTTGAGCGCTGCTACTTCGGATTCCGCCTGGAAATACCAAATGAAATTACTTCTATCTACAGGATGCTGAGAAACGGACCTGGGTGAGTTGTTTGTCCTTGTTCTCGAGCTCCTGGTTGGCCATCTCCAAGGCCTGCTTGCTGGTGGCGAATTCGTTCTCGATTTGGGAGAGCTTCTTCTGGAGGTCGCGCACCTCCTCGTTGACTTTCTCGGCGCGGGCGTTGGCGTCCTTGTATTGGCCCTCCATGGCGTCGGCCTTGTCGGCGGCGTTGTCTTTTTCAAGCTTCATCGCTTGCATTTTCTTCTTGATGGCGTCCATGGTGGCGGCTTGTCTTCTACCGGTCTCGCTTCGATCACTGAACAAGGGGCCCCTGCGATAGAATGGAGCTGGTTTAGAAGAGGAATTACTGGTTTTATCGGTTTAATTTGGCTTGTTTAATTTGGATATATACTTACTTTGTGGCGGGTTCATTTGATTTTTTTGTATACGGTAATAACAAAATGATGATATATTACTGATTTGTAAGTTGATAATGTTTCGTTTGCATAGATAGTGAACGGTTTGTTTCGATAAGATTCCAATAAAATTGTAGAAATTGTTGTATTTATTTATCTTGTGTGTACTGCTAGCTAAATTGAGTAAGTCGAGCTTTATTAATTAATTTTAAAAATGAAACTATTACTCAATTGATGAGACGCGGCTCGATTTAAGTAGGTAGAGTAATTAAAAAACATTTTCTTGTTGTAATTGTGTAATGATTGGGTGAGGTTTTTTCGAATTACAGTTCGGAGTCTGCGAAATAAAAATTAGTTCATTGGTAAAGAATTCCACCGAGCATAGGCACTAAAATAAGAACGGCCTAAATTTAGATCGCTCGGTATTTAATGGCAATATTTTCGGTTCATGTTTTACGTCTGCTAGGTGTTGATACAGCTGCGCCCGTTTTATCCAGAAAATAACCGAATTTATGTATCGAGTTACATAATTTTTTTCGCCTACCAAAAAAACATTAAATAATACCTCAATTTCCCCGCAAAAATATATCGTAGATAAAATATTGCAAGTAAATGAGAAATATTTAAGTCTATAAATGATGAATTTTTTGTCCGGTAACTTCAGTATCTATTATTTAATAGGTAATTCGATGGGTTTAGGAAAATGCGTGGGCAGTTGAAATTCGCGCAGCCTAAATTAGAAAATTCCGAGCTTTTCCTCCCACTCTCGTTACGTGATATCCCGAAGCTTTACAAAAATAGTGAAGCAAAAAGTAGGGTTATATACAGGTGTTTTAACTTTAAAAGTACCCTAAAAATGGATAAAACAGTGTGTACGAGTGTTCAATGTTCAAATACAAATACAAAACTCACCCAGCACACGACCTATATTATTCTAATTAACACTATACCATTTTTAGGGTAGGTACTTCCCCCCGGCACCGAAACACTAATGAAAATCACTGGAAAATTCGCTCGGATTCGACGCCGTTTAATTTAAAAGAAAATAAAAAAAAAATCACTTCACCTACCTGTGCCTGAGGACGATCGGAGGTCGACGCTGTCCTAATTGCTACAAGCGTCCCGACGCTCGAATCGGCAACGCTACCACTTCTACTAAACTCCCACGGGACATTTCCCCTAGCTCCCACCAAAGTTACTTAAGCTTGATTAGATATAGCGGTACCCAAAATCTTTGCTATTACTTTGGAAATACTTTGACATAAGTTGAAATACTTGATGAGACTTGAGAATACTTTAATTCGTTTTTGAGGAAGCTATAGACTTTGGTAAATGAGTGGATTTGGAGTATATTGTTAGTAGACTTGAGAGTACTGCGGATAATTTGAGAATACTTTAAGAAACTTTCTTCTTATTAATGAAGCTGGTCTAATTTTAGGCAGAATTCTCAGTTTTTTGAGACTCATTAGCACATAATTAGAATTGTGCTAGTAGATTTGGAAAGTTATTGCTAGTAGATTTGAGAATACTGCGGCAAAATTGAGAATACTTTAAGAAAACATTCTTCTTACCTTCTTATTAATGAAGCTGGTATAATTTTAGGTAGAAGTCTCAGTTTTGTTGGGATACATTAGCACATAATGAGGATTCTGTTAGTAGATTTGGAAAGTATATTGTTAGTAGACTTGAGAATACTGCGGAAAATTTGAGAATACTTTAAGAAAACATTCCTCTTACCTGCTCATTAATGTTGCTGGTCTAATTTTAGGTATAGACATTTTCTTTCCCAAATAGGAACTTGCTATATTGAGCATTGTGTAAACTACTAATTTCACATTTTTTTCAAATATATGACTATGCGTGTATCGTTTAATTAGAATAATATTTGCCTCGTATGAATGAATCGTTGGAGAATTCGATACAAAATACAATTAAAATAAATCGTTAATTCCTATAATCATAATTAGAAATATAGTTATAAAAATTGAGAAAAAATGAACTCGAGAATTTTGCTTGTTGTTTTCTATTTTTGTTGATATTTTCAGCAAATTCTGTGTATTTTGATCAAGCTTTATTCATATTCTTAAGAATCCTATTGGATTTATTAATTTTATTTCTATTTCTACTCACATCTCCTACATTTTTATGATATATTTAGGTATTCTACAAGTTTCATTATAAAGCTTTTTCCTATAAATTTTTCGAAGCTTTTAGTGTCTCTATCAACTGTATTTTCAGGTGACACATGTCAAGTTCTATCATCCAAGCTTGATCCGAAAATCAGAGCTTTCTAAGTAGATGTATAGAATTAATTTATTCCAGCCTTCATCGGTTATCAAAACCGGCGATACCGGTATTATACGTTTCATATTGAACACATATCGACATTACCCGAAGTAAATAAAATCTCATACCATAAAAAGCGAAAGTGCGACATTGTACGAGATGGACGCCCCAGTGACCTGCATGTTAACAATATGAAAAAAAAAAAACTCACCTATACTCAACAAATGCGCATTCCCGCCGGATTATCGCCGGCTTCCCGACCGGCAAATCCCTCGAAAATGCGCCGACGATTTCCCAACGAATCGAATTCATCGTGGAAAACCGTTTGGACGCCGCCAATTGAGCCTTTATATGGATTTATACGGAGCCTTTATATCGCTTTATATGGATTCAAATCGAACGTTATTGAGAAATCGCAAGGTCGCGTCTGCTCGATTTGTTTATGGGTTTTCGAGTTTCTTATATTCCACCGAAACTGGGTTAAGTTTCGAATGGCATCGCAAAGAGCCCGGTGGAATATCAACTCGCTTTTTCCGCGTGTATAATTCGCTCGAAAAGCAGTAGAGAAAGTATAGTCTGCTGGTGTAATAGAATGATAATGGGATGGGAGATTTATTGGGGACTTCTGGATGGATTTAGGGGAGTCGGGCGTCTTCGCCGTCGGCCTATTCTTGGAGTTGGCGGTGGGGCGCTTCGCCGTTGACCGTGGAGCGCCTGGTAAGGAGGCGCCCGTCGCCGTCACGTTTTTGGTAAACTGATAGCACCTCCACGAGTGAAATTTCTAACGTGCCTCTTTAGTCGCTCCGAGACCGTGCGCTGTAACCCGTCGCATTTTCTCTTCAGTTTTTCCAGGTTTTTTTTTCGGTGAGTTTTTGCGCTGCTTTCCTTAAATTCTCCCCCGCCGGTTATTTTAGTACATCTAACAGTACCTAAATTTATCCATTAAAAATATACTAAACAATTTTTTGAAATACTTTAACAAGCTCGAAAATTAGGCGAGAAATAACGAACGATTCAATTAAACTTCACTTATTCAGCAGTTAATTTTGATTATTAATTTATTCAAAAAAAAAGACAACTCAAAACGCCTCAAAAAAACTCGAAACTAATCCAAAAAATTAGAAGATTCCCCGGCTCAAAAATCAACCAAACTGTCAACAACTTCCAAACGTCAATTGTCAATTAAATTATACCCCATAAACCTAATTCTAAATTAAACGTTAATAAATTATGCGGATTGCGTTTCTGCCGTTATTGTTCCGTTCGTTCTGGTTCTCGGAAAAATTATTCAGTATATAAGATGTTTTATTTATTTTATTTTCGAATCGTGTGGGACATGCAAAACGTGATGCCACTTGCAAATCGAGTAAAAGCATGTAATTAGATCGAAAATTCGAGTAATCGTATCAATTTCACCGCGTGACTATCGATTAAAAATTCATATGGAATACGAGAATTACAATAATGGAAAAGAAGATCTCTCATGTTTATTCAAACTTCGGATTTGTTAGACACTTTTATAGTTATACTTTTTTTTGATATCTTGATTAGAATGTTGGGTATTTTACAGCAAAGAAATGGGAATTATCTTAAACTATTTTAAGACCTCAGCTGCTGGGGTTATTCAGTCATATGTTAGCATTTTTTGATTATTTTAACTCTCTTAAAAATAGCACACCCGCAAGTATTTTTGTGTAATATTAAAATAGTAAATTACGTGTCGTATTCACATTACAATATGTATTAAAATGACCTTACCAGTTATTTTTATAGCTCTTTAAATCAAAACATTTCAATACTTTTTAATAGACGCTCTAGTATGTGTACAAAACTGTGTTTTATTAATAAACATGCTGCATTTTTTCCACATTGTGTTGATTAAACAATAAAGTTATAATTTACATTTCACAATTTACCTACAGAGAATCTGCGACTATCCATATTATCTTCTTTGTTACTGAGGCAAAATTTTAACTCTGTTAGTTGGGGCGCTCTTAAGCTCTATAACTCTATTAAAAATGCTTTTTTTGTTGCAGTTTGTCGTAAGCGCTCAAAAACACCTCCACCATGGACGCGATCAAGAAGAAAATGCAAGCGATGAAGCTTGAAAAAGACAACGCTTTGGACCGCGCTGCGCACAACGAACAACTGGCCAAAGACGCTAACCTTAGAGCCGAAAAGGTGAGAATTTCCAAGCCTATATTCACCAAAAAATTCGATTTTTTTTTAATTCAACCCCTAGAAAAAGTTAGGGCACTCTTCTTCTCCCACTGTTGGAGACTTTCAGCTTCAATCTCCCTCTCTGTATCACCTTAAAATCGGTAAAATTCTCCACATAAATCCTTCTAATGATCCTTTATGATTGCAGGCCGAAGAAGAAGCCCGCTCTTTGCAAAAGAAGATCCAAGCCATCGAAAATGACCTCGATCAAACCCAAGAGCAGCTTACTCAAGTCAACGGAAAGCTCGAAGAGAAAGAAAAAGCTCTCCAAAACGTAAGTCAAATACATTTTATTGTTCGTGTTAATGTTAACTATCGAGGAAATGGAATTTTACATTTTTTTTCACTTGGTGCATTCAAAATAGATGATTTTTACCTATACAAACATTGTAGGAGAGTTGCATGCTTTATTTTCTGCGATTATTTAACAAAATTCCGTTCCGAGAAAATATGGTTCTCGGTTATGTAAATATAAAAATACGTGAGTGTATTAATAGTCGTTAAAAGTTTCTATTGTCCTTATTTATAGTTTCTAAAGCATTTATCCTTGAGGATATCCTGCAAAAAACTTCTATATCTGAGAGTTGCTAAGAGAAAGGAGCGATTATGTATACATTTTCCTATACACATATTAGTTATCTTCAAGAATCAAGTCCTCAAATCGTCCTTATTATACATATGGGAAATAAAACTACGTGTACACAGATTGAATCGCGGATAAAAATACATCATTTCATCATTTCAGAATAGTTTCGTATACAAATTAGTGATCTTTTTGAGTTATTTTCGTCCCAACATCAATCGAGCTAGTGCAACTAAAAGGACCCCCTACTACCGAATAAGCGTAGAAATATTCTCGTGTAAATAGTGGATAAATTACTGATTGAATTTAATGAACCTATAAAGTTCCGTTTGCATAAATCGGCCGCGCTAGAAAACCAAACAAACCGATGTGAATATAAAACGTAACGTGTTCTTAGATCGAAATAATTCGAGTTCTATAAATATAACGAGAACTCGATCGCTCGCCAAATATGGCGCGGGTAATAATCCCAACTGTCCCGTGACGTATCTCTCAAACTATACGAATAAATATAGGTCATTAAAAGTATACTCGGATATCGAATTGGGTGATTTACAGTGACATTTTTGAGGATTTCATACATGACTTGTTTTACTGGTTGCCTATAAAACAGGAGACTAATACTTAATTACTGTTTTAAATAATTAAAATAGCTTATCAAAATCAACATATTATTTAGTTGAATTGATTACAAATAATTATATTTACCCGATTAAATTTATAAATAAATTAAACTTTCAAAATTAGATATTTTTGACATTTAAAGCAAGCAGTCTAGTCATCAAAACGGTAGAGCTACGAAAATAGCCGAAGTGGAATTAGCTATTAATGCAACACTTTTCAAAAGCTATTTACAGCAGTGCAACATTTTAAATAACACGAAATATACTCAATTTGTTGAAAATTTCTTATTATACACATTTTTTTATTAATTTTAATTACAAATAAAATCGTTCGGTAATGTTCGTGTTGGCTCCCACCGATCGACGCCTAGATTCGACGTCAAATCAAACGTCACGTGCTTAGTTAGACGAAACTCCGCGAGTCGGGGAGCGCTAGTGCGTCGAATGTGGTGAGAATGGGTCCGTCGTGTTAAGTGTTATCTCTGCGAAAAAATGTCTACATCAAAGGCGAGTGGTAGTGTGAGAAAAAGGGGGCACCAACACCACCCCCGTAACGAAGGCACAAGAAAGAGGCTGTTCCATGATTATGAAATCGACAAACCGTTAAGCGAATACAGCGATAAAAATGTAGTAACATTCCAGCAGACAACAAAAAACGGTGCAAAAACAAAACAGAATGAAAATACTGTGATAACGAATAGTGCCTTACCTAGTAGCTCAACAAATTCAATAAATCAAATGGAAACTGACGAGAAACCAATGTTTGATACGTCCCGAAGCTGTGATATCGAAGTGATAGATGTAGCCAGTAGTGAAGATGTAACTAATGTACAGCAAAATGCAATTAAAAGTCCAAAATTACGTAAGCAATACAAATCGAAATCGAGCGCCGAGTCTGCAATGAAACCTCCGAAAGTCCCTGACGAAGAGTCGACTAGTCTAAGCGATTGCGAAATGGAGGAACTGGCAAAGTTGCGGTGCACTTCCGAGCAAACCGAAGTGGTCACCGAAAGGGAGAGACGCAGAAAGAAAAAGTGCTCCGATTATCCAGGCTTGGATTTCGGTTCTGCGTTTGGTTCAGATACCCTCATGAAGTTTGCACTTATCGAGAACGAATTGCACAACATTAAGACTAGACATTTAATTAGGGTAAGTTCGGTTGTTACTGTACGTTTTATTTTGGCGCAAATATAACGTGCGACAGTCATACGATAGGCATTTACATTAAAAAACAATTCGTATTTGTTAATAATAATGACAATGGGTAATAATCCTCGTTTGGTATTCTTTATAGCTAATCAAAGTAAGCTGTTATGAATTAGTCGGTTGTCTATAAAATTGTAGTTTCTTTCAACATGTCAGCTGTCAATGACATTATATGTATTATTTAGTAGGAATTTAATTAAAATTTTTAAATTATAATTGTTAATTAAGCAACTCACCTTGCCTCCCACTTACATTTATTCACAGTTTTCATCTCATTTCATTAGACTTGTTTGAACTTAAACATGAAAAATTAACTTGACATTTGAGTGACAGGAGACAGCTACTATGATAACAACGATCTATTAATCAAATCGAGTAAATACATTAAACGCTCATAATAAATTAAATTTAACCGGTAGAATTAAAAATTACTACAAGGAATCACCCTGTATTCGCCTGCTAGACGATTCGCCCTGTAAAACGGCGATGACGAATCCCATTGACAACACATCAACATGTGTCAAATGTCAACTTGTTCGAGTAAATTAGCCGTTTAATATTTATCGGATTGAATATAATAGTCGAAAGATAGATTTACTAATAATTAGCTCGATGTTTGGAATGTCGGTTTTTATCTATTGTCGGTTAATAACCACAAAATTAGGAGCCGATGGTCGAAACGGAATGCCGCGCCTTCGATTCGAATGTAACATTGTTGCCATTGTTTAAAATTCAAAATCTCTACTTGAAATCTCATTATTAAAAATGTCAATATTTGACAGTTATATCAATCGTCACCTAAATTGATAAATGTAATTTAGGCTACAATCATTTTAGTAGCCAATAAGATCTCACTGTGTTACGATTCTCAATAGTAAATAAACAATTCGGATAATATCAATCAAAGCAGTAATGGAGATAATTTGATAAACGTGGCACCACCGTATTTGGTATTATCCAGCAGGTGTCGGAAGCGCACGCGCGTCAGCCATTTTTCCCGGTGACTCGCCCAGTTGACTCGAGCATTCGGTAACTAAAACTAGTAGATTTAAAATCGGTTTTTTCGTGTGTCGTGTGCGATTTTCTTTGGCAAAAATGACCACCACCATTCAGCAAGGGTCCCTCTTGGACGTGCTCAAGAAGAAAATGAGGCAAACCAAAGAGGAAATGGAGAGATATAAGGACGAATGCGAAGAGTTCAACAAGAGACTCCAAGTCGAGATTATGAGAAGGGAAGAGGTAGGGCCCGTTAAAACGATTTTGCAACGTGTTTTTCGATTAATTGGCTACCCGAATTCGGATCGTTCGTCGTAATTGCCATCTCACGGTGCATTTTTTGTTCTGTTGATTTCGAGTATCGATTTGTCGCATGTTTTATCTCGGGGAAAAAGTGAAATGTTTACTTTACGTGGTTATTTTTATTAGCTGCAATTACCGTTATAACAGTTAGAAATTTTCGTTTCTCCCGAGAAGTTTTCTAATTTGTAGTATTTTACTGGCGAGTTACATACTCGACCTGTTAATGGATTCATTTATAATTATGTTCAGTTATGAACGTTATAAAAATCGACCAATCCTGTTTTACTGTTTTCCTGGCGAATTATTATTATTATGTTTACAGTAAAATGTAATTTTATACTTGGTTGTAGCTTCGAATGAGCAATTTAATTTCTTTAACATACCTCATAAGTTCAAAAAATTCATCAAATTTGCATAACTCAGAGGTACTTTTGAAGAATTTCTTGTCGAAGTAATTCTAATCAACTGGTGTATTTGTATGTAAATGCAATCATTCGGAGCATTTTTACAAATTTGGTGTTAATAGTTTGGATTTTATCATGTTCCAATTGCACAACTATCATCAAAATATCGGTTATTTAGATAACTTATCTAACTGTATTTACGGTCGTTTTATAACCAAATAAAGTAGTAAACAAGTACGAACTGTTCACCTATATGTAAAAATAATTATTTTGATGTTTATTTTACTAATTTAAACCCTTATTTAGTGTCGAAAAAAATTGTTCAATCATTGGATAAAAATATTAAAGAAATCAATCGAACATTACTAAGTTCGGCGATAACGTAACGTTCACTGTAAATACAGATAATTGCCGAGTTTTTTTACATCCTCTTGTCTCAATATTATCGCTCTCAAGTGTGAGACATAATAGGAATATGTTTATTCGATAAAATTCTGACTAATCTATTATTCACTCAAGATTGTCGCTTTGACAAACACACTGAAATTTCTTTTCTTCCACTGAATTCGTCGATATAAATGAGTGTAGATAACAGCAATACAGGTGCAACAAAGACGACTTTTAGTCCCGTATAAAGGAAAAAGATAGTGTGATGTTGTGGGTTAATTGCAACTTTCTCGCTCTATCCACTGTTGTTTTATTAATCTTTCTTTGTTCGACTCATTTGCTCACTTACACCGATATATTGGAATTTACTATACTATTACTATTATGTAAGTTTTGCGTTTATTTTCCCATTGAAAAAACGGAAGGAAGTATGGCTGATTACCTCATTACAAATATCAAAAAAAGCCTCGACCGAGCCCTAACATATAACAATACAAAGTACTAGAAACGTAAACATAACCAATTGATATTTTACCAATTCCATTTCCTGTTATAGTACAAACGAAATGCGTTTTTTTTTAAGATAGTTTTTCGACTTTGTTCCAGGCGGAATCCGAAGTAGCGGCGCTGAACCGTCGCATCCAATTGCTGGAAGAGGATTTGGAACGTTCCGAGGAACGTTTGGCCACCGCCACAGCCAAACTAGCCGAAGCCTCCGCGGCTGCCGATGAAAGCGAAAGGTTCGTTTTGCCATCTATCTTGGCGTGGCGTTCTTTCGTTTGTACCCCTGATATAGATAACGATTTTTGTAGCGCGCTAATTTGTATTTTTTTTTCATTGCGATAAACAGAGCGATTAATTTGCGATGGTAATTCGGTACTGGTGTATTGGGAATTTGAATTTTCTTAACGATTTTTAAGTATCTCGAGAGAATTACTCGAATAATTATGTAGAGAATGTTTTGGTAATGACAGAAATTTGTTTTTAATAAGTTATTAGATTAAATACGGAATTTAGTGTTGAGACACTTTTGTACATTAAAAATCACTCTGTTTATTTAAATGAACAATAATTCGTCGTTATTTTAAACTCGAGATGATTTTATTGCAATTAACGAAACCTTATAAATTTAGTAAGAACCTTATGTATTTTGCTGACTGGTGATTTAATCAGAGTTTACAATACTATTACTACTTGTACATAATCTAATTTGTACTTATTTTCACGATAATATTACATTTGAAATTCAAACTGCCACGGTGACTTGATTGTTCCGCTTATTCACATACAGGTTGATTCATTTTAGTTTGCTATGGGAGCAACAAAAACAACTTCCATTATTCTCGTATAAAGGAAAAAGAAAGAGTGATATTGTGTGTTAATTGCGACTTTCTCACTCTAACAACTGTTATTTCAATAACCTCTTTGTTCAACTTGCAGAAATGACTATTGCAAACTGAAATGCACCAAGATGTATAAGTTTAAAAAAAATCCTCTCGAGTTTGTTAAACGCACATCCAGCTCTAATAACCCGAAATGAAAAAAAAAACTAATCCCTCTATACACGCTCATAGGATATTGAAAGCATTAGAGAACAAAACAAACATGGAGGACGATAGGGTATCCCATTTGGAGCAGCAATTGTCGCAGGCTAAACTAATAGCGGAAGAAGCAGATAAAAAATACGAAGAGGTATAATAAAATAAAACAATATCCTCCATGCTTTTTTTTTACTAACGAGAAAGTTCGCCGATTCGAAGAAACCAAACGGTTACTTAGCAAATGTATACGGGGTGTCCCAAATGAGAGCTAACACAGAGCAGGGGAGTGTACTTGAAGCCTAAAATATGTTGTTTTACAGCCAACTTTTGAATTATCGACTATTCTAAGTGACAAAAAGAATAAAATAGTTTTAAATTGAAATACATCAATTGATCTCTCCTAATTATCGATTAATCTTGCAGTATACTCGTAACTTATACCAAATTTAGTGGTTTTAAGTTTGAGTATTACTGAGATATTATTTTTTTTTAATTGTAACTCCACTGTGATGTCCTATTACTTCTCAGGAATGTAACTTTGCAAGTTATATTGGGTTAAATAACATATTTTGGGCTCCCCTAGACTCTCCTGTTTTGTGTCGATTCTTGTGAGGAACATCCTGTATAGTAGTTAATACTTGTAATTTTAAATCTGATAATTTCATTCTAATGTATGTTTCATTCGAATTTTAATGTAATTTCGATTAGACAGTAGCTTATTTTGGTTTTTCGAAACGTGAACTGGATATTAAAATAATATTCGAGATTACGTCAATGATGCGTTAAATCGATGAGGTCATCTCGTTAATATTATTCGAAGCATTTATTTGTGTTGTCAAATTTTTCAAATCTACAAATTTTTTTCGTAAATTCTCTTTACATATAAATTTGACGACATATTCTTCGATTTAGGTAGATTTTAGATTAGTTTTTATTTTGGGTTTATATTTTTTCTACCCCCCATGCCCCCCCCCCCCCCCCGTTTAGCGAAGGAGTTTCCACGAGGAGTAGCAGCAGCGATTTGATTTCTTCTATTATACATTATTTTTATTTTCTCCGTTTAAACAAGATGAAAATATTCGTAATTAAAGTGAGACTCGTCGAGTGTCGAGTCCAAATTTGGACGAAATCGAACAGATGGTTTTAATAAAATAACGAGGTCGGTTGTTTCATCACGCGAATTTACGAATACTTTCATCTCGATTTTTCTCTACCCTTTGAACTCGTTTGAAACCTCTCTTTTACCCGTTTCGTGCTAGAAATAATAGAAAATATTGCAAAATGGGCGACTCAAAACTGTATTTAAACTTGATTGCTAAGGGTGGAATTTTTTTTAAATTAATGAACATTTAAGAAGAAAATTACATTTCTAGTACACGATATCATTTCTATAAATACTGCTATAATTTAATGCACTAATTAATTTCGATTAAAGACCCCCCCACAAAACTGTATTTAAACTTGATTGGTAAGGGTGGAATTTTTTTTAAATTAATGAACATTTAAGAATAAAATTACATTTTTAGCACAATATATCATTTCTATAAATACTGCTATAATTTAATGCACTAATTAATTTCGATTAAAGACCCCCACTTTTTTTGCTGGATTATAAACGAGTTCATAGGTGAAAAAAATGTGCTTATTATCATAATATTGATTGAAATTGACTTTAGGCAACGTAAGGTATTAGAAAATCGTTCGCTGGCCGATGAGGAACGCATGGACGCGCTGGAAAACCAACTGAAAGAGGCCCGTTTCTTGGCGGAGGAGGCCGATAAAAAATACGATGAGGTTCTTAAAAGTTGTCGTGATGCTGTGAATCGTTAATTTACTATTTACTCTACTAACTAATTTGATTTCATGCGCCATTATTTACTGATTTTACTACAAAATGCCTGGTGTGTTTTACCGTTAGAAAAAAAAATACCAACGAACGGAAAATCTTGGTGGTTTGCATCCTATCTATTTTTCGTTTCATTCTTTGCTAAAAAAAATATGCAGTGTCGTGGAACATACACTCCATCATATGTTGATCTAATTTCTTTGCGAAGAAGTGCAGTGTTCGAAATAGTGAAAAGTTCGAGTTGAAAAGTGCCTGAGAAGTTTGGAAAAAAAGTGTTGAAAATTTGCTCTATTTTTCTAGTGGTTTATTCGCGGAAGAAAGTTATTTTCTCGAAATGGAAAATTTATTATTGTTACATCGTATTTATTTTTAAAAAGGAAATTTATCAATAAAGAAGGTTAATCCCGCTGAAATCTTCATTTTTAGTAGTCAACCTGATGAATGCTTTGTTAGAATTTTGTTAACGTTTTGAGCTTATAAGAGGGTGAAGATTTGGGTTATTTCTTGCTAGAGAAGTGGGAAATAATAATTATCACTTAATCTTAATAAATTAACTAATTTTTTCCCTCTTCTGTCGCAATAACTTTATTAAAATCGACATTAAAAGAGCGAAAAATTAGTAAGTAAGTGGAAACATTTTTTATTATTTGTCATTAAAAAATGTAAAGATTCCTGCGTAATTTCACAACTAAGAGAATATCTATAATTCTTTGTAAAGCTCTTTACCTTATTTTATTTTTATTAGTACCTTGTAACAGGTAAGTTTTTTTAATAATTTTGTTTTGTACCAAACATATGCCCCATTATATGATATCATTCCTGTTAATATCGCATTATTCCGAAAATATTTTTGAGTTAATTTAAAATTCCTAATTAAAGGAACAATAAATCTTGACATTTTTTAAACATCAGTAATAGAAAATGGTACCATATGTAAAAATATCAACGTATTGTTGCTGGACATGAATTTAAACAAAATTACCTTATTAAAAATAGCTGTTTAATCTGTTAAAAAAAACTAATTAACTTTTAAGTACGCTCGTTAAAAATTTGTTGTGTAAATATTCAATTGTAAAAGTTTTATTTGTGTTCACGTTTTTTTTTGTGTATTATTTAATCGTGTTACGATCGAAAACGAACCGAACTTTATTTCGATTATATAGACTTGAAACAAAAATTTAAATAGTACATTTACCCGATATATCCCGAGGAATTCGAATTAAGCTTCGACCACTTCACCCGGGGCCTTATCATTTCGAGGCTGCAGATATGATGAGTATGTTCCATGATTTTTGTGTCGTTTTTCATCGACCGATTTACATTTAACAACATTTATGATTCGGCAACATCGATTCCTTCGGCATACGTTGTTAAATATAGATCGGCGCGTGTGTGTGGACAATCACGATTTATTTAACTCATCGATTTTTATAGTAAACCTAACAGTTTGGCTTTGATTGCGGTTTATTTAGTTTTGTGCTAAATAAATTGGTCGAGATTAATTTTGAATTTTCTTTTTAATAATCCAGGTAGCCCGTAAATTGGCCATGGTTGAAGCCGATTTGGAACGTGCAGAAGAACGCGCCGAGTCCGGCGAAGCGTAGGTGTCAAGTTTTCTACTGAGTGTTGTGGATTTTCGTGGCGCATGTTTTTTTATTTTCGCAAATTTTCTCACCGTTTTCTTCCAGCGTTGGCGATTCGATTCACTACCCGGAGTGTTTTTTTCTGTTGCGCTTCTTACTAATCGAAGTTTTGTCGATTTTTTTTGATTACATTTTAATTAGTTATAAATTCGTTTTCGTTTTTATTTGCTCGCTGCATGATTATGAATGTTGACAGGCCGCCAGGAAATTGGTACTCATGGAACACGATTTGGAAAGAGCGGAAGAGAGGGCGGATCAAAGCGAAAGGTACTTGCTTATTGCTTGGTTTTTTTTTGAGATTTCGGTACTACTTTTAGTACTTTTAGTTTTGCCTTGTTTGATTTGGTTATCTAGTACTTACTGAGGCATATTTGGTCGATTGATTCCTTCGGCATACATCACGCTCTACATTCTTGCTCCTCCGCCATTTTTCTAAAATTGAAAAATGAGTCAGTGTGAGCTATTTTGGAACCAGAATATGAAGAACAAATTAATTGTTCTATTAAGTCTTAGCCTTCAATTAATTTAACATTCCCCACCAACAATCATTCTACGTTTTTAATTTTACAATGTTCTCTATCATATTCCTCGCTACAATTTCTTTTCAAATTTCGTGACGTCTTATTTTGAACTTAAAAGTGTAATTTTTGTAGGTAATTTATTAATCCAATTCAATTTAGACCTTTTTAAGTCCTCTTTATACCCCTCATCTATCATATTTGTAATTTCTAATGAATTACTTCGATTTGGTTTTTCCAAGAAGACTTCTGGTTTTGCCAAAGGAATCAATTATCCAGTTTTTACATTTTTTCCTTGCTTTAATTTATTCTATTCGTTCTTTTATAGCAAAATTGTGGAACTTGAAGAGGAACTCCGTGTCGTAGGCAACAACCTAAAATCCCTAGAAGTTTCCGAAGAGAAGGTAAATATCACCATCATTTTTATTTCTTATAATTCATCCTCGAAATTTAGCTAATCTAGCAGATAATTTTCTTCGACAAATTACGACTACAAGGAATCAAATTTTATAATACGTTTATAATTTTTTTTTTCTTTAATAAAATTTATATTTAGGCCAACCAACGTGAAGAAGAATACAAAAACCAAATTAAGAACCTCACCACCCGTCTAAAGGAGGTACTGACGACGCTCAAACGCTCTCTAACTTTGCTCTAACAAAAGAGCCGTGTTGTTTTATTTATTTTTTTTGCGTGTTTTTATTTTCTTGATTATTTTTTAATCCCGTCTAGCATGTAGCGACTGCCTTAAAAACCGTATCGCTGTTGAGTGTTCTAATGAAGTAAAAAAATTTAATTTTTTTTCTCGAACTAACACAGGCTACCCGCAAAGAGGACGAATACTCGGTGACGTTAAAGCAGGTCGAACAACAACTGCGAGAGGTAATTTTTTCCTTAGGGGGTTGCCGAAATTGTAATGTGTATACACAACCGCTGGTAGTACTGTTATCATTTTTTGTATATTTCGAATAATTCTCGTAATGGAGCGCACTGGAGTTAGTTAGAGTAGCCTCCCCCTCTCATATTCCATAGTCGTATTTATCGTTATATTTCCACCCTTCTCATTGTTCCTTTGTATATTGTTGGCATGCGTTCACCTTGTATATATTGTTTAAGGCTGCTGTTACAAGAGAACACAGCGAAGATAAAATCCGTAGCATCTCTGATAAATTGCGTGAAGTAAGTGTGCTGGTAAATGTGCGAAATTTGTGCAATGATTTTAATAAACGATTGATCTTGTGATTTTTTCGGTGAGGAGATTGGACAATTTTTTTGTAATTGTATAAAATAGTTTTATTAATGTTTGCACAAGTTTCGAATTGTTTAATATACACGAGTGTTTCGTGTAAGAAGTACTTTAGTTATAAAATCAAAGTGTTGTGGATTTGCCACGGAGAAATATTTTGATTTTATGGCTAATTTTTGGTGAAAATTAACGCGGGGATCACATATCATTTTCGTGGATTCGATGCTTTTCATTCACTGGTGCTTTATTTTTAGAACATCACTTAAATCTTTTTTTGTAAGTATTTAGTTTGGGTTGTTTCTACGTGGTTTTTTTGCATGACGAAATTTTATTAACACGAGTTACGCGTTTTGTTTTGTTTCATTAAATTACTAAAACTAGAATTTCGATGTTAATCGTAACGAATTAATATTAGACCGCTTTGAAAATTCTAAAATTGATTTATTTTTGCTTATTTTTATTACTAAACATACTATCGTAGTAACCACGTTATTAAATTTTGCATTATTTATACAGATAAGTTCCAATAAGTTTCTAGTATTGCTGTAAGAAAGACAACTTCCATCAGTCTCATATAAAGGAAAAAGAAAGAGTGATTTTGTGGCTTAATTGCAACTTTCTCACTCTAACCACTGTTATTTTAATAATCTTTCTTTGTTCAACTTATAGAATTGACTCTTTTGAGCACTAATTCTAAGTCTCTAATTTCATATAAAAAATATATAAAACGTGGTTGCTATTTAAAACAAAAATGATATTTTTACGAATGTAATTTCTTATAAATTTTTGTATTTCATCTAGGCTGAAGCCAGGGCTGAATTCGCCGAACGTTCAGTGCAGAAACTCCAAAAGGAAGTAGACAGATTAGAAGGTATACTATATTTTTGCTGTGGCTCTAATTTTTATTCTAATACAAGTTTTATTTTTATTTCAATCGCACCATTAATTCTATTCCAACGCGATATTTTTACCTTTATATTCCAATTCGAATGTAGAAATTAGTTCTTTTACATCGAGCTACTTCAGCCAATCAGTATAGACTTGGTATAGAATTAATGTTGCTAGTTTTTTTTTTATTTTTGCTAATTTTATTTCGGCTTTCATGTTGCATAATAACAATATCCTTGCAGACGAGCTGTTACTGGAAAAAGATAAGAATAAAATGCTCGCTGACGAGATGGAGGCCACATTGCATGACATCCAAAATATGTAAAAAAAATATATCAAAGCGAAAGAAAAGTAGATCACGCGCGTACACTCGCAAAACACACATAAAATCGTCGACCTCAACTAACACATTCCTATTTTTCTTTTCTACTATTTTTTTTTTATTCAAACATTCCGCTAGGAAAACTCGGCCGGAATCGCCCGAACAAATTTTGTTACAAAATCAAACCTGGCGCGATTCGAAGTCGATTTTCGATCGGTTTGATAAATTGCTCACTAAATGGAGGTTAATTTTTATACTGAACTCGTCCAATTCGATTTTATTGATTTAAAATCCTCTCATTCGCTCATTTGAAGATTTCCCTAAACTTAGTACATTTTTTTTATTCCTTGAATTCTTTGGTGTTTCGATCGGAAATTGGCTTTGAATTGTTTTTGGTGCTTTTTTGTATTAGCTTGTATTAATGTAAGTAAGAGGCGTTGATCCCCCGAGAACTGCAATATTTTTTTTTCATATAAAGATCAACACTGCCATATAACAGGTCGAAAAAAAAATCACTTCCACTTAAAGAATATTTATCGGTTTCGATTTATTTTGTATATTGTACATTTTATACGATAATTAAATGTTATCAAGTTCCATTAATTTTTTTGTAATACGACTTGTCTATAAAGGAGGCGTTTGTTCTTTAGTTGGATACTAGATGAATAAAAGGCTTATTTCTAATTTTTTAAGAGCACAATTTTTTGTTTGGTTCCTTTATCGACAAGTAGTTTGAGTATTTTTCCCCCAATTAATTAAATTAAATTATGAAATTTAGCCTAAATAATGTTTATATTTCTAATATTACAATGTATTTTATTTAGTTATATAAAAACTTTTTCATTCAACACGATCAGTGTTTTTTTTTTTGTTTTAACCACCTTTACGTTTTAGCATGTTTGTTTTTAATGAGTGCGCATTAACTAAATATTTGCAGGTGTGTCGAAACAAAGTATAGAAAATCTGGGTGTTCTTGTAAAAAAATCGTGTAGTTTTTTTTTTCTGAAGCTCATTTAACTTTAATTGGTTAAAGGTCTGTTCAGGTAGACAAACTGAGGTGAGATATTTTTATTTAAATCACTTAATGCTCGATCCTGATGGGTACGAGTAAAGTTTATCCGTTCTAAAGTCATTTTTTGTACATTGTTATAGAGTAACTAAGAAAATTCTTTCACTTTTGACAGTTTTACATTGTTATGGAGTAACTAGGGACTCTGTTTACTTTAAAGTTACCCTTTAGGGTTAAATTAAGGTTAAAAGTGGGCCTCTGAATACGGACCATTGTCCTTTAAGAACGGATAAACATTTTCTTGTGGATTTTTAAAAGATGTAACAGACCCAGATTTTCGACTGTATAGGGATATGTGAATTTTTTTTTAACAAATACCCGTTTTTGTAGACGAATTGGTGGCGGAGAAGGAACGTTACAAGGAAATTGGAGACGATTTGGACACCGCTTTCGTGGAGCTTATTCTTTAAACGGCGTACTCCTTCGTTTATCCTCGATATTTATCGTCCTGTATTCGCGAATTGCACAGCTTTCCTTTTCAATGAACGTATTAAGAGCGACTCAATTAATCAAACATGGTTTTGTTTAGGTAGGAATACGGGACGCTATTGTTACCTTTAATTTGATCTTGTGTATGTACTTTTATTATATTTTTATGTACATATTAATTTCATTTAATATATCATTGTGGATTAAAGGAAATTGCTTCATTTTATTATTATACTGCATACTTTTAGGAATACATAGTAGGCAACCACCATTACACGTTATACTTCATGATCCTTACTATTGACATTTCACTAAAATATCGGATTATAGGGAACTATTATTTTATTGTTTAATTCAGAATATAATCATACAGGTGGTGAAGAATAATTCTCGCTTACTTCGCAAGCTCGCGAATGAGTATTTTGAACTACCAGTTGCAATAATGTACCTTAAATTAACTATTTAACGTGTGACTTGACCTTAAGCATTTATATGACATAATGACATTTAATTTAAATGTCAAGAAATATTTAATAATGGAGTCATTGTTGGTTTATTATATTTTAAATTACTTTGAATTATTAAAATGAATGAAGCCGATGAAAATATAATATGCACAATATTTGTAAATGTGGAGTTATGGAGAAGCTTCACCCTCGTGGAAAATATCGCTGATTGTTATAAAATACCAATTCCTAAATAGGGTAAGTTTCTATATTATTATACCTATTTGCAATAAGATTTGAAATTATTAAGAGCATATAGATAAAGGAAAATACCTGCAAATGGGTAATAAAAAGCCCTTAATGTAAATAGAGATATCTCAGTTTTAAGTTCTCAATTTAAGGTATTGAAATATTACCTCCAATTAACGATTATGCATATGAAGTAAGTATAATATTACATATTTGTGTTATGAGCTATAAACTACAGAAATTACCACCCAATTAAACGCCCTATTTAGGTAGTTTTTTCCCTAATTAAAACCGACCTTCAAACTACCAGCAACTGGCCCATTAATTTAGCTGTAATTTACCAACTATACCATATCAAAAACACAACAATCGGCTCTCTATACCCATTATTATGCAGCCATTAAAAAAACTGATGATGGCTTAAAACCACCTTATCAATCGGCTGGAACACGACACGTGCCATGTGCCACAAAATATCTACATGGGACACAAAAGCATCGGTGTTTTAACTTCTCCCTATTTTCGCTGATTAACAAACATTCGCCCAAGGACTTCGATCGAGATTTGATGGCTAAGCGAAACACCACAGGCGCTTAAATTTCATTTTTTATTTATTTATTTCAACCTTTTATCATCTCATGTGCGTTCAAAGCTAATTGTATACCGCTAAGTTTAGATGCAAAATCGATGAATTCTTTACATCTATTGTTGGAAGAGAAAATTGTTTACAACGAAACGGGGTTTTTTCTTAAAAAATAAATCACTGTACCTACTCTTTTGTTATGGTAACGACTCCAAGAGGATGAAAGATCGAAGTTTACACACGTTTCGACCATTATTACTCATGAATAATGTGCCTACCTTTAAGTTTGTACACCTACCTACGCTGCAAAGTGCTTGTAATCTTCTACATTATACAGGGTGTTCCTAAACATCATGTACATCCGAAAGGGGGCGATTCCTTGGCTTATTTTATGGCTAAAATTTCATATAAACATAGGTCCGCAAACGTTTCGTTACCGATCTACAGGGTGTTGCTTTTTTAGAGCTCCTGATGCAGTTTTTGAGACGTTTAGCTCAATGCTTTTTAGGAACACCCTGTATTTTAAACATGCTGTAAAACACTGAAATTTGTAGAATGAAAAACAACATACGAGAATTTCTCTCAAATGCTTATTTGTTACTAACTGCAAAAGGAGCTAGTCGCTTATCAAACCTTTAAAATTTCTGAAATATCCAATTTATCATCTTCTGCTACTGACCTATATTTAATTAAGTTGGGATTTTTGATGGCTGCTTTGAAAAGTCGATTTTTTTGTGATAATTCATACTTATTTCACCCATTACTTGTGGAGTTCATGAGTTTAATTTATTTAGCTACATGTAAAATAATTTAATGTTTGTTTTTGAGAACAATGGAGATTTTTTGAGTTTTTTCGTACAAAATTTGGGATATAATAAATACACAGAGTGTTGGCCTGATTTTATATAGCAAATAAAAATTACAGATAACCTTTTTGTATGTAAATTACACGAAGCTTTTGGTAATATAACAACAAAAAAATAATGTATGGATTTATCTCGTTACAAACGATGGACTTTACGAAGTTAATTTCGAAAATTCGATAACACACACCTATAAATATACGCAAAAGTTGTATTTTATACTTACAGAGATAAATTCTAATGTGACATAACAGATTTTTTCTTTATATAAATCATAACAAACATAAATATGTAATATTTATATGAATACTTGAAAGAATAACGGTGGTGAGCATCAAGGTAAGAGAATTTTTGAAAAAAAAGACACTGGTCTAAATTACCGAAATTAATTAACTTAAAGATAAGATATATTTTGATTTGGAGATGAAAAAAAGAAATTTAAATAATTATGATGAAAGTAATTTGTATACCTACGTACTTATGACTAAATACATAAAATACTTACAGTAGATGAGAAATGCACTTTCTTTGAAACATGAAACTGTAGTTTCATCATCATATTTTTTTTTTGGTTTCTCTAGGTTTGTTTGTGCAAAGCGATAATTTATTTAGTTCAGTTTTCTTTTGAAAAATAAAATTTTTGCTTAGGACTTTCCGCGTATTTAACCCAATTCGATTTACTTACGTAGAAGTTGATATTTGCGCCTCGTAACCGCTTTATTTCCAAAAATCCACCATTGCATCACTTTTCTTTTTGATGTTTAAATAATTTGTTTACATTTCGAAAGTGTACGAATTTAAAAACAAATCTTTATCTGTACCTATCGATTTGCATAATACATTTAGTCGGGTAAATTTTATTAAAATAGCGTGACTTTCAGAAAGTTTAGCCCGAAAAAAAAGGGTCATTTTACAATTCTTGTAATTGTTAATATTAATTTGCAAATACGCATATAGCATTAATCAGTGAATTTAAATTTCAAAGAAATGTATAATAATTACATTCGCATGAAACTTTTACGCAAGTTGAATAACTCACTGTAAATTATGTTTTAATTGCATGATAAGTAATTTTGGGGTGGTCGTAGAAAAAATGAAGTTTGAGACTTTTGAAGATTTTTTTTCAGTAACTATTAAATAAGCAATAGTCGCAAAATGTGCTTGTTTATTGCTGCTCAATAATATAATTTTTATTTAACGAATATAATAACACACAAAAACACGTTAACAAGCATATTAAAATAATTGGTCGTTATGTTAGCAATATCTATTTGGAAGTTTCGCCATATTTTTGCATAAGTTTGTTCTCGGTTACCCGGGTGTTTATTATAAATATGCCAGTGGGATGATTGTTATAAGTACTGCTTGTGCGATAAGCGGAACTTCATTCTCTACTGTTCCGCCAGTCCTTGTGCAGTGTGTCTTCGATTTTATTATTTCAATTCCTTCCTTTCAGTTAGTCGCAGGTCCTCGTTGATACCGGCTGTTTGTGTATTTCGGTTATAGCTTTATTAACAAACTTTTTTTTATTATAAATTTAATTCGCTATCGATTTATCGTTGCTTGTTGGATTTTCGAAGTGTTGGACGAATACAGGTAAATAATTGTTTAATGCTTTTAAATAAAACTCTTTTATTTTATAGAATTTTTCAAAGTTGTAGTTGAGACGATTAAATTTGAAATTTTTTATAGTCTTAATAAAATTGTTAAAAGAATATTGTTATTAATTTAACTACATTTTACACTAGAAGATCCTATTTTCAACTAATTAATACAATTTTTACTATTTAATTTATTCGACAAATACTATGTTTATTTTTTAATAATTATAAACAATTTTTTGTTCTATGACGTTTGAAGTTATTATTAATTACGACGTGATTTGTATAAATCTAGAAAATATTTTTTTCCTTTTTTTTTTAATCGTCTTATCATCAAAACTAGAGGAATTCTCAAACATCCTTGAACTAAAACTAATTAGGTATATTTAAAAATTATGAAATCAAATCAATGAGCAAATTTATAATTATCCTCAATATCGGAGAAATCGAAAAAAAAACATTTAAGTGTATGAAAATATTAATTTATACAGAGCGAGTATAATTGTTATTTTAGCAGATTTTATTCTTCTTCCTTATTTTTCATATTCTTCTTTTCATTCAGTATTTTAGTGTTGTAATTGTTAAGACAACAATGTATGATTCGAATAAAATCCGCCTATGTCATGTTGTTTGTTCACTTTAGATCGAATTGTCGATGATTGCTCAATAAATTAAATAAATTGAAAGTTTTATATTAAATACGTTTATCGTAAATTTATTATTAATACAATAATCGTTGAGGGCATGGCGACTGACGAAGAGGTCACCAAGTCGATGCGTTTCATTGTAAAATAAATTTTAAACATTGATATAACCTACTAAATATTTTGTTTCTAATTGGAAATATTCGGTGAGTTATTTAATTTGTGGAAGAAAAAATTGTAAGGGAAAATAATATATCTGAGTATTTTTAAAAGGAATAAAAGTATACTATAAAGTTGGGTGGGAACAGGAGAATACAAGTTTTGTGATTCTTTTTTTGATCTATTCAAAAAGATCACATATTTATTGGAAAACTTTTACATCATCAATTATAATTACGAAAAAAACTAGGAAATCTCTTACTTTGATAAAAAAGCGTTTTCAAACCCATTTATTGTAATAAATCATTCATTACTTTTTATAATTCTATAAATTTCTCAATATTTATTGACGCTTATAGCATTTCTCAATATTGCTCAATATTTCTTATCTCTCTAATAGTATTCCAAAACTTGATTCTCAAAATATTTCAAACCTCTTAGTATAGCTCAATATTTTGAGAATGACATTTCATTATTTTTAATGTCACACAAAATAATGATTTACGACTACAAAATGATGATAATGCAAACGATTGTTTGCTTTAGGCTCTTATTAAAAGCGTTAATTAGGCTACAGATGATAAATGCATCTTATATACTTCCTGGTTTTTGATATTACCTCTTTGGTATTAGATTTATTTATTTTGTTATTTGTATCATAATTTCATATCCAGCAACATTTGCTGAATGCGATAATTCAGACTTTTTACAACTTGAACCATAAACATAATTCCATATATTGGTAAACATAATTTGTCGAAGAGCCGCATATCATATTTTTCTTTAGATAAAGACAATTTTTGTATGTACAGGGTGTTATTTAATTGTATGCCGATACTTCAGGATGTAAAAATTTGGATGATTTTAAGAAAAGTTTATATTTTTATGAAATTTCGGACGTGGACGTCACTGACAATAGTAGAAAATTAATTTTTGTCCCAAAAAAAGTGTTTCCATGCATGGTGGGCGCCTGTCAAATTTCAACAAAATAACAAAAGCAAAATGAACATGGACCGATGGACAGTCGATTTACAGTTGACAAAAACCTAAAAATATCTCGTAAAAAACCTATTATGCAGACTAGTAGACACCGTGTTACGCTTGTAGCTCATGCAAGATGTTTTCTAGGCACCTGCCTAGGTAAAAACCTGACCCGATGGACACGGACAGTCGATTTATAGTTACCAAAAACCTAAAAATACCCCGTAAAAAAACCTATTATGTCACGTATAGGAAATGAATATCTCTCCGTTTTCCGCATATCATATTTTTCTATAGACAAAGACAATTTTTGTATGTATAGTAGAACAAACAGTATCAAGACAATTTTGTCTCAAACTCAAACTTTATCTAGCAGACTAGAAAAGAGCCGCTTGTAGCTCATGCAAGATGTTTTAATTTGAACATCAACCAGGCACCTATACCTAGGTAAAAACCTGTCCCAACGGACACGGACAGTCGATTTATAGTTAACAAAAAACCTAAAAATACCCCGTAAAAAAAACCCATTATGTCACGTATAGGAAATGAATATCTCTCCGTTTTCCAGCGCGCACGGAAAACGTCCTTGCGCACATCGACTCCCAACATTCACGACGTCGTCTACACAGCGAGAGATCCATCGACCACGTGGTGCCCGACCGAGCTTATAAATACCGCCGTCCCCTCGTCGTTCGGTCTCTTTTCCACACGAGCAGTTCGAACGTGAAAATCTCTCTCGTCGAAAAGGAAATCGAAATCGAAAGAAGAAGAAGAAGTAGCGATCACCAGGCGCGTTCCTCCACACGTTTTTTAGTGCACCATCCGTATATTTGGCATCGAATATAAATCGCGCCATGCCGGAGACGACGCTGTTGACCAACGGCCATGCCAACGGCCATTCGGGCTACGAAATGGCCGACGGAGCGGAGTTCTTGTTTACCTCCGAATCGGTCGGAGAGGGTCATCCAGGTTAGTTTTTATTTTTTTGCCTAGGATCTAATCTCGTTGTTTCCTCTGAAGCTCGTTAAATGGCACTATGACAAAATGGTGGCGCCTAACATTTGTAATATACATGTGAACAGATCGAATCGCTCATCCCCTCAACGTTTTGGGTATTGTGAACGGTTTTATTTGGTGGGAAATGCCATGTATCGAATACCTATACACCACGTGTTTTTAGCTTTCCGCCATTTGCCACAAAATTGCGTTTTGAATGATGATTTGCACGTTGTTTTCGAGAGGTTTCGATTATTTGCTAGTTTGAGTAATGCGTTTAATTGAAAAATTTAATTGTTTTGCCATTTCGGGTTAACATAACCTTACTTATTGTGCACGGTGCATTTGGTGAACGAGATTTTTTTATTGCAATGTTTGGTGTAACATTGCGTTAGATTGGCGTGTATTGGAAATTTGGAGGTTAAAACCTTTTTGGAATTGAATTATTCTAAACGAAAATAGCTCGTATTGGATTGTTGACTACAATTTTAATTTTTGTTTATTCATATGCAAGCAAATATGTAAACACTTTTATTGATTCCTACTGATAACGTGCTATATTTGAATGTTACTGCTGGTAAATTACGTAGTTACAAATGTTTTAGTTGGATAATAGTTAGTAAATAGGTGTTTTTTTAGAAATTTGGAAAAAACTATTAATTTGAATGCATTTATGTAATTATTTTCCTTTTTTATTCCTACTTAAAATTATAAATGAGAAATACTGTTTTTTTTTGTAGTTCAAAAACTCGAAACGATTCTCATTAAGTTGGAATTCAGATGAAACATTAAAAACATTAAAAATCAATTAAAGTTCTGATGCTGCAACAGGACAAAATTCACCGGATAATTTAATCAGAATTTAACAAGTTATCTTCAAATAATACAGGGTGTTCTCGAACTTATGGCGCTTAATTCTATGGGTGATCATTTACGTAATTTGAGACCGATTCGCAGATTTCGTTTTTCTACAAAAATTATACCAAACAAAATTGGAAATTTTAAGATATTTCAAAGAAATGCGGTCCTGTAAATCTTTTTCGAATTTGTTTATTACTTATTTATTCGATTTGGTCTCTAAATGCTTAGAATCACGGATAAATTTATAAATGTAAACCGGGGTTTTCAAACAATAGAAGTAAATAAACTTTAAACTCGAAAGAAATGTTAGCTTACCTATTTTGTTGTTGAAAGCTGTTTACTTGTTCCAGAACATCACTATAACGAACAAGAACTAACTAAACTAAGAACACTAAGAACAAAAACAATCAAATAAATCACTAAAGTGTAATCACAAAAATCTATTTGCCCCGATGTTATAATCAAAACAATGCAATTCGCACTAGAAAACGATCGGTATCGATAACGTTTTTCTAAAACTGGAGGGCGGAGGAGGAAATTTTCGTTTGCTGATAAAATACACCGAATCTGTTTTTTGTGTTAAAATTCCGACCAGTTGACTATTCAGGCCAGGGTTGTATTCGCTCTTTGCATTTATTTCTAATGGCTCTATTTTTTTTAGAAAATGAAATCTGCGAATCGCTCTCAAATTATACAAACTACCACCCCTAGAATTTAGTGCCATGAGTCCGAGAACACCCTGTATGTTTTTGCCGGTCTGGTTAATTCCCAATCTGGGTACCTACTGTAAAAATATTTTTAATGCAACGGGGTCAATAATTTCAATTGAATATCGGCTATTTTATACAAATACCACCACTTATCTCACATTAACATTTAATCTAATAGTTCATAAAATATTTGGAAAGACACCGATGCAAAGAAACTCTCGAAAATTTCCAAAGTTTATACAAAATGTAAAAGTTCAAATGTTCAGGGAAATGAAGCATTGAAAAGTGCACAATTTAATTTCAACATACAAGAAACTGACCTGGCACAATAATTAACTCGCGCGTCAGCTAAAAAAGATCGAGCATGCTTTTACCAGGAACTCGAATTCGGAGCCGTTGAACTCCGGTTTCGTTTCGAAGAAATCCGATACACCTTTTTTTTTTATTTTATCTTAAAATTATGAATTTCCAGATAAAATGTGCGATCAAATAAGCGACGCCATACTGGACGCGCATTTAGAACAAGATCCCAACGCCAAAGTCGCCTGCGGTAAGCGAATTAATTCGAAATATGTATATACTACACAAAAGTTAAGAAAGTTCGCAAATTTTGCGATTATTTTAAAAGTTTATGATCACCAAATTTTCAAATATGCGAAATTAAATGTTTTTTTCACATATCTGAGTGGATTTTTTGGCCCTACCTCTACAACTCATACTAAATTTTGCGATCAAAAAACCTGCCACTTTTTAATTAACCTCAATATTTGCGAACTTCCTTAACTTTTGTTGAACAGTATATTTTCCCATAGCATTTTTTTTAAAACGTTTGCATTCGAAACAGAAACGGTAACGAAGACAGGAATGATCCTCCTCTGCGGGGAAATCACATCGAAAGCCGTCGTGGATTATCAAAAAGTCGTGAGGGAGACGGTGAAGCACATAGGATACGATGATTCCTCCAAAGGTAAGTCAATTTTTTTCGGATTAATACAGCTTAAAAATACCCAGCAAGCATGCTTGCTTGTATACCTCTTGAATTTATTTACCCACTTTAGATTTCTATTGATATTTATCGCTTTGTTTTCTAATAAGTTAGCTTCGTTTTTTGATTTTCTGTGTGAGATCGATAATTAGCAATGATTTTTTTTGATCTCGAGGTATTTTACGAGCAATTTTTAACAGCTAATTCGTGTAGTAGGTGTTGTTGCTTTATTTTTTTTTGTGTATAAATTATACGGATAAATATATATTTTTTTTGAATCGGGGGCGATGCCGCTTTGTTTTTTTTCGAAATACACAAAACGCACTGTATAATTGGTAGGCTTCGACTGGCGCACATTGAACCTACTCGTGGCCCTCGAAGAGCAATCGCCGAATATCGCAGATGGCGTCCACGAAAATCGAGAAGAAAACGAAGTCGGGGCAGGGGATCAGGTACACAATATATTCAAAACATTTTTTTTCTTCTCCTTAATTATTAAATCCGAAGCAATTTTTGGAAATATTCGCTTGCATTGCGCACTTTGAGGTCGTTGAAATTTTCTTCGAATTTATAGTGTCGATGGAGAGGAGTACGATGGGAGATGTACGGTTTTTAGCTAAATATATGAAAATAAACTGCTCCAAAAAAGTTAAAGAAGTTCGCAAATTTTGCGATTATTTTAAAAGTTAGAGACTTTTTGATTACCAAATTTTCAAATATGCGAAATTAAATGTTTTCTTTCATATCTGAGTGGATATTTTGTTCCTACCTCTACAATTAATACTAAATTTGGCGATAAAAAACCTGCAACTTTTAAATTCATCTCAATTAATATTTGTGAGCTTCCTTAACTTTTGTGGAGCAGTATATTTAACTTATTAGAACTCAAGTCAGTTTTCAGATGCTCAAATTATTCAATATTTTAGGAAATGTAGCCATTTTAAAATTTAAAATTTTGACAGGTGACGTGTGAAGTCACTAACCAATCACAAAAACGAACGAGTTCGGAAATGTTCGGAAGAATAGAGGAAACGAACAAAAGTGAAATGTAACATCAAATGACATCAGATGACATATCTTTAGGTTGTTGTAATTTCTTTCTTTTAAGTTTATTGGGATAAAAATAAACACTCTTTTAGAATACAATAAGGAATTTTCACAAAACGGCATGAAACAAGGTTTAACTATCTTCGGGAGCGACGTTTTAGAATTGTATAAGTTTGGTTGGAGGTTTTTGTTTTTATTAATTTGACAAGTTTAAAAAATCAAAAGTGCCACATTACCATTTTTACTAAACAATAATTTAGAATTTTAGATATTTACAGTACTTAGTAAATATAGGCATATTATATTAACAATTATAAGTTCGCTTTATATTTTTCGAATAAATCATAACCGCCAATTCTTAATGTGATTGGTTAATGACATGTGACATATGTCAAACTTTAAAAATTAATTGTGGTCTTAATTGGAAACGGAGAAAATTAATAATTTCACCAATAACTTCATAAGAATACCTAGTTTTTTAGAAAAAAGTACTCCTCTCCATTGGGATTTCGTTTTTACTGCGGCTCGTTGTGTAGTGCACTATAGTGGAAGTTATATTTTTTACGTGCGCAATTTATTTATAGTTTTGAAAACCCGTTTTTTTCTCTCCATTCAGTGGGCAATGCAAGCGACGTCTCGCAAACTTTAATTCACGATATCGGGGGTCGAACAATCGCTTTTTTTTGGATCTATCTCGTATAGAAGGGGCTTTACTGTCGCTTTACCGCTTTTGCGCATTTGTTGGTGTACACGATTAATATTGTTTGTTAACTTACACACACAGGTAAGGTTTAATTGACTAATAATACGCATCCGATTTCGGTTTCGTCGACGATACGATTAGCTAATTAGCTGTTTCTATATCTATATCTAAATGGTGGTTCTTTTGCCGAGTCGCTATCCTAGCGAATTCGCCCGGTAAGCGATTCGAATGAAGTTCGATTATTATATAGGGTGTTAATTAATTGAATGCCGATACTTCAGGATGTGAATATTTGATTGATTTTAAGAAGAAAAGTTTATGTCGATGTGTGTCCTAAACCTCTTAGTTTTCGAGCTACAGGGTGTTAAAATTTTAGAAAGAAAATAACTTTTCTACCATAATTTTCTTATTACTCTAGATATTTTTATGAAATTTTGTATACACTTTTTAATTATTAAGGAGCATTTTTTGAGGAATAGGATTTTTTAAATATTCACCAGTGACGTCCGTACGGGGTTTAAACTGAATATGTTTGAAAAAAAAATGGTACACCACTGATTTTTCTAAAAACTAAAATTATTTTTTAAATCCTCATTTATTTTGTAGCAAATTCGGTCAGAAGACTTATATTCTTACGACGCACCATTTTCGCGTAAAAAAATAAAAACCAAAACCATTTTTTCCCAAGTTCATTTTGAGACTGCTTTTGATATTTTGTTTGAAATTTGATAGGCGCCCACCATGCATGGAAACACTTTTTTTGGGACAAAAATTAATTTTCTACTATTGTCAGTGACGTCCACGTCCGAAATTTCATAAAAATATCTGCCAAAAATATAAACTTTTCTTAAAATCATCCAAAATTTTACATCCATAAACATAGGTACGTACCAAAATTGTCTTTATTTTTAAATCCTCATTTATTTTGTAGCAAATTCGGTCAGAAGACTTATATTCTTACGACACCATTTTCGCGTAATAAAATAAAAACCAAAACTATTTTTCCCAAGTTCATTTTGATACTGCTTTTGATATTTTGTTGAAATTTGATAGGCGCTCACCATGCATGAAAACACTTTTTTTGGGAACAAAAATTAATTTTCTACTATTACCAGTGACGTTCACGTTAGAAATTTCATAAAAATATCTGCCATAATAAGAAAATTATGATAGAAAAGTTATTTATTTTCTAAAATTTTAGCACCCTATATGCTCGAAAACTAAGAGGTTTAGGACACACATCGACATAAACTTTTCTTCTTAAAATCATCCAAATATTCACATCCTGAAGCATCGGCATACAACTAACACCCTGTATTTTTTATTCGGTAACAATTACGATAAAATTTCCAACTCATTTCTCAACAATCTCGTCGCCTTCGGCATACACGCTATTTCGCGTTTCTATATCGTCGACGCATCTCGAAATCGGCGGATCATTTCGCCTTTACAAAAAAAAAAAAACATCCATTCGATTTGTTTCTTATCTTTATCGTTCACATGCGGCTTTTTAACGCAGGATTTGACTACAAGACGTGCAACGTTTTGTTAGCCCTGGATCAGCAATCGTCGAATATAGCGGACGGCGTGCATATAAACAAAAACGAAGAAGAAATAGGTGCCGGAGACCAGGTGATTTTTTCGCAACATTTAATTCTCCCTTTTTTTCTTTTTTTTTCTTTTCTTCTTTAAGAATAGGTTAGAGAGCGCGGAAGTCCAAGGAGCGATAAAAAGTGAATTGGTTACTTCGTCCTTGAAACATTTGTGGTCTTGTAGGTGGGAAGTATTCGAATTTATTAATTCTCTATAAGGTAGACTGGGGCAAATGTAAAAATGGGGTAAATGTAATATTTTTACCTATTATGTTAATGTTTTTATTATTTTTATAGTTCTTTTGTGCATTAGACAGGGTTTGTTTCTTATTTTTTCTTTATTATTTTGTAGCTCTGTTATTTTTTTAAATAAATAAATAAACAGCATATCAAATTTTAGAGGAACCAAATATTTTTTTTACAATTGCCCCATATGTTTTTCTATATAATTGTATTGCACTTTAGAACCCCGTACCATGGGATAAATGTAACATATTGTCAACATTTTAAAAAATATGTAAAATCGTTTTCTTCCTTTTTCAAAAAAACTTTTTAATACCTCGATTCTTTAGTTTAGGAAGTTGTGAATTAAATGTGGTATCAGCATTTCTCATAAGAGAAAAAATTAAGCCACATTTGAGGATTTAATTTGAACTATTTAAATTTTACAACCGATTTGCCCCAGTCTACCTTATGTCAAATTCATGATTGCATTATGACTGATACGAATACTTTAACTTACAGACCATTACAAGAAGTAGGATACATGAGATAATGCTTCTATGCAAGGAAGATAAAGAGATATATTTTTTACCTTTAATTTGAGCACGAGTAAATAATTTTTGTACGGTAATATAATGAAAAAGAATATATAAATCACATTTAATCACGTGATTCCCATCTTCCATGTTCAATAAATCCTTTTTTTTTACATCAAAGAGCCGTAAAGGACTTATTTACTCAACAACCGACGAATTTAATGGAAATTATTAAATTAGTTTGTAAGGCATGCTTTTTTTTGTGATCGTCTCTTCTTTCGCATGGTTACATCGGTTCATTCGAAATGAATTGATCTACATTAATACAAAAAATTAACGCTATTTATTGTTGCTATTTATTATAAAAGTCGACACTAGCCTTGACTTCTTTTTTATTATCTATTCTCATTCGCGTCTAAAGATAAATTCGAATAACGATTAGTGCGAGTTATAAAAATAAAAATGCCTACGTGCGCACGTTGCATGCGAATTGTATTATGGCGCCTAAAATTCTCCTATTACAAAAATCGAGCGATCGATTTATTATTTATTACTAAAAACAATCAGAGATAGATCGATTCATTTTATTTATCTACACCATTCGATTCGGGCGTAAGTCAACTGCACGCACGATCATCAATTTGGTCTATCATTAAAGCCCTCCGCTCGCGGAGCAACTATTTTGAAATAAAGATTGCAATTTAGTTTAGTTTGAAACCAGTTTACAACTAATATTAAACTTGTGTACGCACACGGATGCGACTATTATAAAGCAGTAATTTATCTAATGTCGAATGAATCACACCAGAAATTGGCATGAATTTAGAGCAACTTGAAACTGCAAAGCGACTGCTACAGCGGGAATTGGTCGGGTACAACTGGTTTATGACTAATTGCAAACTAGTTTCATTTGAATGAAGGGGTTGCCGAGGTTGCAAAATAGTTGCAAGATCAACTGGTTAACAATTTTTTGTTTCAAAACAGTTGCTCCGTGAGCGGTCGGGCTAAAAATGGTCAATAATATTTACGGCACAATTCAACGAATTCAAAATTTGCGAATCATTTCAATCAAATCGTTCAATCATCGGTTCTTTTACTCTAGTTAAGTAATTTATAAGTTAATATCGTATTTTACTTGTTAAAGTAAAGAAGTTTTTTTGTTTGTATTTATAATCGTTTGAAACGTTTAGGGTTTGATGTTCGGATACGCCACCGACGAGACCGAAGAATGCATGCCTTTGACGGTGGTATTAGCGCACAGATTGAACCATCGAATAGCCCAATTGAGAAGGTCCGGGGAATTTTGGTGGGCCAGACCCGATTCTAAAACTCAGGTGAGCCACACCTCATCTCCTACAAGTTCTTTTTCTTCTTTCACATTTTGATTATAAATGGTGTTTCAATAAGACCTCAAGATTTGAATTGCCTGTCATTTACTGGGAGTAGTAAATATGGAGCATTGAATCTGGATATGGAACATAATCGCGTCCTTCATCAAGTTTAAATTTGACAAATAAATGTCAGAGCCAAGAGACCATAGCAACAATTAATTGACACATTTTGTAGTACGTTCAGAATTAATTCTTAAATGTATAAATATGCCTGGGGGTTAAAACTAAATTGATCTTCACGTGAATGCGCGTTATTAAAAATGTTTTCAAATTTGGGGGTTCTCTTAAGAATGAAATTACCTTTAAAACGAGGTCACTTGGCCCCCCTTTCCATAAGAAAAAAAGATTCAAAATGGCGTCTAACTGTCAAAGTTTCAACTGTCATTTTTACCCCAAAAAAATAGTATTTTTACCCCAATATAAACACCCCAAATTGCGCGACAATAGCTCTTACCATTCAAAAGTTAAAGGGGGGCGACGGACTTTTGGTCCTCACTGTATAATTCCTAAATGTACACATGACAAATTTATAAACATTTCCATATTTTGCTACAGATAACATTGTTTTATCGAACCTTAAAATCTTGCGCTCTTATTGAAACACCCTTTACAACATAACCAAAGACTTCCTATACTCTTTTTTTTCTGTTCCTTCAATTGGTGTGATATTTGCTGTGTAGGTTACAGCCGAGTACTCGTTCGAACACGGCGCATGCGTACCGCAGAGGGTCCACACGGTGGTGGTGTCGTTGCAGCACAGCGAGAAAATCACCCTCGACGAATTGAGGAGCGAGATCAAGGAGAAGGTGATCAAAGAAGTCATTCCGGCCAAGTACCTCGACGAACAAACCGTCATTCACATAAATCCGTGCGGATTGTTCATCATCGGTGGACCGCAGGTAATTACCGAAATCGATTTCTACTCGTTGGCGTATTTTCTGAGTGTTTTCGTGAAGATGGTGCTTGTAAATATGCATCCTATATGTTCATATTTTAACCAGGTCTATTCAAATGATGCTTCACATCGAAACCGAGAGGTCTATTATGGTATTCTGCACTCTATGTGGATATTTTTAAAGACTTCATATTTTAACTAGGAGTTCTATAAACCTGTGGTGAATGTTTTGTACCCTAACTTGACCAATCTGCTGTCCATTATCACCATTTTCTTTACTAGCTTCATCCAGTTTAAAACGTCTTAATACCTTAACCAGTAGGTTTACAAACCTATGGTGGATATTCAATGCCTAAAACTTGAACCATCTGATGTCCTTTATTATTATTTTCTTCACTAGCTTCATCCAGTTTGAAATGTTTTAATATCTTAACTAGTAGATCTATAAACTTTTGGTGGATGTTCAGTGCCTTAACTCTAACCATCTGTTTTCCTTTATCATCAATTTCTACATTATCTTCATCCAGTTTGAGACGTTTTAATATCTTAACTAATAGATTTATAAACTTTTGGTAGATTTTCAGTGCCTTAACTTGAACCATCTGCTGTTCTTTATCATTATTTTGTACACTAGTTTCTTCAAGTTTGAGGCGCCATAATATCTTAACTTGAACCATCTGCAGTCTTTTATCAGCATTTTCTACACTAGCTTCATCCAGTTTGCGACGTCTTAATACCTTAACCAGTAGGTCTATCTTGATCTAACTTCATCATCATTTTGTACACCAGCTTCTAGCTTCTTCAAGTTTGAGGCGCCTAACTAGAAGGTCTAAGAACCTATGGTGGAAGTTCAGTGCCTCCACTTGAACCATCTGCTATCCCTTATCACCATCATCATCATCGAGTTTTGCTACAAAGGCGTTCTTTGGATTTCAGAGCGACGCCGGTTTGACCGGCAGAAAGATCATAGTGGACACGTACGGCGGATGGGGCGCCCACGGCGGCGGCGCCTTCTCCGGCAAGGACTTCACCAAGGTGGACAGATCGGCGGCGTACGCGGCCCGCTGGGTGGCCAAATCGCTGGTGAAGGCCGGCCTGTGCAGGCGATGCCTGGTGCAGGTGTCGTACGCCATCGGCCTGGCCGAACCGCTCTCCATCACAGTATTCGATTACGGCACGTCCAAATTGAGCCAGAAGGAGCTGCTCGACGTGGTCAAGAAGAATTTCGATTTGAGGCCCGGTAAAATCGTCAAGTAAGCGCGCTATTACACTAATTACAAAATGGTAGGCACTAAATTCTCGGAAATGATTGCGATAATGGGTCTCTCCCGGTGGCGTACGGAAAATATCGTAGGCTACAAGTGTGTTTGACGGGAAAATCAACAGGAGACTAATAATTAGAAGAGCAAGGATTATGTAATAAATAAGAAAAGCGACAATATTTTCGAGAATTTAGTGCCTACTATAGTTTTGTTTATCGATTGAAAATGGACGTTCCCATTTTGGATCTTGCCGTATTTCGATGCGAGTAACCAAAAGTAAAATGTCCGATATAAGTTCTTGCGTTTCGAAAATGCTTGGGTAAACGAAGTAGATTTGTTTACTACTTTTCGAATTAAGATACAATTCCGATTGCGATGAATTATGATGTGAATTTAAGTAAATATTTCGTTTGTAGGGAATTGAAGCTCAGACAGCCGATCTATCAGAAAACCAGCACGTACGGTCATTTCGGAAGAGAGGACTTCACGTGGGAGCAACCGAAGAAGCTGCTCGTACATTGACGGCTCTCCATTAGCGATTCTACCTCTTAAATAATTCGATCGTTTTATCTCCCGCATCCCTATTGTTTTCTTGAATGTTTCCCACCCCCCAACCCATCCTCCCCCCTATCCTAGTAGTATCTAGTTCTTTCTCAGAACACTGTGATTGGCGCTGCGAAATTAAATGTGCGAAAAAAAATATCCCAGCTTCGTTTCGATCATCCAAAACAATAGTGGTACATTAAGTTTGTTTGCGTAAAAATTGTATCATTTTGTAGTCGAAGCGACGCTAAAGCTCTGCAGGCATAAGGACCGCCATTTCGATAGAAATTCATTCACAAAATGGCGGATGTAGGTAGAGCTTTGCCGGCAGGCGAACGGGCGCCCCCCGTCTCTCCTCGATACTGACCACAGCGGCGTCGCGACGTCGCTGCAATTTAGTGTGAGTCCGACAAAAGGGTTCGGTTTCAAGTTAGATGTTTTGCTCCTCGCACGTTGTGTTGTGTTTACGAGAAAATGAAAAATTTGGAAAAGAGCATTTCTGTATACACTCCGGGATGTATCGGGGAAGGGGGAGAGCTTTGCGCCGGGAAATGGCGCGAAACGTTCGTTCGTTAGATTTTGTATAATGATCAGATGGAAAAAATTAATTTATGTTTTTTTTTTTTGGATGGATTATTTTAATTTTCGACTCGAGTAAATTGAGGGCTTGTCGACTCCCGATTTTAAAGCTGCCAGCCATTTTTTTTGATAATGTAAAATTAATTAATTCATAGCGGTAATTATATTTTTATGTAATTTTCTTTTTTGATTTTTGAAATAGATTCGTAGATGAATACCGTAGATTTCTAGTTGGATTGTATAGATTTTATTGTGACTATTGTATTTATTTTGAACGAAACGTAAAAAAGAATATTTTATTATTAATGTTATTAACGATTTGAGGGGAGTTGTATCAGTTTAATTTAAAACCAGTTCATTATTGTTTAAAAAAAATAAACATGAAGAGAAATTCGAACTAGATTAAGATTTTATTGATACACTCCACTCTAAGGGTGGATTTTGCAAACATAGTGTAAACTAAAAATAAAAATAACATTGGAAATGTAATTCCATATAACGAATTTAAATTGTAAAATCAACCCTAATAGGTTCAAAAGGAACCTACTAAATAAATCGTTACTGTTCAAAGGTCGTATTAGTAGTTGCGATTCTAAGATAATTACCGAAAAGATTGTAGATCGGAATGATAAATTATTGGTGTATCTATTTTTTATTTTATATTTGAATGATTTTTTCATGTCGTATTGACCTCTTAAATTGATCCTATTTGTCAAATTTACACAATAAAAATCTTAGAGGATTTTAGCCTAGATTATTTTTTACCACTCGAAATGAGAATAAACTCTTTCAACCTATGGTTATGAAGAAATAAATGATGTAACATAGTACTTGTTACAAAAACAAAAAAAGTGAAAAATATTTTTATACAACGTCTATTTATCAGACAAACTTACATTTAAATTAATTATATAACTACCTAATGAAATTAAAAATATATTAAATAAACTTTACATTGTTTAAATGCCAGTATAAAAAACCCTTTTTTGTTTTAAACGGGAATGTGATGAAATTATCGTTCTTCTAATATCACAGTCTCTTGAGGACACAAATTCAGTTCTTTCAATGTTTTATTTTTGTCTAAAGAAGTCAACTGAAATCATACGTTTTGATAAATTCGATCCGATCGATACTCGCGATATTTAAAACAAATTAAAATATACTTACATCTCTCCTTGGCCAACTAGATATAACTTTAAATTCTTCCGATGGATATCCCTTAACTATTAAAAAGTCTAATAAAACCTACAACAAAAAAATTATCAATAAATATCTAACAAACAATAATAAATTTAAACCAACTTGTAACGGAGTGTTTGTTTGAAACCTCCTCTCAATGTGTTCTCCTTTGGGCAACCTGAACCTAATTTTAGTAATACTATCGCCTTGGCTTAGAGCCGGCTCCGGCGGCAAACTGGCCTCCACCTCTTTCCGCACCGCCTCCTTTTTCGCCTCCTCCTGCGCCCTCTCGCTCTCCAACCGCCTCCTAGTTTCGTTCTCCTCCTCCTCCTGTATCCTCTTCGCCTCCTCTTTGGCTCTAAAAACCGATCCAAACCGATAAAACAATTCTCTCTCAATAACTTTGCACGTACCTGTCCGCTTCTAAGCTTTCGCGATAAGCCAAATCCTGTTCCAATTTCACCATTTCCCTTTCGGCCCTCTCCTCTTCCTCCTTAATTTCGACGCGTTGGTGATCCGAGAAAACCTCCACGCATTCTATAAGACTCGATAAAAGTTCATTTACACCTACATTTCCTGCAAACAAAAAATAAATACATTAATGGATTGCATCGGGTTGGTAATCGAGCCGTACCGTAAACTACGCTAAAAATCTCGATGGTCGATCTGATCTTGGTGATGAGTATGATGACGGGCAACCGGTCGACCGGTATATTTCTGAGGCTCATCGCCGCCGTGGCGCCCAACGACGTCGTGACGGATTGCTGCAATTTGCGCCTGTTGCTCTCGAACGTTATGTCCCAGCCCCACAGGATGAAATTGTTCTCGAACATTTGCATCACGCTCTCGAAGCCCAACAATTGCGTGCAAAACACGTTCGTCAGCACGCTGGAGTCGTGATGTAGATATATGGCGAGGATTTTGCGCTGGAACAAAATGATATAGTAAAAACTGTTATATAAAAAATAATTTACTTACATCTTTTGCTGGTCTCGAACAAGCTTCTTTAATAGCATCGTCTAGGGTTCCTTGGTAGAAAGCGGGGTGTACTGGACCGTATCGGGCGGTGAATTGTTCGGAAAATGTTATACTACCGACGATTTCGTCCTCCACGTTATCTGGAACTAAAATCGATCGATTTGTAGAATAAAATTGATCGAAATAAGAGAGTACAAGTGGGTTTATTAAGGTAGATAATTATCGTAATCGCCCGGTACTCACTCAATGGGTCGAATTGAAAAGAAAAATTCGTCGAACAGGCCAATCCTTCGTCGTTGTCGTCGTTCGAATTTTCGCTCATTTTCAACTAGTCTTTCGAAATTCGAAAGGGATTTTATTCATGTGACAAATGACATGTCCAATATTATTCAAATTTCGGGATTATCCGGCGATTTAAAACCCAAGGAAAATTCACAAATTTATAGTTATTTTTTGTGACAGATTATATATATTATACAGCGCGTTTAACGATACAATACGTAAGGTCTATTTCAATAACAATCGGAAATTTATAAGATCTCATACAAATGTATTGTATTTCTGACACTAACATAGTAAAAGGCCGCGTTCGCCGAGTGCAAGTTCGGAACAATTCGGAACAACGCAAAAAAATTAAAAATGACAAAACAATACGTCAAATTGGATAATTTCCAAAATGGCGGACGATTAGCATCTTTAAATCGCGTTTTATTTATATAATTAACCCCATCATAATGGGGCCCGAGAAGTCTTCAAGAGTTTTCAATCAAACACATTGTTCAAAATGGTACGTAAATACTCACTCAACGGTTCCGTTCTTTTGCCAGCCGATTGTTCGTTATCGATGAAATATTCATCGTCGACATTGAAACTTTCGGAAGCGTCTTCGAATTCGTCGTCGTCGCTATCGATCTGCACAACGTTGTTCTTCTTCTCCTTCGCGTTGTTCGTTTGGGCGTTTCTTCGTACCGTCAAATCGTGCACGGGATAGCTATAGATCGAACAAATGATTAGTTAATAATAGCGCCACTTCGGGGTATTTTTAAATGGTTCAGTATTTCCAGTAAGATTCAAATTTGGGTTCATCGGTTGATTTGAATCTTTCTTATGCCTAATATAGAGACTCCAAGCAATGATATCGACTATTTTTAATCTGATCTACTTTGTTGTATATTTATGAAAATTGAAATCAAAAACTGCTATTTATTTGCAATGCTATTTAAATGGCAAAACGTAATTCTAATAATCGAATAATTTTACTAGAATGAAGAATACTTTTTTCAGAACAATGTACAGAACGTTTTTTAGATATTTTTGGATAATTTACTTTTTTTTAAGGACAGGTAATATGATATAAGGTATTTCCAGTGCATGGGGATACTTTTAGAGCATTTTAACGACTATTTTTAAACCATCTTTTCAGATTGCAGGGAAAAGAATTTACTTTGTTGTACGTTTGATATTATGTCAAGTGTAATCAAACACGGAACATCTACTAGGGACTTAAACTAATCTCATGCCATCTATCATGGAAAAATCTTACCAAAAACAGTTCTACATTACCCCACGAATTATATGAATTCTAAGGCTTGCTTTGGCGGCCTTTAAACGACTTAAATTGTATAAATATACTCACTTGATACCGGACAAACCGAGCATCATGTGATCGTCTATATTGGGCGGCCAGCCGCTCCAAATTTGATTGCGAACGTGGATGTTCGTTAGAGTGTACACGTCCCCTTTGACTTCCAGAATCGTCTTCGTTCCTTGGTATTTGAGATTGTACATTTTAGATTCGAATTTTACGTTTAACGTGTACGTTCCGTTTAATTTATCGATAACCGAAGACCTAAATAAAACCCGTGCTTTATTAATGATATATACAGAGTGATAATTAATGCAGTGTACCTATTTTAACGGGTAATCTTGAGTAAAAACTTTAGTTGTTACATCTAAAACATCACACAGAAAATTATATACTTGCCTAAATTCATAATAAGAAGTAGACATTTTATGTACATGCGTATTTATACCATAATATGTTACTCTAGAATTCAATAATGTAATATTGCAAACGGGTTGTAGGTATATCGAAAACCGAGCTTCGGAAGACATACCTTTATATGACCATTTTGACTCAAAATTAGCCCGAGAATCGCTCGTTAAAATAAGTACATTGCCTTAATTAACACCCTGTATATCTACGGATTGGTGTGGTGGTTTTCTACGTACTCTTCTTCGGCCGAAACGCCGCCTTCGCCGGGCTTAAGGGTGAGATGCAGGGTATTCTCGTCGGGCAACATCAGTTTCGAGAACTGCGTATTTTCGAACTGGCCCAATCTAGCCCAGCTGGAGAGGAGCTGTCTGCACGGCGACACCTTCACCTCCCTTTGCAATCTCAACTTCAAATCATCTAAAAAAACGAAACGATGTACTAATAGTTCGAAAAATAGCACGATAATCTTACTGATCGTAGCGGACTCGGGCAGATCGATTTTGATCACCCGATCGCAGTACTGCACGTTGAACTTCAACTGCCTGACGCCGCTCTGGCCGGCCGACGTGGACGGGAAGCTGTCCTCGTTGGAGGACTTGTTGGTGACGGTGGCCGGGTGGCCGATGTTGTTGCCGAGGCCGGCGACGTCGGTGGCGGCGTCGGCGGTGGCGGCGCTCGGCAGATCGGAGTCGTCCTCGACGATCATCACGTCCGGGTCGGGATTGGGCGCTTGGAAGCTCTGGGTGTCGGGCGGCATGACTCTGCTGACGGCGCGCTGCGGGGGGAACGCGATTGAAATGAACGGTTGGTTTTTCGAACGAGCGATTGCTTGGATGGTTGTTTTTTTTGTTTTCACTCACCAGTAGATCCCAGTTGGCTTCGTCTAAGTGGTAAATAGCCTCTGCGACATCTTCGATGCCAGTGCATGCCTATTGTTTGAGAACAAAAAAAAAATCAACATTGTCTAATGTTTAGGCTAGGGGATGATCGGAGGCGGCGGTACTTACTTGGAAATCGGCTAAAATTTCCTCTCTGTTTTCGGACATGATTATAGCGAATTTTAGAACAAAGCTTTTTACGCACAAATAAGTATTTTAACCTTTATTGAAAATCTTTTCGCAACGATTGGATTGGATTGTCAACTTCTGTCAATGTCAACGAAGTGTCAAAACTGTCAAAAGTTTCTCATAATTTAGTGGATTTCTATTGGATGGTCTAAGACCGCCTTTGACCTTTCGGACAAACAGCACCAATAAACTTTTCTATTTCTACACAAAATGACAAAATGGGATTCAATGTAACATCATTTGATTATTGCGAAAGTTTAGTGGGTTCAGTTAAATGTTAAATGTGTGAGGAGGTTTACTTATGACGCTTATTAATCGCGCTCCTGCTCGAAGCAATACATACAAAGGCAACCAATTAATCGAATTTCGGTAATACCGGTTGCCTATCTATTGTATTAGTAAAGCGCGAGTAATAAGTATCAGGAGTAAACCTCTTCACACATTCTGCTCTCCTAATACGAAATTTCAAATTCACGTTTTATTTCGTGATTTGAGCACAAGTTTTCGTCGATCGATCTCCATTGATAAATTTCGGATATTAGGCAATAAGAATATGCAAGGAAGTTCAATATCGGGAGATATTTATTATATCGAGAGAGATACGTCTAGGGAAGGTCCTGGATGAATCCTGATGCGTTCATAAATATTCTAAATGTTTCGTCGCACTTTAAAATACATTTTCAAAGATAATTTAACATTTTGGGCATTATTAATAATTCTTTATTACAAAAATGATACGAAAATAAAGTATTAAAATTTTTTATGACATCCTTAATCCTGATTTTGGAATTCTTAGTATTTTTCGTTCATTAAAAAAACGCAAAACCTTTTCAACGTAATTTGTAAAAATCTGGAGCTATTAAAGCAAAAAGATCGGGAGAAACAAATATTAGGAGTTCGAGTAGTTTGTGTCAAACGTATGAAAATCTCACGATAAAACGTGAATTTAAGAATTCGTATTAGGAGAGCAGAATGTGTGAAGAGGTTTACTCCTGATACTTATTACTCGCGCTTTACTAATACAAATAGATAGGCAACCAGAATTACCGAAATTCGATTAAATGGTTGCCTTTGTATGTATTGCTTCGAGCAGGAGCGCGATTAATAAGCGTCATAAGTAAACCTCCTCGCACATTCTGTTCTCCTAATACGAAATTTTAAATTCACGTTTTAATTCGAGATTTGAGCACAAGTTTTCGTCGATCTCCATTGATTAATTTCGGATATTAGGCAAGGAGAATATGCTAGGAAGTCCAGTATCGGGAGATATTTATTATATCGAGAGGTACTTCTGTGGAAAGTCCTGGATGAATCCTGATGCATTAATAAAGATTCTATCGTCGTTTTTCAAAACACATTTTCAAGAGAAATTTATCATTTTGGGCATTATTATTAATACTTTATAGCAGAAATGATAAGAAAGTAAAATGTTAAAAGTTTTGTCGAGTTTATTGACAAAAAAAAACGGAAGAAAAATTTTGTCGATCATTCGAAAATTTCACGTTAAATATTTGCGAATTAGAAATTTCGTATTAGGAGAGCAGAATGTATGAAGAGGTTTACTCCTGATACTTAATACTCGCGCCTTACTAATACAATAGTTAGACAACCAGAATTACATTTATCGATGGAAAATCGATTTATGGACACTAGTAGGTAGGCAACCAGTATTTCGGTCATTAAAAACTTATAAATGCATAATCGTTGTCAATTTTTCAGAAATCTCAAAACGAAATGCCTTTTTATGTAAAATCCTTCAAACGTTTTATTTATTTATTAAAAAAACAATATTTATATGTAAAAATTTATTTCCTAAATACAATACTGTCTGGTAAATAAGCTTCTACATCATCTGGAACAGGCCCCCAATGTTCTAACTATAACCGTAAAGGCGGCTTCGTGCTCAACGCCCCTCTTAAGAACGAATTGTTTATTAATTATAATAACTCGTACAATGTACATTTTTCTCGACTAACATCCGACTACTAATCCTCATCGCTGGAAGATGAAAGATAGGCGAGCTGCTCGTTCCACCAATCTTTGATCTCGTGCATCGCGTTCGCCGCCTTCGGCACCGTCGTCTTGGTGTTGAACACCTCCCTGGGCAATCGCCCTTCGCCCTCTTGCACCGCGTGCGACAGATTCTTCTTGCTAACAACGCCCGTCGACGACGCCGGAGGCGGCGGCCTGTTGGCGTGCGACGCCGCGGACGACGCCGACGCCTTCTTCTTGTTCTTGTTGGGCGCCGCGCCGGCGCGGTCCTTCTCCTGTCGCGCCGACGGATCGGACAGCGTCGGCGCCAGGAATTTCCTGCCCGACGTGCTGCCGACGCTGTCCGATCGCGGCAGATTGCTCGACTTTTTGCGCGGTTGCTCGCCGGCCGTTTCTTTTTCTGTTGAAGCGGCGGCGGTGGCGGCGGCGGCGGCGTCGACGTCGGCGTCGCCCGGGCGCTCCGGACTGGCGGCGGTTTTCGTTTCCTCCGCAGGCGGCGGCATCGAAAGGGCTTCGTTGGTGGCGCGCAGGCCCGCCATCAGGCTGTTCTGTTGCTTCTGGAATGCACGAAAACGAACACAACGTTGTTGGTTATTTCTTGTAGATACATAGAAGCACAGTTAGGCTTTGTTATGCACGATTAAACTCATTTGTAAGCGGTGAGTTGATCTGACTCGCGGGGAGTCAGTTGACTCTTCTACTGGAGCCCCTTAAACTCCCTAAATCAACCAGTATTAGCAAGTTTTCTCACGTATAACAAAGCCAGTACCTACTTCTATGCAAAGTACCTCTGTGAATGGTCATCTAACTGGTTAATTATTAAAAAAACAAGAAATATACTTACGTTAGTGGATCGTATTTTCTTGAGACAACCCTCCAGCCACGTTCGTATCGTCTGTTTGGCCACTTCCTCTTCGATAATGTACTCGAATTCTTCTCTGGCTAGCAATTCCTCCAATTGGAGGGCTTTTCTTATGTCGACGGATCGATAGGAGAGCATGCTGGAATTTTATATAAACTTAATAACTAATATCTTTTTATCGTATTTTAGATATTACTTGATGACATCGTGAAAGGTGACGTCTTCGCCGTTGTGGAGCCTCTCCAATTCGTAGCACATGTGTTTGAAGAGGATCTTGTTCGCCTGCAGATCGACTTCCAATCGACCTTTTAGCAATCTCAACACGAATTTCACCTGGTAAAGAAAAAACACCCAAACGAAACGTGCTGTTTTGTATTTAAATCGTTTTGAAACTCACCCTTCGAACGGGTATGACGCCCCTTTGATGTATATCGACGATGTTCCAGGTGTTTTGGAAGTTCCTGATGTCTGCGTACGACAGAAGGGCGTCCTCTTCGTTCGAATAAAACAGCGAAAAGTTCTCCATGATAATAGCTGGAACAATTAATTGTATAAAAAAAATCAAATAAAACGTATAAAGAAAACTCACCCACTAGCAAATTGAGTACGATGTACGTGATGATGACGTAAAACGTACAAAAATAAATCAACGAACCGTAGAAATTGCCGCAATCCGTTTGCCAATAATTATCGGCGGGCGTACAAAATGGCGGTTGTATCATACAATCGTGCATGATCTTGTTCCAATCCTCTCCCGTTACTATTCGAAACAACATGGCCACTCCCGTTACCGGCGACTCGAAATTCGCCCTCCTACAAACGAAACATATTAGCGCATAGCGAAAAAGTAACTGTTATTTTCTAACTAATATTCCGACGCCTCTACACTAACAACATCCATTCCCAACTCTATTAATCGAACGTCACTACTACTGTCATTTTTTTTTGACAGTTCGTTGTATTGTTTACGTTTTTTTTGGTATCATCGTACGCAACTTAAAGTCCTTCTTACGTTGTTTATAAGACAAAATAGATATATTACGTACCTTCCGATGCCTTCGCCGTATTTCACGGTACCGAAGATGATCGTACCGGCCAAAGCGTAGAAAAACACCAACAGAAACATGCCGAAGATGATGAAGAAACTCTTGCACACCGACACGCCGACGGTGAGCATCAGCATCTTCAACGTGGCGTGTTTGCCGGTGATGGTGAAGAACCGCAGGATCACCACCATGAACCCCACGAAGTACGTCAAATCGTTCTAAAAACCAAAAATAAAAATACATGGAATATACGGGGCGTTTCGCCGAATATCGAATTACTTTGAACATGCAATGGAAGAACATCCAAACGACTCCCATGACGGTGACGAAGAGATCGTAGCGGTTCCTTCGGGATTGCAGGTAACCTCTCGGCGTGAAGGCGATGTTCTTCATCACGACTTCCACGACGAATCCCAGGATGCTTACGATGTGAACGGTAGCCAGAATTTCCGTATGGGCTTCCTCTTTGTTCCACTGCGAAATACAACGCGAATTACAAATAGATTACTACCTATTATATCGATATGATTCAGAAGTACTTTACAGTACATAGACGAGCAGAAGAGAGGATATTAATACCCTACTTCTAGAGCAGCGATATTTTATATTTTAATACAGAGTATATATTATGCTTACGGTGACGCCTAGGAGGGCGCTGTTGATCAACACCAAGATGGCGATGCACCGTTTGAATTTGATGTTCTGCGTAATGTCGTAGATGAAGGCTCGGAATTTCTTGCCGTCGGGTCGCGGGGGCAGGTGCAACGGCTGCGCTATCTTCAGACGTTTCTTCAAATCGCACCTGCGAAAACGCGGCAATTCTAAAACTAGTCCGGAAACAGTGAGTATGTAGAACTGTCCAGAATCGATTCGAAGCACTTTAGAACTGACTAGGATCGTTTGAAATGGTTCGGGAGGATGTTGGATCATTTAAAACTGTCCAGAATCAATTCGAAGTATTTTAGAACTGACTAGGGTCATTTGACATAGTTCGGGTCGTTGTTGGATTCATTTAGAACTGTTGAAGACTATTTAGAACTTCCCAGAATCAATTCGAAGCACTTTTGAACTGACTTTGACATTGTTCTTGACGATGTTGGATTATTTAAAACTGTCCAGAATCAATTCGAAGTACTTTAGAACTGACTAGGGTCATTTGATAGAGTTCGGGTCGTTGTTGGATTCATTTAGAACTGTTGAAGACTATTTAAAACTTTTCAGAATCAATTCGAAGCACTTTAGAACTGACTAGGGTCATTTGACATAGTTCGTGACGATGTTGGATCATTTAAAACTGCCCAGAATCAGTTTGAAGCACTTTAGAACTGACTAGGATCATTTGACATAGTTCGTGACGATGTTGGAATCATTTAGAACTGTTCGAGACTATTTATAACTGTTCCGAATCGATTCAGATGACTTTAGAACCGACGAGGAACATTTGAAATAGTTGAGAACGATGTTAGAATCATTTAGAACTGTTCAAGACGATTTAGATTTTAATTACAAATACAAATTGTAATAAAAAATACTTTACCATCTTCTTTGATCCACTGTGAGCAAAGCCGTGCCCTTATTCTCCGAATAATTCGCAATGACTACGCCCACGAAGAGGGTGAGCCCGATCATACAACCCAAGAATATGTATACGTGTATGTAGATGGCGTGTACCTAAATACGAAAATTCCCGATTAATTCCGGAATTACTCCATTACCCGTACACACTCACGGGTCCCAAATTTTTAATCAGAATATCCCTCACGTCCAGCCAGCCTTTGAACGACAACACCTCGAACAACGTCAACATCGCGTCTCCGATGTTATCGAAATTGAACCTTCTAGGATTCGCCCTGAAAAAAAAAACAATTAAAATTAATCCTCCATAAACCCGAGAGCTTTTATCAATTATTTAACAATAAACAATTAGAAGAGGATCGTAATGAATCCGAGAATTTTAATCCTCTACCTAATTCCACGCTCTACTCACCCCTACGATGCATTACCATATTTTATACGCGATTTAAGATGCGTTCGATCATACACCAACGTCAAATTGAACAAAATCGACATTAATGACAGAAATTTAATAGAGGTGGGAATCGATTTTTCGGTATAGAGGCGCGATAACGACCGTTACAAAATAACCGTTACTTTGTCACATATCGTTCTTCGAGTACTCACCAAACTCTCGGCACCATAATGGCGGGAAACGTTTCGTTCTCGCCCGGTTGCACCTTCATCTTGGTCACGAACACCCGGCGCATGAACATCCCCACGCAATCCTCGCGCCTCGTCACCTGGGGATCGTTGCATCGGGCCAATCGGCCGCCGTACAGCTGCACGCCGAAGCTGGCGAATATGAACATCAGCAGGATCAGCAACGTCGAGACGAGCAGGATCTCCTTGAAGCCTCTGCACAGCTCGTACACGACCTTGCTCATGTGCGGCACCAGCGTGAAGATGCGCAGCGGTCGCAGGCAGCGCAGGATCATCAGGAGTTGCGCGCCCGAATTGGGCGGCACCCGTTCGGGCATCCAGCACAGGAACGTCAGGCTCACCTTTCGACAAAGAAAATTCAATATACCGATTATTTCAGATCGTTAGAAATCTACTCGGAATCTGTCCAGAACTGTCTGGCACTGTTTAGAAAGCTCCAGGACCATTCGAAATAGCTCAGAACGATCTAGAACTCGGAACGAGTACTCTACTCTGAATCTACTCTATAAATACATTCCTATACCCTACCATACGAGTATTATCCTACTACAAATCTACTGCTATTCATCTGTACTCTACAAACACATTCTTCTACTCTACTCTACTCTAACTTTTAGCGCGGCTACTACCGGGGTACATCGCAAAGTACACTCGTTTACCACGTAAATGAAAACATCCAAGACGGCCGCGGCGTCTTTCACGTAGGCCTTGGGCGTGAAAAACAGCCCGTCCGCCAAGATTTTCAACGCCAGCTCGATGCTCATGAATATCACGAACCCGTACTCGGCTATCTGAAGACTGACGTTCTCCATCACCCTGTACGAGGGCGTTTCGAACATCATCGAGAGACAGGAGAGCGTCGTCATGGTGATCATCACCCAGTCCAAATAGGTGACGAGGCTCAGGAAGTTGCTGTAATTGGACGAAATAGATGAAATAGAAAGCTCGTAAAGAGTACCAAATTGGACTTTGGGGACTTACTGTAGCGTTTTGTATTGGACTTTTCGCTCTTTTCCCGTGAGAGGGTCCTTCAATCGGGCGTCGTAGCGGGCGTAGACGATCATCTGGCAGAATTTCCGGAACCTGTAATAACGTAAAGTAAAAGGCTACTATAGTTTGTGTGCTACTGAACCATTTAGAATGGTCCAGGACCGTCTGGAACGCTTCGAAACAGTTCAAAACGATCCAAAACTGAGCGTTTCATACAGCACCTGCTCTCCCTGGGCACGGCGAAGAGCGGCGTATCGAAAAACGGATGGTTCTCCCTCAGATCCTCCTCCCTTTGGTTCCTGCAACGATCGTTAACATTAATTAAAAATTACACGGTTGCCGAATAACGAAAGAAGAACTACTAACCTCCTCATTTCGGCCTGTTGTCGCTTGGCCTGCAGCAATTTGATGTCCAAATCCTGCGGCCTGGCCCTGTTAGAGGTCACCCGGTTCACGCCGATGTCGCCGTTCTCCATCAGGTGCTCGTAGGTTTGCTTCAATTTGATCGAACCGCTGCGCACGCTGCGCCTGATCGATCTCGAACCGAACCTGCGCAGAGCCCAAGACGTTTATTAGATCGTTTAAAAGAGTCATCTAGTAGAAAAACGATCGAGTTTTTGTTAAATTTTGCCAATTAGACCGATTTCCACGCTCCGCCCTCCCTCTACGCGATCGAGTAGGAGTTTAAGGTGCGTTCGATGATACATTAATGTCAAATACAAATTTGACATTTCTGACAGAAGTTTAATAGAGATGGGAATCGATTTTTTCGGTATAGAGGTGCGGTAACGACCGTTACAAAATAACCGTTATTTTTTCACGTATTACAACACATTTTAGGGTTAAAATAACGGCTTTTCCCTACGAAACGCCCCGTACATACGATGAATTTTCTGGTTTCACTCACTTCTTGTGATCGATACGTAACTGTTTCATGCTGTTGACGGTGCCCTGGGGCTTCAGGGTGCCCTTGGTGCCCGGTACGGGGATCAACGAGGAATCGCCCAGCATCAATCGTTGATTGTTCGAATCGCTAAAACGATACATAAGAAACGTTTTGTATATTATCTTTGGAATTCGTGCTTACTTGACGATTTGAGCTACGGCGGTTTTTTTCAATTTCAAATTCACCACGCGCACTTTCGTGAGATCGTTGAGTATCTTCAAAGGTTTCTGCTTGCGATAGATCACTTTGGTGTCGAAGACTTCTTCGCAGAGCTTCTTGACGCCCCCTTCGGAGGCGCCGTCGTCGTTTTCCGTCTCGTGCACGAATTGCCTCATGAAACTCTCCCTGATCTGTACATGCAAATTTCTCATCATTATACACCCTGTATATACCGAAACAGTTTACCTTCGGCAAGTTGAAATCGGAGGGAACCTTGTGCAACGTGACCATCAGCGGGCTGTCGGGGAACTTCTCGAATATCCTCAAGCGAAACGGCAATTTCTCGTTGATTTCGGCGCTTTGCTCTCGGTATTTCAACTGCTTCAATTTCTTTATGTCCTCGTCCAACTCCAAATTGTCCAAAATGACGGCGACGAACAAACTCAACACGATCTACGATCACGAAAAATCACGTTAAAACCAGAACCATTTAAAACGCTCCAGGAACAATTAAAACTGTCTAGAACGCTCCAGAATCAAATGAATCTGTCTAGAACGTTCCAGAATCAATTAGAACTGTCTAGAACGCTCCAGAATCAATTAGAACTGTCTAGAACGCTCCATATTCAATTAGAACTATCTAGAACGTTCTAGAATCAATTAGAACTCTCTGAAAAGCTTCATAATCAATTAAAACTGTCTAGAACGTTCCAGAATCAAATGGATCTATCTAGAACGTTCCAGAATCAATTAGAACTCTCTAAAAAGCTCCATATTCAATTAGAACTATCTAGAACGTTCCAGAATCAATTAGAACCGTTTAGAACGCTCTACAGAATCAATTCCTGTCCTATACCCTTCAGGCATTATTCGACTTCTTACAGTACATCTCTAACCTCTTCGAACCACTCACCAAAGTGACGAACAAATGGTACAAAATGAAATAGAGCGCCACCAGGGGCGCCAGCATCGACCTCGTCCTCAGCATGGTCTCGTCCATCACCTCGACCCAAGCCTCCTGCGTCAGTATCTGGAACATGGACATGAACGCCTCGGCGAAGGTCTCGAACTTGGCGAAATCCAGAAAGCAAAACAGCTGCATGGAAATGCTCGACGAGATGATCAACAGGCACATGGTGAAGATGATCAGGCTGCCGAGCTTCTTGCCCGGCCCGAAGATCTTGTAGACGAAGTCCTCGAGCAGCGGGGAGGCCTTGATGAGCCTGACGACGCGCAGCACTTGGAAGTAGGTGAAGCCCGTCATGTAGAAGCCGGGTACGACGTGGACGGTGGTGCCGACGGCGAGCAGCAGCTCGAATTTGTGTATGGAATGCTTCCAGTAGCCGCGCCAGCCGAGGCACCACGTCTTGAAGACCGTCTCGAGATCGAGCAGCGCCGTGAAGCCGAGCTCTATGTAGTAGTACTTCTCGTAGAAGACACGGCGGGGGCGCTCGTCGTGCTCGAAGTGCATGGTCGCCATCACCACGCCGTTGGCGAGCACTATGCACATGATGATCAATCGGAAATGGGGCGATTTGAGGATCTTGTGGCAGAAATTCGGCGCTATGCCGCCGTGTTTGTTCTCGTCGAGCGTCACCAATCTCCAGCCTCTGTCGTCTCCTATCAGAATCTACAAATACCAAACGTTCACCCCAATTTACTACGTATATACTCTAAATAATATCACCTGCGAAGCTGTGGCGGTTTGTACGTGCCCCCTAACGCCCCACATCTGCTGGAACTGCACCCGGATCTCGTTGAAAGTCTCCGTAATCACCGCTATAAAAACGTTCTTCACCAACCACGCCAGAAAGAAGATCATCGTGCTGAAATACAACACGGCCCTCCATCCGGGTAACGAATCGATGGCCCTGTACATGATGAACACCCAGCCCTCCTGCGAAGCGGCCTGGTACACCGTGAAAAAACTAGTCACTGGAATAAAAAAAACATTAAGAGATTATTGAGTGATTATATGTTGTGTTTATACCGAATTCATCGAATCCATTGAATCCGATGATGTACCGTGAGACTCCTTCTAATTTCATGCAGCGCATCCCTTCGGGACATTGGTAGCCCGATGAAGGATCTAGCGAGCAATATGTATCGGGTATCGCTAGGCTATTTATAGTGATGTCTCTACAAACAGTAAATTGAAATAGTGCATTTCGAGTTATCTTATTATATACTTGGGATGCGTGGTGTTGACTGTTACGCAGTGATTCTTCAGCTCGCCGAAAAACTGCACGCCCAGCAGCCCGTACAAAGACATGAAGAACAGAAAGAACAACGTCACGTTGTAGATTTGCTGGCTCGAACGTCTAGAACAAACATATTACAATAGATTATAGAGTAAATTAGACGAGTATGATAGGCACTTGAATATCTGGTTGATCCTCGACTTGGGCATGGAGAATTTCAGGAACACCCTCAGGAATCTGATCATGATCAGCGGCCGGGGCGCTCGCAGAATCGACAGGTAACTGAACCTCGGCACGATGCCCAGCATCTCGAACACCTGGAGTATCACCGAGATCCACAGGAAGAACACCATGCTGGCGTCGAACTGGCACCAATGGTCCTTCAAATACGGTCTATCGCCCTACAAAAATGTCGCTTAGAATGAGCCTCTAATAGTTCGTACGTTCGGTACTTTGAGTATGCCTCGTATGTGCATCTTGGCGATCATCTCGGAGGTGAAGAGGAAGGTGACGATGGAATCCACGGTGAAGGTGGTGACCTGCATGAAGTGGATCTTCTCGAAGGTTTTCGGCGTGTTGCAGCTCACCGAGGCGAGGCTCAGGAGGGCGCAGGACCTCATGATGCGGCGCACCCATCTCTGCGAATCGTTGCTCGATTATACCAGAGATTAGAGATTTTAGAGTTTAGAGAATTTGCTACAAAATAAATGAGGATTTTAAAAGTAATTTTAGTTTTTAGAAAAAGCAGTGGTGTACCAGTTCAAACCCCGTACGGACGTCACTGGTGAAAATATTAAAAAATCTTATGCCTCAAAAAAAAGTGTATACAAAATTTCTTGAAAATAACTGGAGTAATAAGAAAATTATGATAGAAAAGTTTTTTTTTAATTTTAACACCCTGTAACTCGAAAACTAAGAGGTTTAGGACATACATTGATATAAACTTTTCTTCTTAAAATCATCCAAATATTCACATCCCGAAGTATCGGCATTCAATTAACTAACACCCTGTATACAATTGCTCCATTTTTGATTACAATATAGGTTAATATAGGCCATGGGTGCGATAAATAAAACTTTCATTAGACACTTGCAAAGGAAAAACAAAAAGTGACATTGTGTCATTACAACTTTTCACTTCGACAACTGTCATTTTAATCAATCTGTCATTTTAATAACCTTTCTTTGTTCCACTCATAAAAATGATCACATTGCAATCGGAAATGCAACAAAGACAACTTCAATTATACACTTATAAAGGAAAAAGAAAGAGTGATAATATATCATTACAACTTGTCACTCTGACAACTGTCATTTTAATAACCTTTCCTTGTTCAACTCATAGAAATGAGCACGGTGTATATTCTCTGATTATACTCGAATATTCTACGAGATATCATCGTGATAAATAAATTGAGTAAATACCTTGTTCACCCATTCGATGTCGGCGCTTTCGTTGAAGGCCTCGTCCGGGCCGTAATCGGCCAAAATGGGTTCGCCTTTGAGGCTCTGCTTGCGGCCCAGCATCATTTTGATTTGCTTCGGTATGAACTTCCGCGGGATCCTGCCTGGAATATTTCAACATAATAGATGTAAATGTAGATATGTTTATTGGATGTTTTCGAGTACTTACACTATGTCAGGCGGTTCTGTCGGTATTTAACGGAAGGCCGGTCGTACTTGCGCTTCATTGTAATTTTATTTGTTTGTTTATTTAATTGTTTTTAAGTTAATTCGATCGCTTCTTCGGGTGACGGAATGAATTGTGTAGAGAGGGATGCCAGATGATGCGCCTTTGGGAGCATCCACAAGCTCCTCGATCGATATTTTCGTTTCGAATTTCGCGCAACTTGCGCAGCAGGCCTAGACCTAGCAACTCTGGATGCGGTGTAGACAAAGAGGTATAGTGTTGTCGATGAATGAGAGAGATGCAACTAATTTGGGCATATGACAATGAGATTTAATAATGCGTTAGCCAATAGTAAGAAGGCAAAAAAGAATATCTAGATGTAGATATACACTGTGATTCAATCCAGATCGCAACATAGGTTATATAGCCTATAGGTGCGATAAAGACAACTTTCATTAGACACTTTAGAGGAAAAAGAAAGAGTGACATTTGTGTCATTGCAACTTTTTACTCTGACAACTGTCATTTCATCAATCTTTCTTTGTTCAACTCATAGAAACGACCATGTTGCGGTCTGAATTGAAGCAATCGGTAGATATAGAATCTAGGAGATATCCAGGGAATGCTTATTTTATTATTTCTTTGTTCTTTGTATTTTATAATGTCTAATCATTTTATTTGTATTTACTATTCTATTGTAGTTTTCTTAATTTTAACTTACTCTTCATCAAACTTCCAAATTAGTAGGTTCGAAAGTAGTGTTTATTTTTTAAAAGTTGGTAACAATGCTTGGCAAGTATGACGACAGTAGTGACGTGCATTGTTTTGCACCGACTATATAACATTATTCTATTTATTAATACTATATTTAATTAGGTATTGAAGAAAAATGCAGATTTTTGTTTAAATCTTTTAAAGCAAATAATAATTGGTTAAATTATTTATTTGTGTTGATGATGAACATGAGAATGGCGTAACCGTTTTTTATGAGCTAAAAATATTAACTTTATGTCAAAAGTAAAATAATTTTATGAATTCTTACCTTTATAATAAGCGCAAAATTTACACTGGGTAAACCGTATTTCGACGTTTGCATTGGTTTCATACTGTTCATAAAAATAATTATTAAAAACTTTCGATTTCTGTTGTTCCAATTAACCCACGGGCAATTGTAAGCGTTGGTAATAATTTCCATTGACTGTAATCTAATTTATTTTTCTATCAATCGCGAATTGTTCTAAAACTTACCTTGTTTTCCGCAAATTGACAATAAATGCAAAAGACCAATTCCTCACTAAGGCAACCCATTAAAACTATATATATTCGAAAGTTGTCTTTTCGACTAATTTCCTAAAAAAATAGTGACTTAATAAAAGCTTTTTTATAACAAACACGTTAATTACAGCAAGAATAAAGTAACCACCAGCGACAAACGAACATAACAGAGTCACTATTAGTATAATAGTGAACAGAGGAAACCATTTTTTTACGATGTTCGTTGATCTGAAAACATGATTAGTTCTCTGATTATATTGCAAGCTTTAGTAGAAAACTTACCTCAAAATATTTGTGTGAATTATAACGCATTGTCTCAATAAGCTATTTACCAATTTCTGATAATTTTCGTCTTCTATATCACCTTTTGTCTCTATTAGAAACTCGAAATAACTGTTAAGGAGAATGTACTGAAACTAAAAAAAAATCTCAGAAGAGTAATTTTTACTGTAATTTTACTAAGCAGATCTTGGATTCATTTTTTTCCTAAAACTTAAATGTGTACCTTAATGTGATTAACGACATATAGAAATACGGCTGATGGAACTGATAAATTAAAACCCCAAATAAAACAAACAGAATCGATCATGATCATCATAGGGATTTTTATCCAATTTGGCCATGTTCTGATAATGTTTACAGTTATTTGCCAATGTCCTTCGTCGCCTTAAATTAATAGTAAAAATTCATTACCATTGTAAATTTACAAACATTTCATTCCACCTTTATAAACCCCTCCGGTTAACACAGCTGCGATGGTTAAAACGAAATTTATATAAGCAGTAAACTTAATAAAGGATTTGCACTCATTTTCCATTTGCTCGAATAATTCATCGCCGGCAGAACGCAAAGACCAAAAATTTTTCTGTACGAAAATTTGATAATATAATACTAAATCCTTCGAAAACCAAGCGATCAACGTCCACAAGATTCCCTAAATCAATTACCTACTAAAATTAAATCAGCTAAATCTAAGTAACTTACTTGCACTAAAAACGTTATATGTATTACGTAAAATTTATTATCGTGATAATTTATCACCAATTTATAAACCCCGATCGATGCAATATAAGTAAACCAGCAATGAGTCAACAATAAATATATTTTAAAATGCTTGTAAGTTTTTAATTGCCTTGTACAAGTCATCTCTATCAGAAATAATAGAGGATCATCTGCAAACGCGAAGAAGAAAGATAAAGAAATAAGCACAAAATTATTTAAATATCACCTTTTAAACCGATTTTCGGCTCTTTAGGCTGCATGATTGTCCTAGTTTTCATTTCGATGGACTTGCAGGAAATACATTTTCGATAACATTTTTATTACTCTTTGTCTTGCTTGGGTAAACAAAACTATACAAACATCTCGTTATCTAATAAAACTTTTGATGAAGCTTATTACTAAGTACATAATTCGAATGCCCGGTTTCATTGCTAATATTTTTTTTTATTTAAGTTTAAAATCAATATTTTAAAGTACATATACAGGGTATATCGATGAGCTTAAACTATCTATATATCTACATAATATTTAATATGCTTCTTACTATTAAATTAGTGAGATTAAAGTGCAAAATTGGTAATATTTTTAAATAACTTTCATATTTGTGTGGGAGAATAATGTAAGAATTGCATAACCTGCTCGCCAGAGCTAAAAAAAAATAAGTTTCATTAAATTATCCTTTTAATATTAATTATCCAAAATGGAGGGAATCTCACCCTTAATATCATCTCATAATTTCCACTAGGCAGGCCGTATTTCGATGTTTGAATTGGCTTCATACTGTTAACCATAATCATCACCAAGAATTTTCTATTTCTGCTATCCCAATCATTCCAGGGGCAATTGTAGGCGTTAGAAAACATTTTCAACGACTGGAATTGTATAATTACTTTCCAATAATATTTTAAATAGGAACTTACCTCGTCCTCCATGTGTTGACAATGGTCGCAACAAATGCATTCTTGAATCATGCATGTTATCAAAATTATATACATTCGAATGTTGTCTTTAGGACTGATTTGCTGGAAAATATGAATTTAACAGAAACACTTTGGATAAAATGAATTATTACAGCGTAAATGAAATAAGCAGGGGCTACAAACGCCGTTAGAGCCATCGCTATTAATCCTATGGTAAACAATGGAAACCATTTCATCGCGATTTTGGTGCTTCTAAAATAAAAAATTACCAGCGAAGTAATTTGTATTAACGAAAATCGTACCGCAAAATGTTTGTGTGGATCAAAACGCACTGTCTCAAGGAGGTATTTACCCATTCCTGGTAATTTTTGTTGGTTACATCGCCGATTTTCTCTGATATAGCCTCGAAATGTTTGTTGAGCAAAGTGTACTGGAACTGAAGTTTATTTTATCAAATACAGGGTGTTAATTAATTGTATGCCGATACTTCAGGATGTGAATGTTTGGATGATTTTAAGAAGAAAAGTTTATATCAATGTATGTCCTAAACCTCTTAGTTTTCGAGCTAGTTTTCTTTCAGAAAGATAGATTTTTAGTTTCTCTAATTAAAAGTCTATAGTTTACCTTGATGTGGTTAATGACATACAGCAAAACAGTTGCTGGAATTGATAAGATTTGTCCCCAAATCACGCAAACGGTTTCGCTCATGATAATCATTGGAATTCCTATGCATTTCGGCCATTTGGAAAGTAGGTTCAATGAAAATTGCCAGTTGACTTCGTCCCCTGGAATTTTATTGTCAATATACAATATATTTTTGATACAGTATTAAATTTACCGTTATAATACATTTGAGTTAAAGCTGACAGCATGGTGATACATAAAACAGCGTAGGCGGTTTTTTTAATTACGGATCTGCATTCGTTTGCTATTTGCCCGAATAGTTCATCTCCTGCTGAATGCAATGACCAAAAATTCATTTTGATAACGGTTCGATAATTTAATACCAAATTTCTCAATACCCAAATCGTCAGAGTACTGGAAACTCCCTGTAAAAGAGATTATACTCAACACGCAATAGAAACTAACTCGAAGGTAACCTCACTTGCACCAAAAATAAGAAGTTCACCACAAAAGCCTGATTTTCCTTGAAATTGAATACCATCCTATAAAAGGCAAGTATTGACATGCAAAAGTACCAGGTATTCGGTATCAGCAAAAGTATTTGCAACGGTCTGCTTGCTTTTAATTGCCGGATATAAGTCATTTCCATCAGAAAAAACAGCGGATCATCTGCATATATTCTTTGTTAGAGAAATAGGCTCAGAATAAAAATTTTTACCTCACCATTTAACCCAATTTTGGGCTTGAAATTGGTCGTTCTATCCATTCCGATCAACGATCACGAAATGATTACTCAATAACATTCTACTGGTAATATCATTTGCTTGAGCAAACAAAACTGTACCCAAAAAACATTAATTTGATGTCCAAAATTTATCGAAGTCAAATATACTAGTTCATTACTGGTAAATATTTAAGATTTTCGATTCTTCACTGAAAGGTTAAACAGAGGATAATCTACAGAAACGGTAGAGTTTTTACAAAAGTGTATGCAAAATATTTATATTCCACACTTTAACTCAATTCAAAATGAATATAACTTTCTCCAGTTACAATCCAACTTTCGGTAATATCTCCATAAGCAAACTGCATTTATTTTGTATGAAAACTCATAATTTAATATTATTTCAGCTGATATTTACTCAGGATAATAAAGATCCTAATGCACTATTTCATTAATATTTAAAATTCATTATAACTTAAATATTTCAGATTACCTCATTGGAAAATGAAACTTCCGAGCTAATGGAGTAGATTTTAAGAGAATTACAAACAATTTAAGCCGAAATTATTTATTTACATCGATATCGGGCATGAAGCATTCGTATTGTTTTATGACGGCCTTTAATTTTCTGATGCTCTTCAACGTTTTCATATTTTGCTCCTCCGTTTTGTCGACAATTTCATCGTTAATGCTCAGAAATAGCTCGGTTTGATCCGTTATCGTTTCAATTTGCTCCATCAGGATTTTTGCTTTCAACGCTTCGTCCTGAAACCAGCAATTTTCAATGGGTAATTAAATGAGAACTGCAGGTATAAATAAATTTCGGAGTAATACACATTCAAAATTAAAATATAAAGTAATTGTTTATTCTCTAATTGCTCGGAAGTAATTACTTCTATTTGCTTCCGAGTGTCATGCATAGCCTTGTTGATTTTCTGGTGAATCATGGAGTGCCCTGGGATTCCCATATGTTTTGTCGCTTTTATTTCCTCTTCGGCGTCGATTTTCTGTTTGTATTGCATCCTGACAGCTCTTAGAACGGTTTTAGCGTTATTATAAGCATGTTTGGCTTCCTAAAATATTCATTTACGTAACATTTTTAAATTATTTTATCGATTTTCTTACGTCGGACATTCGTCTGATTCTTCCGGCCTCTTCCCTCATTTGCGTTAGGATATTTTCGTGTCGTAGGTGCATTTGAGTTGCTGTGGTTTCTTTAAAATCGGTGAGATATTCGAGGAACCTGCAGTGTATTTGCGTTAATTTTATTTCTTATTTTAGTGTATGGTAATTACTTTTTTACGAGAACTAGCGGGTAGGAATTTAGCAATTTGTCCATGTTACGTTTTGATATTGCTGCAGGTAACAGATATTTATCTTCATTGGGCGAAATTGGTCGTTCATTAGGCGATGATTTCTTTTTGTATTTATTTACCTCGTCTCTTCTGAGGTTTACTTTATCGAATAATATTAATAGTAGCTCGTTTCGTATTTCATCGGTGTCCAGCGATTCGTATTGGTCGTATTTGCCTGATTTTTTCAGGTCGTTTATTAGTTGGTTTAGGAAATTTTCAATGGTTTCGATTTTTATTGTCTCTTTGCCTATTCGTTAAAAAAATCTTATTAATACTTGAATTGCCAATAGAGAAGTTTAATTCATGGAATAAAATGGAATTTTACCGTCCAATTCGTCCACGATATGTCGTAAAACATTGTCATAAAACGCGATGATTTTTTGTCTTTCTTTGGCGATTTTTCTACCGGCTAATATTTCCTCCATTTCTGTGAATCCCCCTTCTAAATTGGCGCCGTTTGAACTTAATAAAAACATTTAGTAATGTCTTTTAGCGATAGATTTTAATATTACCTACCATTCACCTGATCCCAAACATAAATTTTCATGCTTAGTAGCTATACTTTCGGAATTTGTACAGGGAGGATCCGTACAGGGGTTCAGGTCTGTAGAAGCAGTGAAAGACATTTTTCTTCCAAATATTATGTGTATTTTAAATCTTTTTTACGAGCAGTATTTTGTAACTGTAAAAGAAAACTTGTATGAACTTGTATAAACGTCAAATTTGAAATATAACAAATTAGCGCCATCTATGCGTTGATTTCAGAAGTAACAAACATAATAAAATCGAATGTTTTTTTTTCATTTTGCATATGTTGCGCCCTCTGTTGGTAATACTTAAAATTGTATTGATAAATGTGGAAATTCACAAATGATATTTATCGGAGTAGATAATTGCAATTAAAAATGCACAAAGAACCCACCAAATATACTCTTTTCATTCATAAAAGTTGTTCATTTAATAATTTATCTACTGGAACCTTTAGTAGAAAAAATCTAGATGGCGCAACATACTTTTTAATAAGAACACAAAGTTTGTTTGCTTATTGTTGATAAATTCCGAGAACCACATTTACATATATCAAGGTTAAATATCATTTAACCTCTTGAAATGTAAATAATACTAACAATAACAACAAACAAATTCAAATAAGTAATTTATTGAAATTGTTAGTAAAGTAATTTGACAGGAAAGTCATTAATTAAAATAAAAGGTCTCTGTAATTTTACTTACTGTCAAAGGTCATAAAATGATCAAAACACAATCAACAGTACGATTAAAAAAATAAAAATAGAAATATTCCGATAATAAATAACATGTTGTCAGTGTTGCCTACCTCGTCAGTGGTGGTAATTCAAGGAATGACAAATCGATGAAATATGACAACTGACGGAACTTCGTGTTCCATGTAAATAAACCCGAGCTCGAGCGTAGACAGCCGAGCATTTTCGCTTATAAAACAAGTCAATGTCAATTACGTCTGTGTCTCTTTGTTATTGTTATAATGGCGCGTTGCCTGCACGTTTACGTATAATCTGTATTTTGCGACTGAATTTAAGTGAGTGCCTCCATTTCCACGATGCCGATCGCCCGGAACGTGTGCAGACTGTGCTTGTCTACTAAAGAACTCGTTCTCGTGTTCGACGAAAGGTTGAACCAGAAAATTGATATGAAAAATGTGATATTTTTAACTACCGGAGTCGAGGTATGTACGCCGCCATTTTGTATAACTGACTTCCGACTGCTCAGACTCACAGCTTTATTTTTCTTATTAGTAAAAAGTGCGGGTTGGGTTTTGAAGGATTTTGAGGTTTAGATTTGAGGTTATGTTTAATATAATTTTGTAAATGGTTATTTTAATGGTTAATTGAGTTATGTAACTTTATGTATTGGTCCATCCATTGATGAGTCCGCATATGAGTCACCGTTGATGGGCGCATGCGTGATTTTTATTCTTACTTATAATCAAGCTAACTTGATGCTTGCAGGTTATTTAAATGAAACAAGGGAAGCTGTGGGTAGACATTTTTAATTTTGGTAATTTTTCGATTACTTTCGAACATTAATTTGACTTATTTTTGTGATATTTGAATATTTTAAATGGTAATCTATGACAATACTGTGACCTTCAACAACCTTTGAAGGACAGTTACAAACCCGAAGTTTTTAAATAGGAAGTATAGGGCTTGTGATTGTTTTGAAGGTCTCTTCATTCACTATCCAAAAATGTTGTTGATTTCGAGTTTATGTCAAAATTCAACATAAAAAATAAAATTTTATTCCATTAGATACTTATAAAGGAAAAAGAAAGAGTGACATTTGTGTCATTGCAACTTTTCACTCTGTCAACTGTCATTTTATCAATCTTTCTTTGTTCAACTCATAGAAACTACCATGTTGAGGTCTGAATTGAAGCAATCGGTATATACAGTATGTACGAACTGATCCGCTGCAAGCATATAATGAGAATAATGAGATAGCTAATTTAACTTTTGCTATGTAAGGAATAAAGAGAACATACGAAATAGTCACGCCCGCTATCCCCGCTATTCGCTAGTGAACGAAGCGAAGCGAATTGACGAATTCTAATATCGGCCGGCAACCGATAAACAAGTTTCTGTTCTTTACTATCTTATAGTATTGATTGAGATTCTAATTCTAACGCTTGCAGCGGAAGAATTCGTACACTCTGTATAGCAACATTTTCTTTTCGTATTTCTCATAACATTTCTCTATATAATTGTTTTAGATATTAGATACCGACTTAATTTCACAAAAAATATGCTCAACATGTCAACAAGTAACAGAAAAAGTCCACCAGTTCCGACAAAGAGCTCAAAAGACTGATAAATTTTTGAAAGTAAGTCAACGATCTTCGCGATTATCTAAATATTTTATGCGGTCGATAAAAATTTTTCAGGATCAATTATGTGAAGAAATCAAGAAAATTCCCGACCGTAAAGTTACTGCAAAAGTTTCTAACGCTGATGCCATTACAAGCATAGGTGCAAACACGGAGAAAAAGTCTCCAATATCCGAGAAGAAACTTCCCGTCATTGCAACTACAAGCGTAAATGAGATTAATAATAAACCCGATCGTCCTCAAGTAGAAATAGAATGTCTAGATATCCAAGAAGTTACATCTAAAAGTGATGTTCCTGTGGCAGACGAGAAGAATGTTGAAGCGCCATCAACACCATGCGTACAAAAAGATGGAAGTTCTTCAGAAACACCAAGTGATTTGTTGGATATCAATCCATCATCGTCGCCCTCGAGAAGTGAAGAAACTGAGGAAGAACCGATCCAATGGGCCTCGAAAGATGTCGCGGACAATTCGACAAATACCAAGGTAACCGTCGACGATAGTGTAAAAAATTTATTTTCGAAACATCCAAATTTGAAGTTGCCGAATTTCGCTTTGAACTATAACTATCATCCTTTCGTTAGTTTGGAAATTGATTTCGTTGAGGAGTATTTTCAACGGAATAACTTGAACATGAGCAAGCAGGTGAAATGTAGCATAAAAAATTACAAAAAAAGTCTGAAACAAATTGCGAATGATAGCGAAACGACACCTCGCGTTTGCGATAACCCGGTCAAAAAACCTAAAAAATCTAAATCTAAACATAAAAAAAGCGATGAAAGTAGTAAAATGCAGCAATCACTTGAAGAACTCGCCACTAAGCAGGACGATGTAGAGTCTCCGACTTTAATGGATACCCTGAAGCTTTTGCCAAAGGAAAATGTTATAAGATGTAATATCTGCAATTTACCGCTTTCAGACGAAGATTCATTGGTTTTGCATAAAAAACAGCATTTGCAATGTCCCTCTTGTAAAACGGAATTCGATTCTTTAGCTAGTCGAAACGAACACGACAACCAGTGTCTTGTTAAAAGATGCTTGGATTCAGAAGTAACTGTAGATTTAACGAGATTAGATCGTAAGAAACTTGATAAATATTCGAATGAAACTATAGAAATATCGGATGATGAAGCCGTACCAACACCATCAATTCCAGTTGAAACTGTATCAAATCAATATCGCAGTAGTACTAGCATAATACGACCTGTTGTTGAAATTTCTGATAATAACCTGTTAACAAATCTTGATTCTTCTGTTCACGAAAGTATCTTACTAAAAGAGTTGGTTAAGAATATTAAAAAAAAATCAATATCGCATTCCACCCCATTTCAACATTCCAGTCCCCCCGTTGTGGAACATACCAAACAGAAAACTGCGAAAATAAAAAGTTTAGTTTCCCTACTAAATAATTACAATAGAGTTCCAGTTGAGGTCAAGAGAGGCAAATTCTCCGTCTCTTTTGTCGCAACCAAAAATATTCCTAAAAAACGAAAGGTATTTAATATTTCTTCTGAACCAATCGACGTCAAATCCAACAAATTTTTTAATGCAAACAACTTTCGTCAACGCGTTAAAACCGGAATTTGTTTATTTGCGAAGGAATTTAAACAATTATCCAATGAGAAACGGACAAACGACTCAGAAAGCCCCAACAAAACTGCCTTTTGTAATACACCAAATAAAAGAAGCGGGACAATGCGAACTTATTCCACTAAAAAAATTAAAACTCAAAATAATAGCATTCCGGTCGATTCTGTTACAACAACAAACGTCCAATCTCCCAGTTTGCCTGTGAAAAACAACCAAACCTTAACACCTGCTAAAGATACTTCAACAAATAATGTTGTTGTTGAGCAAATTCCAATGTGTCCAGAAACTATCGATTTAACAGTTTCTGAAAAAGCTTGTGATATATTCCAAAGGTCTCCCGTTTCGATAAAAATCACTGAAAACGAATTTGATAGATTCCAAAGATCTGCTATTGCATCGAAACAAATCACTGAAAATGATTTTGATAGATTCCAAAGTGTATCTTCTGTAGAAGCAAATTATATTTCGCTGAATAATGTGGAAGCTCCACAAATCCAAAAACCGTCATCCCTTAAACCTCTCAATGATAGCAAATTATCACCTAAGGCTCGAACTGAAATTGAAAATAAATTAGCTAAAATTGTTGAAACAAATTATAATACTAAAATAAAGCCAATATTTAATAATCGTTCCGCACCAAAAGTGTATAAAAAGAAGCAATCAAATAAATCTCAAATTCCTGATAATGCTGTTTCTTCCGAGGTCTTTCAACCGAAAGTTACCTCGAACATTCCTGTACCATCAAACATTCATTTTCAATCCCCTACCAATAATAGCCCTAATTGTAAACCGAAATCTAAGACTAATATTTTAAAGACTATTTTAAACGAATCTCATATTTCTCAGAAACAATCTCAACCAGGAGTTTCTACAACTAGTCATGACATTGTAGAATTAAACAAAATTACATCTAAAGAAACCACCAAACAAGGACCAAAAATGAATAGTCAATCCTTGCCTATTAATAAACCAAAAATGAAAAACAAAATTCATTTTAATAAACTTCAATTGCCTGCTAAATCTTCCAAACCAACCCAACAACAAGTTTCGCCAAACAGTATAAATTCTCATGTATCTCAAAATGCTGCTATGCCACAAATTTCAACATCAACTGACTCAAATGTATTAAATCTATCCCAAATGTCTGCAAATACGATAACCAAAAATCAATCTAATTTACTACAATTGCCTGCTAAATATTCCAAACCTCCATCACAAGCTTCGTCAAACAGCATAAATTCTCATGTGTCTCAAAATACTGCCATGCCACAAACTTCAACATCAACCGACTCAAATGTCTTAAATCTATCCCAACGGTCTACAAATACGATTACCAAAAATCAATCTAATTTACTTCAATTGCCTGGTAAATCATCCAAACCATCTCCACCACAAGCTCCGTCAAACAGCATAAATTCTCAAAATACTGCCATGCCACAAATTTCAACAACTGATTCAAATCTACCCCAAATGTCTGCAAATGCTACAACTTCCACAGCAGCAGCTGCGCCAAGTCCTTATATAGCACAATTTAATACTTGGATCCTTAATAATTATCAAAATTTTGGCGTCACTGTAAATACACCACAATATTTGGTTCCAACATATCCTACTATACCTCAAAATACTAATCAAAACTTTAATGTTAATGCTGCTAGTACGCTTCAAACAAATTCTCCCACTTACCCCTGTTATCGACAAATTAATGATACTGGTTCCGTCGTTACCCAAAACCATTTAAATTACATGCCACAAACTATTCAGGCATTCCCTACGAAATCTCCAAATGTTATGAATCAACCTGTTTCTACTCATCACAGACATCCTCCTCCTTACATTCTTCTAAAGGCGCCTAATGCTGATAAAGCTAGTAAAAAACCACCTCCATATCCATCCTGTAGTGGTCCTTCAAATAGCGTTAGAGCATCTGGAATGTCGCAGATCAATTCGAGCAATCTACCACAAAGTACCCCAAATTCTCTGCCGACTTTATCTAACTTATCTCAAACCACGATTCAACCTGTTTACACCGGTGTTAATACCCAAAACAGAGGAGCAATTCCGAATTTGTCCACTTCTTCCACTTCTCAAAATAATCGTCGTTATCTAAACCTTAATGATAGGGAACATCAGTATAATCAAACCGCTCCAAAAGATCCTAATCTAATCCGTTCGAAATTCAAAGTATTGGTCGTTCCAAATCAAACTAACATATCGATTGCCAATGAACAAGATAGTGTTAGAGCAACCCAAGCTTCTACATCAAGTACTATAACAACTGCTAACGAACAGCAGAGAGTTAGAGCAGCCCAATCTTCTGCATCAATTACTATATCAACTGTTAATGAACAGCAGAGAATTAGAGCCGCCCAAACTTCTGCATCAAGTACTATAACAACTGCTAATGAACAGCAGATAGTTAGAGCAGCCCAATCTTCTGCGTCAATTACTATATCACCTGTTAATGAACAGCAGAGAGTTAGAGCAGCTGAAACTTCTGCATCAGTTACTATATCAACTGTTAATGAACAGCAGAGAGCAGCTGAAATTTCTCCATCGAGGACTACTATCAGTTTAGAAACTGAATTGCCGAAACTTACTCCAATTGCTCAAATGTTTCGGCAGACAAAAAATTGCAAACGTGTACAGAAGAATCAAAGTTTGTCGGATTTCACGAAAAGTACGACTTGGTCTAATAATACTAGTTTACAGTATAATTTTGTAGATAACCGAGTAGATGGAACTACAATAAATAAAAACGGTACTTATAATAGTAGTATTAATGAGGGGCAAAAAAATACAACATTCCTTAGGGTTAAAAATCTTCAAGATTTAAAATAAATTATTTATTATTGCATTGTTTCGATTATTGTAGTTTCATAACTCGTACATGATAAATAGATATAATTATTTTGCTATGATGTTCATGATGAAAAGTTTTCATAAGATAAAACGAGTTATTTATTGTTTTGACTTCATTATTGTACTTATGTATAAATGTTAAAATGAATTTATATTGTTCAATGTTGTAACATTGACTTCATAGAAATAAGTTATAACTAAGACAGTTATAGCTTATTCTTCAAAAGCGTTTGTGAAGGCTTCGTAGAATAAGTCAACAAAAATTGTATATTTGTTATTTGCTATTGTTAAAATTAGGAATTAAAATGTTCAATATAAGGTTTAAATAAAACTATGTTTCTTTAGGTTCTCTAACATGTTAATTTTTTTGGGTATTGAAAAGAGGTTTAATTATTGTGCTTGTAATCTGTCAGATTACCGATGAATAAATTGTTTATTTCATTTTTTTTTTCATAAACATTACAAATTTATCAAAGCCGAATTAAATATATTTTCTACATTTTGTGGCGTTTTATTTCACACTAAATTTTTGACAAAAATAAACAATTTTAATATAAAGATTTTTATTTCCCCCTGTACACGGATTGTTAAAAAAATTATTACTCGTTAAAACGAGTTTATTTAACAGGAAACATAAGGTTCTGTCTATCAACAACTTTCTGAAATGTTACTTATTATCGCATTTTACTAAATGATAAAAATATTTGATTTGATAAAACGTAGAGTATGTGGACAGTCGCGTTGGTAACATTGAAATTCTTTCTACAAAACTTCTAGAAATAAAAATAAATTAACCAGCGCTATTTTATAAATTTGTTTAAAAAATTAATTACTTATCCCCGTCCTTTTACAACTAATTATATTTATCGGTAAGTAAAACGTAAGAAATCAAAATTTCTCAATTCCTGCTACAATTTCCTACTACACTATCTCTATACAGGGCGTTCAAAAAAGTTTCACAAAATGAAATAGGTGGCAAAATATGCAAAAAAAGTCTTAATAAACATGTGTCTGCACAAATCATACTTCAGCCGATACTTCAGGATGTGAATATTTGATAGATTTTAAGAAGAAAAGTTTATATCTATGTACATACATATGTCCTAAACCTCTTAGTTTTCGAGCTACAGGGTGTTAGAAATTTTAGAAAAAAGAAAATAACTTTTCTATCATAATTTTCTTATTACGGCAGATATTTTTATGAAAATTCGGACGTGTACGTCACTGATAATAGTAGAAAATTAATTTAGAAAGGAAGAAAAGAAAATTAATTAATTTCAATAAAATGTCAAAAGCTGTCTCAAAACCAACTTGGGAAAAAATGGTTTTGGTTTTAATTTTTTTACGCGAAAATGGTGCTTCGTACGAAAATAAGTCTTTTGACCGAATTTGCTAGAAAATAAATAAGGAATTTAAAAATAATTTTAGTTTTTAGAAAAAGCAGTGGAGTACCATTTTTTTTTAAACATATTCAGTTCAAACCCCGTACGGACGTCACTGGTGAATATTAAAAAATAACTTATGCCTCAAAAAATGCACCTTAATAATTAAAAATTGTATACAAAATTTCTTAAAAATAACTGGAGTGATAAGAAAGTTACGATAGAAAAGTTATTTTTTTTCTAAAATTTTAGCACCCTGTAGCTCGAAAACTAAGAGGTTTAGGACACAAATTGATATAAACTTTTCTTCTTAAAATCACCCAAACATTCACATCCTAAAGTATCGGCATTCAATTAATTAACACCCTATATGTATGCAGTTTTAGCGCAAGAATCGTGAAATCGATATAAAGCTAACCGTCGACTTTCTTTCTCCTTCAACCTTAAAATTAAATACCACAGCCACCTTTAGCTCTCCATCTGTCTAGCAGCCGGCCTTCGCGCAAGCGCGTTACCATAGCAACGCGCCGATCTCGTTCGAGTAATTTCTGCCATTTCAACGTTGTCGCTTGTTGCGGGAACGTCGGCCGTTCCACGTTCTAGAGCCGCAAAAAAAATATGTCTAACGGATGCATTGCGGAGTTGAATCGCGTTTGCCGGCTATGCGGCGAACGGGACGGATTAATATCGATATTCAACGTTAGATATCTCGATGTATCCGAGTCTCTGCAGGATGTTATAAGCGAAACCGTTTCGGTGAAAGTAAGTAAAGTTTGCGCTTTTTACATAACCTAACTGTTAGACCTAACGGATTTTCTAAGGTCACCTAAAGTGATTATTAGTATGTAGGATACACGGAACTTTAATTTCTTATATTCGGGCGGGAAATTCGAATGAGTTTATCGCGGATATGAAGTTGTAGTGAATTTGGGGCAAATAGATTTTTTTTATTTTTTTAAAGGTCGATCAAAATGACTGCATATCTAGAAACATATGCACTAAATGCATGAATATGGTGATTCAACTGTTCAAATTTCGACGCCAAGCCATTGAAAATGATCAACTGCTTAAGGTATGTATATTAGGCACGGCCCTAAATTTCTAAGGTCTAGAAACTCCCTATGCTTATGCATTAGAGAATGTGTCCATTTATTTGAGGACTTTTTGAGATTTACTTTTGCGCCGCACGGTGGCGAACGATCGGACGATCAAATTATCTCAGCCAATCAGCGTCGCGCTACATATAAATCGCGGTTGTTGTGAAATGACAGTTCAAGCTGTCAAAACTTCAAAAATTATTTTTTGACATTTCGAGGAGAAAATGGAGAAATATATTAACCGAAGATACGTGAGGCGTGATGTTTACAACAAAATCATCGCTGATTTAAGTATATTTTTGTATATTCCATCTATTTTTAGTTTGAATATAACCTTTCTTAATGCTAATTCTATATAATTCGTACGCAAAAAACCGTGGTCCTTTAAAACATCGCCTCCTAGCGGTTTTTAGGAACCCTATTTTATCCTCAAATAACGGAACACTTTTTCTACCTATGTTTCCAGACCTTAGAAATATAGAACCGTATTTTGATGAGTAAATTTGGGACACTTTTAAGTGGACATCTAGGTCCCATGGTTTGCGTAAAGATGAGTGATTTTAACTGAAAGGGTTAAATTAATTTTTACATCTAAACATCACTACACAGCATAATTTAAGATGTTTCTTTAATTTTTTAATTTTTCCAATTTCACTAGAGGTTATTTTATAACTAACAAAATCAAACGTACAAACTAGCATATTATGGACTTCTTTTCATCATCATAAGTAAATAGTGTTCCAAAATACAATAGAATTCCTTCCAATTAAAACTTACATTATAATTATTGTCCAAATATAGTACTAGCAATAATTATCACATTAACAATTAATTCCAGAAACAACACGCGTTAGCAATTAAAAGAAACGAAGACGTTGAAGCCGTCGTAGCAATTGATCAACGAAATATTTCTAACAACGGTTTATATAGACAAATAAAGTTGCCTAACGGTACCTTCAACGTATTTTCTAATCCATTTATAGTAATGGACATCAACGTAGTCGAGAATTACTTTAAGAAAAACAAACTGAACATGAAATTACACGTCAGGGCAATAAATAGGACCTATCGACCTGAAATCCGTTGGAATTTTCAAAAACGTAAGACCGCGCGGCAACAACCATCTCATGATAATAAAATGGAAATATCAGATACTAAAACTGCAGAAAAAGATTCTTCAATAGATTCAATAACAGTTTCAAGCACTCACGAATCGAACAGTAACGATAACAAAGTCATATCACACAGCATTGATCTCGCTTCTTCTACTGATTCCTCTGCTTCATCTATCTCTCAGCCGGCAAGTACTGAAGACAATCCCTTTACGAATACTAAACCATTCTCGAGCGTTATGGAATTTGATACAAGGTGCGCAGAAGCGCATATGTGTGGCATATGCAATGTAGCTTTTGATAAAAGGTACCACTTGAAAAAGCACATGTTGAATCATTTGAATTGTCAATTTTGCAAGAGAAAATTTAAAACGCAAAAAGGTAAAGAAAAACACGTTTCAAATGAGTGTAATGTAATGAATGCCCTAAATGGCGCTTCGACGCTTCATGTACCTCTGCAAAAAATAGAGCGAGATTTGGAATTGGTATCGATGTACTATTCCGCTTTCAAAATTTTTCCCGAAATTCTACCAGCTGATTTCTTAGCTGACAAAATAGACGATTCCGACAAGGAAGATAACCTGGACCTCTTCAGATTGTATATAGAACCAGACGATGAAGAGCAATCGCAAAAGGAAGATCTACAGGATCCAATTAATGCGACAATCGAAGGCGATAGAGAAGAACTTTCAATAGACTGTGACGACCAACAACTCGTCGATTTAATAGTGGAATCTCTTAAAGGAGATCAATTCGAAGAGAACAATCTGCGTGTGGAAGGATCTTCGCCGAATTTCAGAACGGAAGAACATCTTACGGGAATCAACAATGTTGCTATTGAAGCTATTGAATGTAATGACAATCCGGATTTCAGCAAGAAAATTCTCCAACCATTCAAGCTTACACAAGGTCCTTTAAAATCGACTTTCATGAAAAATTACAATTGTCCTCGGATTAAAATTATCAAAGCTCTCGTGGCAGCATCGAATAAATTCAAAGCGAAAGCAAGAACAGAGATGGGCACGCAAACACTTCTTGTCCCTGACATTAAAAAATCAAGATGCGAAATAAATGAAGATACGAAATTTGGAACAGTATTACTAGAAAATGCTCTGCCGACTTTGAGCATCTGCAACATACCTATTCAAATTAAACTAGTTAAGAATATAATTATTACTTGTAAGAGAGAACGTGTAAGTCCGCCTCTAAAATTAAAACTGGAAGATTGGGATCATCTTCCTTTAAACGACATCGATGTTGAAGAAAATGCAACAGTTGTAACCTCAGAGAATATCTCCTAGTAATTGTTCGTTTCTAAAAAATGTCTACGTCTCATTATATGAATTGAATTTATTTATTTATTCTGTTGTTAATTAAATAAATGTTATCTCATGTTGTAAAGATAGAAAGTTAATTCCATAGGAATTGTCAATAACTGTTTTAAAGGTATATGTGAGAGCTTCATAGAATAAGACAACAAAAAGTACTTTTTGGAACCAACAATTTCATGTTTTAAACATTTAAATTATACATAAAAAATATAATTGGTGTTTTATTACTCAACCTTTATTAAATTTAACGAGTGGGTGTGATTCAAGGTGTTTTTTAAAGCATTAAAAAATATGTGGTTGTGTTCACAATGTTTAGTTAAGAGTGGTGCATAGTGAAGATTGTGTTATTCCAGGATTAATTTCGTTTTCCTTTTGGTTTTCCAAAATAAAATAGATAAAAAACTTCGAAGATGCTTAAAAGTGATGCTCCAATAAAGAGACCAGCTGTACCTCCGACAGAAACTAAAATATGAATATATTTTTAATCTTATAAAGTCCACAAAGAACGAGTTGTGTGGTGAATTGTGATGACTAAAACTTGGTTAATAAGGGAGTTTAGATTCCATCCAATTACGAATCAACCCAAGGAAATCCTGTAAAGAAGAATATTAGGGACTTACCTACAAGATCCAAAAGCGTTCTCAACACTATTCTTTTGAACCTGGTGGTGGGCAATCCTGCAATGTCGATTACGACCTCGTTTTCCGAAGATTTCCTCGAAGAACTACAATAATTATAAGTAAAAATATGTTAGCTTTAATAATTTCTAATTGATGAATCACCTTTTTGTAAAATAAACAACTTTGTATTCCGGCTCGGTGCACGATGGTAAGCAATCACAGACCAGCCCGGGTTTATTCATACCTGATTCCTTTGCATGTAATCTGTTGACTACTTCTGAAATAATAAATTATATTATAATTATATTTGAAACAAATTCTTGAGCCTAATCCTGACATGCTTTTCTGGATGAATAATTTTGTTGTGTACGATACAGAGAAAGTTTCTTTGTGTAAAGATATTTTTGGATCTTACCAAAATTATCTGTCAAACATTTTAGTCCTTCTCTGTCGCAGTAACCCCGTTTATCTGCAAAAGACTCTTATATTATAAGGGTTAAATACATTACGATCTTAATTTAAGGCCTTACTGTAATAAGGCATTAAATGGTGCGTGCAATTGCAAAGTTTTAAATGATTATCAACATGGCATTGTACTATGCAAGTGGAATAACTGTAATACTGGTGTACTAGCAAACCATCGTTCTCCCATGGAAATTTGCATCCTCTTTTGTAAATAGGTACATTTTGGACGTTTGCATCGTTATTTATTTCAATTATCTACAAATCAATCGCTTGATTCGAACCAATTTCGTTCACAAATACTTTTGAAACTTACGCTGATTGTTATATTGAACGTTTCTCCTAACATTACATCCCTTCTTTGATCGGGATCGGAATTTATAAAAGGAACATCTTCGGGCGCATGAAAATACACCTGAAATTTATGATTTGTATGAAATTTCACAAGATGGTTTAATAGTAAATGCGTACTCGTATGTCCTCTTTGCTTTTAAACCAAATTTGACCAGTACCCTTCTTCCTGTTCATCGTCAGATCTAAAAAAGGTATGTTTCTTCTCCTAGAAAAGAGATATATTTTCATAATTGTTAGGTTATTTGCCGGTGCTTACTTGGTGTGCATTGAGTTAAGTGTATAGCATGTGCCATATTCTGTTTCTAATGGCAGAAAATATTCGCAGCAATCGAATTCGATTTGGCTCCATTTGCAAGATGTTATTATCTTATTACATTCTTTTCTGTACTAAAAACACGAGTATATTGTGGCATAGTGTAAAAATATGTAATTCCTAATGCTTACTCTTAATACTTTTTCCGTAAAATTCATAATTTTGCAAGACTCGCAATCGTCGTAACAAGAATAACAACTGCCGGTGAAAAACACCAAATCGTTAATAAATTGCTTCTGTACATCTATTTCTTCGTCTGTAAATTCTTCTTTACTTCAATGCAACATACGAAAATTAAAATAGAAATATTTGTTAAAATTCGTAGATAATACTGTGAAAGAAAGGCCGCAATATGGATAAGTATAATATTCTATTGGAATGGAATTCTACTCTATGGAATTTTAATTCTAATAGAATTCTAGAACTGGATTCTATTGGAATTCTATTGGATGTTTAGCGAACTTACTCATCCCATTCTGGTTCGGTGCCTGCTATTGGACAAACAGAAATTGAAGGGAAAGTCGTATTCCAATGAAGGTAAGTTGTTTCAGTAACGAAGCTGATCGCGTTTTCCTCAAATTGTAACCACGATTGATAAAAAACCAGCAGCATTATTCCGAAATTTATGATAAATACCGCCCACCAAAACATTCTAGAACAAATTGTTGTGGGTTTAAAACAGTGAAATATTAGTTGATCCTGAAATTGTACCTATGCAGAACTTTTAAAAAATAACAATAATTTTTTACTATTAGAATATGCTACAATATTACGGATTTTTAGCGATATATTTGAGTTTTTAGCGATTCTACTACGTAATTTGAGGTTATTCTTAGTTTTTACAATTTTTTGGGAATATCTATGAGTTTTTAACAATTCTACCAAGTAAGTTGAGGTTTTTCATAAGAGATATCTGAGTTTTTAACGATTGTACCACATAATTTGAGGGTTTTTCTAATTTTTACGAGTTATTAACGATTATCCCACGTATTATATATGGTTTTTTACGAGTTTTTAGGGTGTATCTCACGTAATATAAGATTTATCCTAGTTTCTATGAATTTTTAGCTTTTGTAAAGATTCCTTGATGTTTGCAATTATTTTAATTATTTTGAAAGTGATCCAATATACCTTATTGTCCCTTTAACGATTTTTCTATAGGTAATTTGGGGTTTTACTAGTGTATATGAATATTTGATGATTTCTAAAAGTTATCCGTAGTTTCTACGAATTTTCTTTGATGAGTTTTTAACGATTTTTCTAGGTAACATTTTTAATAGTCTCTCCGAATTTTTAGTTTTATTGAACCGAAGTATTCTTATTGTGTCAGCACTAATGTACAGTTAAAACCATAAGTTTTTATAAGTGTTTATGCCAGCTGAACATCTGCTTCATGATTACAAGTTACCAAGTAAAGCAGAGTTGCCAGGTTTAGTCTTTACATACAGACCTTGAAAGCTGAATTCAATAACCCAATTAATTAAATTCTGATGAAGTTACCTGGAAGGCCACGGCCTTTTATCATCTGCAACGTATTTTAAACCGTGCAAATTGGATTCTTCCATATAATATTTTATTCGATTTTTCATGATTTTTCTGTAATATGTAACTATAATAGTAAAGTGGTAACGCGTACTGAACTATAATTGATTCCATTGCTGAATATCTATCTGAAATCTAAATGTTATGTGTACATTTACCCGCGATATTATCTTAATTGAGTTCTTTTGAAATGGATAAATGGAAATTTAACAATGCTGATGATTCCACAATAATAATTAAGGGTTATGTAGAAGGAAATTTACATTGTACAAATGTACAATGAATTTAGGAAATGGGAAGGAATATCGATGAATAGTGATGAATTTAAATTAATTTTAGTCAGAATAGATGAATAAATAAATGTTTTTTAAGTGGCTAGATTCCAGCAAAGTAACAGTCATGAATTGTTATACTTAACCTAACATTTATTTGACATTTGAAGTTAAAATTTGTGGTATTTATGTTTGTTTTTATGCTTGATTTGCTTATTTGATTTATTTCAAAGATTTATTGAAACTGTTGAGTATTTTTTCCATAGAATTTATCGTGAAATAAAGCATTTTAACGATTAGTTTAGTTAAATATTTAATAAGCAACTTTCTTAGTTACCACAGTTTTAAAATCATAGTAAATTAACCGGTAAAATGGAGAAAACCGGAGCAAAGAAACGATTACTGTGCAGGTTATGTTCGGCAAAGAGAAATTTAATATCGTTATTTAAAAGCTCGGATTTTACATACAGATGCAATATTAAAAAGCTCATATCTCAAGCTGTATCGATACAGGTATTTAATCGAATCATTCTATTTACTTGTAATAACTTTTCCTTTAACGAAACATTATTTATTTCAGTACGAAGAAGGCGATGGATTAAAATACGTTTGTTGTTCCTGTGTTATTCGAAGTTACAACTGCTACGTATTCAAAGTAAAATGTTTGGAAAACGAACACAAACTTAAGGTATATAATACTTTTGTATACTTAAGTATCAAGAAAATACCAAGTATTATACTAATCGCTAATTGAATGCGCTTACTAAATGTCAAACAAGACATTAAGTATGCTTGATGTATCAATATTATAAGAATTTTTTTAAAAGTCATACTTTACCAGAATCCATAACTTTACATATGTACCACCAATTTCACATAATTGTAAATCTTCTTGCAGAATTCCTTTCCGCTTTCGAAGGAAAACAATTTGCCCAGCCTGGAAGTGCTAAGGAAATCCGTAGAATGGCTGTACAACAAATCGTTGGGCGAGAACGATTCCGAATTATCTACCTCATCGAAAGAAAAGGAATCCTCAAACAGCCCGAATTCGACGCCCTCTAGCGTCGTAAAGATCAACGGGACCGTTGAAATAGGCAATTCAACAGACACAACGAACGAATCTCCTCGAACTGTTAACACGAAAGCCTCCACTCCGGTGACGGTAGACGAATCGGTTCAAACCATTCCACCGAAGACCTTCAACGTAGGAGTCTGGGCGTACCATCCTCCGTTATCTTCTTGTAACAAAGCGAACAAATCGACCCAAACGGTTAACTCGAAAGCTTCGTCTCCGGTGTTGGTAGACGAATCGGTTCAAACCATTCCACCGAAGACCTTCAACGTAGGAGTCTCGGCGTACCACCCTCCATTATCTTGTAATAAAGGGAACAAATCGACTCAAACGAAGCGGGTATCGGCTAAAAGCGTTTCGGTTGCTTGTAATATCGCAAATTGCGACATCTTAACTACCCAAAATCCTGCGCAATTGAAGCAAGCTGATGGTAAAGAGGTGTTTAAATCGACGCAAAACAAAGACAACCTGTTTCACGATAGAAAAATGGAATCGGACGAATCGGAGAGTAGCGATATCGAGCAAGCGGTGGCGAGCAATCGCAAGAGAAAACACAAATCTACGATTAACAACAGCGCTGCTAACAAATTATTAAAAACCGACTGCCACAGCAACCCCAAAAAGAGTTCAAACGTCGATACTAAATGTTTGGAGATTGAAATTAACGAGCAGATCACGTTGGAACCGTTGGATATCAAATCGGAGCCGTTGTCTCCTGCAGCCGTTATGTCTTGTTCGAGTTTCGCGCCCGCCGAGAATTCCCTGCAATTCACCAGAAAAGTGGAGTATTTGAGGAATTGCAAGGAGTGCGGGACCGTTCTACACACTAAAGCGGATTCGCATCAGCACCGAAAGACCCACATGAAGTGTTACTTGTGCAAGAAGAGATTCCCCAGCATAAAAAAAGCCAAGGTTCGTATTATTTTTTTGATTTTATGGGGTTTTTTTGCATTATCGGTTGAATTGTTTCAGGAGCACATGAACAGCAGCTGCATAAGGAACATTTGTTCTAAAGATCCTATTATTTCGCTTGAAAAATTGAAAGAAACAATGATTTGATCTTGCATCTGATGGCATGGATTGCAAGTTGTTGTTTATTTTTGGAAAATCTTTTAATTATGATTCAAGAAAGTACAGCAAAAAAATTGTTTAGTTTAATAAACGTTCTCTATTAATTTTTTTATTTAAACAGCAATCCTAAGACATTCTGTATATATATTAAGTAAGTAGATGCTATATTTATTCTTAAGAGGAGCGTTGAGTACTTCAACAGTCGTACCAATCGCCCCTAGAATCTAGTAATTTTTTGTAGTTTCATTAAAATTTTTGATAATTTTTAAAAATATTAATTTCACAATAATAAGGATAACACGATATTGATAGTGCCGTTGTGGATGCTAACGCTCGGGTGGTGATCGATTCGCAGGATTTCAAAGAAGCGAAATTGGAGAGTTAGGTGACGAGGAAATATCTTCCTGCTTTAATGTCTCTGATGGTGGATGATCAAGTGAGATAGTTGAGCTCTAAATGCGTCTGACGACAAACGCGAAGCCGCCTTTACGGTTATTATAATTAGAACATTGGAGGCCTGTTCCAGATGCTGTAGAAGCTTATTTACCAGACAGTATTGTATTTAGGAAATAAATTTTTACATATAAATATTGTTTTTTTAATAAATAAATAAAACGTTTGAAGGATTTTACATAAAAAGGCATTTCGTTTTGAGATTTCTGAAAAATTGACAACGATTATGCATTTATAAGTTTTTAATGACTGAAATTCTGGTTGCCTACCTAATAGTGTCCATAAATCGATTTTCCATCGATAAATGTAATTCTGGTTGTCTAACTATTGTATTAGTAAAGCGCGAGTAATAAGTATCAGGAGTTAACCTCTTCACACATTCTGCTCTCCTAATACGAATTCTTAAATTCACGTTTTATCGTGAGATTTTCATACGTTTGACACAAACTACTTGAACTCCTAACATTTGTTTCTCCCGATCTTTTTGCTTTAATAGTTCCAGATTTTTACAAATTACGTTGAAAAGGTTTTGCGTTTTTTTAATGAACGAAAAATACTAAGAATTCCAAAATCAGGATTAAGGATGTCATAAAAAATTTTATTTTCGTATCATTTTTGTAATAAAGAATTATTAATAACGCCCAAAATGTAAAATTAACTTTGAAAATTTATTTTCAAGAGCGACGAAACATTTAGAATATTTATTAACGCATCAGGATTCATCCGGGACCTTTCCTATACGTATCTCTCTCGTATACCTAATAACTCCCGATATTGAACTTCCTTGCATATTCTCATTGCCTAATATCCGAAATTTATCAATGGAGATCGATCGACGAAAACTTGTGCTCAAATCTCGAATTAAAACGTGAATTTAAAATTTCGTATTAGGAGAACAGAATGTGCGAGGAGGTTAACTTATGACGCTTATTAATCGCGCTCCTGCTCGAAGCGATACATACAAAGGCAACCATTTAATCGAATTTCGGTAATTTTGGTTGCCTATCTATTGTATTAGTAAAGCGCGAGTAATAAGTATCAGGAGTAAACCTCTTCATACATTCTGCTCTCCTAATACGAATTCTTAAATTCACGTTTTATCGTGAGATTTTCATACGTTTGACACAAACTACTCGAACTCCTAATATTTGTTTCTCCCGATCTTTTTGCTTTAATAGTTCCAGAATTTTACAAATTACGTTGAAAAGGTTTTGTATTTTTTTAATGAACGAAAAATACTAAGAATTCCAAAATCAGGATTAAGGATGTCATAAAAAATTTTATTTTCGTATCATTTTTGTAATAAAGAATTATTAATAATGCCCAAAATGTTAAATTATCTTTGAAAATGTATTTTAAAGAGCGACGAAACATTTAGAATATTTATTAACGCATCAGGATTCATCCAGGACCTTCCCTAGACGTATCTCTCTCGATATACTAAATATCTCCCGATATTGAACTTCCTTGCATATTCTCATTGCCTAATATCCGAAATTTATCAATGGAGATCGATCGACGAAAACTTGTGCTCAAATCTCGAAATAAAACGTGAATTTGAAATTTCGTATTAGGAGAGCAGAATGTGTGAAGAGGTTTACTCCTGATACTTATTACTCGCGCTTTACTAATACAATAGATAGGCAACCAGAATTACCAAAAATCGTTTTATAGGTTGCCTAACTGAGAAAAATGACAAAACTTGTGCGATTTCGATTTGAGGAAAGAAAATCTCACGATAAATTGCCAATTTGAAATTTCGTATTAGGAGAGCAGAATGTGTGAAGAGGTTAACTCCTGATACTTATTACTCGCGCCTTACTAATACAATAGTTAGACAACCAGAATTACATTTATTGATCGAAAATCGATTTACGGATACTATTAGGTAGGCAACCTATTTATCTATTATATACCTCTAAGATGCCAGAAATGCATTAGAAATGGTAAAGTATGAACGATTTTTTGTAAAAAATGCATTATACATTAAAATTTTTGAAAAATTAACAAAACTGCTCCTTTTTTTTAATTGCTAATTACATGAAAACTGCTTGGAATTGGCGATTTCAAAATATATAAAACAAAACACTTTCAACGATATTTTTATTTTCTTACAATAAACTCACCACCGTTAAATGCAACAAAATAGAGACAAAATATTAATATACAAAAACGTTACAGGAGTAAAATCATTGTGTCGATCTTAATTCTTACACTTATTTCGCACTTCTTCATGAAATTTTCCTTTTATGGTTTTGTATTCCTTCTCGGTTTGAATTTCGTTGAATTTCGTTAAGAGTCGATACAAATTCACCTACAAATCACAAATTATTACATACACTCCTATTATAACATAATAACGCTTTGAAATGCATACCTGAGGAATGATATATTTATTATTCTCTCAGAAATTCATCGATAAACAAAATGGCGAAAGCCGTAGATCGCAAGATAGATACAAAAAGGGGCGATTCCGTCTAAAATTCCGTACATTATTGAATGTCTTTTATTATGTCCTTTAATTAACAAACAATTTGTTCTTATCACTCTAATCGAACCTACATTTAATTGTAAAACGGATTATAGGTGACCCAATGCGCTCGATTCTGCTCCTTCTCCGACTTGTGGCTGGTGAACAACGACTTGTAGACGTCGGTGGCCTGTTTGTCTTTGGCAACGCTGTAATCTGCCTTCATTTTCTTCAGCTCCTCCTGCTTGGTCACTTTTCCTACCGAAATCACGTTGGCTATCTTCGAATGGGATACATCGTTCGCTTTCCGTTTCCTACCGGCCTCTTCTACTTTCGAACTACTCGCACAGCTACTGCTAACATCGCTTTCTTCCACTTTTATTACAGTTTTGGTTTTCTTTTTGTTGGCCTGTTTGCGTTTCTCCATGCGTTCTTTCATCAACGGCATATCTTCCTCGGTTCCGTTTATAACAATTACATCGTCTTCGACGAACGGTGCGGAGCATTTATGGCAGGTTTTCGTACCGATTTCTTTGAGGGCTCGCTCGGAGAAGGCGCAGCCGCACGACCACAACGCCACGAATCTGAATTTACCGGTCATCTCGAGACCCAACACGGGGCAAATGTAAGCGGCCGACGAATCGTTTTTGCCGGCCTCCGGGTTCTCTGTGAGCTTCAATTCTCTAACGTCTTTCAAGCTTTTGACGTGCTTGAAGGATTCGGACAAAGCGCCGCGGTCCAGCAGCGCCTCGATTAGGGATACTTTGTTGTAGAGTTTGCCCAAGTGGCACACGACGATCGGTTGCTGGAGGGTTTCTTGGGTGATGGAGCAACATCTCCATTTGAACGCCAATTCGGCGTCTTTGTCTTTCGTTTCGGGCTTCTTTTTCACTCTGACCAGCTCGTCTCTTCGCGGAATGGTGCCCCCGTCGCAACCCATTGTAAACCTGAAATATATTTCGCGTATTAACTTGTTGTGATTAGTTTAGTAGCTTGTCTACTTCAGGACTTCGTCTAATATGATTCATTGTAAAACTAAATAATACTAAATTACTTACGATTATATTAATTTTTAAGAATATTTTAGTAAAATTGGACGCATTTATTTATTTTTATTCACCAAATGTCACTGTAATGTATCTGTCAACAATGTCAAATTCTTCTTTTTATTTGAGGATAAATTTAAGTCAAGTTCCTTGGCTGTATAGCATCTGCAGCTTAGACTTGAAGAAGACTAGAAGTAGAAATTAACCTTCAAATCGTTACGTCAAAATTTGTAAACAAACATCAAAAAATAGCTTAAATTTCAACAAGTCTTCGAGAATAATTAAAGGAAAAATATTCAACGGCTACTTGCAACTCTATTCGCGGCGATTCAGTAGATAGTCGATGAAAATATCTTTCGGAAATTTATTAAGGAATTTATTAGGTAAAATGTAGCTTATACTTATAATATTTTCGTTTCGAGTTTTCCCGATTATTTAGGTATAAAAACGTAAACCAAACAAAAGCAGGCGTATTTGTTTGCTCATGTGCTTATAGGAAATGAAAAAAACATCTGGAATTCAAACACCATCCGATACACGAACCGAAGAGAAACTTGGCCCGTTGCCAAACACACACACACGCCTATACTAAAAATACACCAAAAAACCCCATTAAACCGACTCGCCTAGTTCCTCTCGCGACACTCCAAACGTTCCGTTGAACCTACAACGATGCGATCGATGCATCGAGCCAACAGCTCGAAGAGCCTCCGATCGACCAAACGTCGCCCCCGCGCCAAAATCAAAGACTGCTGCCGCACCATAACGGCCTTCATGTTCACCCAAATCGGCCTCGGCGCCCTCGTATTCGGCTACACCGTCATCGGAGCCGTCGGCTTCATGCACTTAGAAACCCCCTTGGCCCGCAACAACACCACCGAACTGGTCGAAATCCAATCGCACCGGCTGCGCCATTCGCTCGAGCTCTACCGCGTCGCCCTCAACCAAAACATCTTCGACGAGCACAACTTCTCCATCGCCATCGATCGAGTGCTGGCCAGCTACCAGTCGAAGGTCGTGGAGTTGATCAAGCGGGGCTACATGGAGAGCTCCGACGGGAGCGCTTGGACTTTCCCAGCCGCTTTGATGTTCTGCTTGAGCGTCATCACGATGATCGGTTACGGGAACCTCGTACCGAAGACTGGCTACGGGAAATTGGCTACGGTGATATACGCTTTGTTCGGGATACCATTATACGTGCTGTTCTTTCTCAACGTAGGCGACGCTCTAGCTGGAGTATTCAGGTAATATAATCGTAACTACTAGTGACTCGATTTTAATATGGTTTTCTTCGTAGATGGTTCTACAGGAAGCTGCACCGATGCTCCACGCAACCGGACGAAAACGCCCACCACAACCACAAGAAAACCATAGTACCTTCGAGCGCTTGCGTGTGGCTAATGGTGGGCTATTTACTGGCAGGGGCGGCCACGTTCGGCCCCTGGGAGCGCTGGGACTTCCTCGACAGCGTCTACTTTTGCGCGACGAGCCTCTGCAAGATAGGCGTGGGCGATTTCGTGCCCGGGGCCAATTACTTCTCTTCTTCGACCTCCGAGGGCAATCAAACGAAGCTGGTCATCAGCTACGTGTACATCTTCTTCGGGCTCGGTTTGGTGGCCATGTGCTACAATCTGATGCGAGAAGAGATCGGCGAAAGGGTGAAAAACGCGAAAGAAGATTTCGATCAGTGCGTGGAGGATACAGGCGTGAGATTGCTCGGGTGCTTCAGGAAGATTCGCGGTGTGGTCGAAGAGGATTACTAGTGGGGGGGTTTCGTGCGGTGGATTCACGCGAAACAATGTAGTTTTAAGTGACAAAATAACCGGAATCTGCTTGTACTATATGCGCTTCGTTGCTTTTGTATTTTAGGCTACCGGATGAGCCACGAACGCCTGCCCGATATCATTCGTTTGCCGAACGTTCGAGGATACGAGGCCAGGTGCAACGATATCGTCTATTGCAGACCGTGGAATCCCCCGGTGGATGGGACGCAGAGCGTTTGCGTCTTCTTCGGCGGAGACGTCCAGGTGATTCGGCTATTTGTTTACAGCTATTTAATCTACGATGGTATTTGTTTAACAGGATTTCGCGGAGCACATGCTCAGCCACAGGGACAACAAACACCACGCCCGATGGAGCTTGGAGAATACGGCGAAAATACTACAAAACGGCTTCGTCGACAGCCACATATTGGTCGTGAGACCTGCGAGGTACGAGGCCAACGCCGACATTTCCTAAATCATTCTAAAGAGTTTACAAACAGTTCTAAATCATTGTAGGAAAGTTCTAAATGGTTCTGAACTGTTTTGAATTGCCCTGAGGCGTTTTAAATGGTTCTAAATCATTCTAAAGAGTTATTAATGTTTCTAGAGCGTTCTGAATCGTTCTGAACTGTTGCGAATTGTTCTGGAGCATTCGAAAAGATTCCGAACAGTGCTAAATCATTCTAGGAAAGTTGTAAATGATTCTGAACTGTTTTGAATTGCCCTGAGGTGTTTTAAATGGTTCTAAATCATTCTAAAGAGTTTCAAATGATTCTAGAGCGTTCTAAATCGTTCTGAACTGTTTAGAATTGTTCTGGAGGATTCCGAGCAGTTCTAAATCATTCTAGGAGAGTTCTAAATCATTCTGAATGAACTATTTATCATTTAACCAGCTCTATCCGCGTTTTTAATACATTTTTTTGTCCATTTTAGAATGGAATACAGGACGTTCAGTTGCTACGATAATTTCGTACCGTGCGTAAATTGCGGAGTACCCGAGCACGTGCCCTTACATTACAGCCTCGTACATTTGCAGAGGATCGTCTCGAACGTGGCCGAATTAATCCGAGATATGCCCGACGAAGAGTTCGAAGAAGCCGCCAAAGCGGCCAGAAATGGATTAGAACTAGTAGGAAATAGTAGGTAATTTTGATTCCTAGTAGTACATTCCTAATAGTAGGTAATTATAGAACTGTATAGACTGTTTCAGGACGATTCTAGTGTGTTAAAAACGATCTAGAACAGTCTGGAATTAAGCGGATTGCTTCAGGACGAATCAGAATTGTCGAGAACCATTTAAAACACTTCAGGATGATTCTAATCTGTTCGGAACGATCTGGAACAGTCTGGAATCATTCGGATTGCTTCAGGACGAATCAGAATGGTCGAGAACCATTTAAAACACTTCAGGACGATTCTAATCTGTTCGGAACGATCTAGAACAGTCTGGAATCATTCGGATTGCTTCAGGACGAATCAAAATTGTCGAGAACAATTCAGAATGCTCCGGAGCCGTTTAGAATACTCCAGGTCGATTCTAAACTGTTCGGAACGATTCCTGGACGATTTAGAACTCTATAATATACTAATTAATCTGTTTGTGTTCTGTAGACGCGCAAGAGGAATCGCCCGAACGCGCCTCCGCCAGAACTTTATTGAATTTGAACGATTCGGAAGTAATTCTGGCGGGATTCAGCAAGGGCTGCGTGGTTCTGAACCAGTTCCTCTACGAATTCCACTATTACAACGAGAATACATCACCGTCTGATCCGGCTATCATCTCGCGAATAAGAGAGATGTATTGGCTGGACGGCGGCCATTCGGGCGGTAAAAATACTTGGGTGACTTCGAGCGATTTGTTGGGCAACCTCGCCCGATTGGGTGAGTTTAACTCGCTCGTTTTTTCTAAAGTTTAATTTCTTTAAACGTTTAAATAGGTATAAAGGTGTTCGTGCACGTGTCGCCCTATCAGATCGACGACGATCGAAGGCCGTGGATCAGAAAGGAGGAGAAACGGTTCGCGGAAACGTTGGGAAAATTGGGGGCGATGACCAAACGAACGGCGCACTTCGATGGGATTCCGGCCAGCATCGAAAACCATTTCGAAATATTGAGGATTTTCAAAAACGACGTCGATTAGTATAGAGGTAAATAGAATGTAATTGGAGCGATGCGACTGATATTCCGTTCGTTATTGATGTTAATAATAAGAATAAAAAGATGTACCGTAGTGTTTGGTATTATTTTAGAGCCGTTTTGAACACTTCGACGGTTCGGAACGGTCTCCGGACGATACAGAACTCGTCGTAAAGGTGTTACAACAGTTCAGAGTAATTTACAATGCTTCAGGACGGTTCAGAACCGTTTAGAACTGGATAGAATCAATAAGAATGCTTTAGAACGCTTCGGGATGATTCAAACTTGTTGAGAACGATTCAGAACTGTCTGGAATTGTTTATAAACGCTCCAGAACCTTTTGGAACGATCCAGGGAAGTTCGGAACCATTCGCTGTTGCCTGAAACAATTTAGAACTACCCAGAATCCCGTTTTTGGTAGTTTTTTTAGAAGCGATTTATTACAAAAAAAGACGTTACATAAAAAAAAACAAACAAGATTATCAATCAAACCTGTTTTGCAATGAACTCCAAGGAACATTCCACAATTGAACGTCCCCATTAGCTTTACCGATGGCAACCAGATTATTTCTAAACACAAAATTAATCAATTAATTAATTAGCAATTAATATAACACTCTTATAACGAGCCCTTAATTACCAACTTACGCGGATTTCAGTTGAACGAAAAAATCTTTGCTTTAAATTCTCAATCACGAAATCCGCGAAAGTCCACCGAACGGCCTTTTACCGTACAGCTATCACAGCCCATCGAGACTCACCTCGAACAATTGATCGAAATACTAGTAGAAACTGATTTTTTCACCGGTTCTTCGGTACCGGTGGCTATTCTCTCAGCACTCTGTATATGAAACACCTCCATGAACCCGTTCGCTCCGCAACCGGCCAGCAATTTGTCCTCGAAGGGCACGAAAGTCACGTCCAACAAGCCGGTTTTCAGGAATATCATTTGAGCCGGATCCTCCTGTTCGGAAAGAGGGCGATCAGAAGAGCACGAAGCGACTCAGATAGGCGACACTTACTTGTCCGATCAGGTAAATTCTGATCTCAGCGTTGGTGCCGTACGTGAGAAACTGGTCTTTTCTATTGGGGGAGAAAGCCAACGAAACGATCTCGCCCTCGACTGGTTCGTAGTACTTGAACGAGGGATCGAACAAGGGATTGGCTTTAGTACTACCTGCAAATAGAGCGAATTGGATGATAATAATTCAAGGATTGCGAGTGTAGTACCTTTCAATTCGGTGGCTCCCAATAGGGAACATTGCACGACGAAACCTCCCTCCAAACCGACGAGAAACGTGTCCGGAAAATGTTTGGAAAAATCGAAACAAACCACACCGTTCGTATCTTTCATCACCACGTTTCGGGGATATTCTTCCGACTCTTCGGCTTTTCGAACGTTACCGTTGTTCAACAAAGGAGGCTTGATTTTGTACCTGCAATATAACCGAACGGTTCTAAACAGTTCCGGAGACTTCTGAACAGTTCGAAATTATTCTAGAGCGTTCTAACCAGTTCGAAGTGGGTCTGGAGACTTCTGAACAGTTCGAAATGATTCAGGAGCATTCTAAACAGTTCAAAGTGGGTCTGGAGACTTCTGAACAGTTAGAAATGATTCTAGAGCATTCTAAACAGTTCGAGGTGGTCCTGGAGACTTCTGAACTGTTCGAAATGATTCAGGAGCGTTCAGAAGAGTTCCCGAACTGGGGAGCTTTATACTCGCCTGACTCTTAAGCTGAGCATGTCGTCTTGGGTCTTTCCGAGAGGATTGAATCGCCACAATTTCAACAAACCATCGGTACTCGTAGTGGCCAAAAGGATGGATTTCTCCGGATCCACATCGTTGGTCCAAGAAACTTGCGTGACGAGTTCGTCGTGGACGTTTTTCGATATCACGGCCTCTTCGCCGTTGTTGTTTTGCAAATTCCACACGATTATATTACCTACGATTAACATTCGTATTATGCTCCAGTAGTGGTCTCGATCTTCGATAGTCTCTAGCTATTTCGCTAGAGAATTAGCTCACCGGAGTAAGTTGTACCGGCCAATAGGCCCGATCGCGTGGGATGGAATTTGATGGAAACCACGCAATTGTCGGCGTTCAGCACCTTCTTCGGTTGATCGGAGAACTTCCCGTTGCTTAAACGAAACAAATATAAGATCATGATACTTTCTAGGATCTAACTGTCCCTTTTTTGCGGCCATTTTGCTATTACCTAGCCATCGTATAGACGTACACGGTACCCCGATGATAACACCACGATTCGTGCTCGAACCCGCGACAACAGGCCAACGATTGACCCGATTGGTTCCAGCTCATGCACGACACCCTCTTCGCACCCTCCTGAAACAACGACAATATCAAAAAAATCGCACAATTACAAACCTATTTGAATCATCGTACATCGCCTGATTCCTCGATTAGCTTCGAGTAGCCGAACGTTTGGAGCAATTTACAATTGACCTCGTCTTTGTCGAGGCGTTTTCTGTATCCGACGAAGGCTTTGGAATTGTTGCAATCGTCGATGGCCTTCTTCATGTCGGGATACAGCTCCTTGAGGAATCCGGCCACTTTGTTCATGTCGACGCCTTCGATGAGGGAAGGTGTGGGAAGAGGGTCGGTTTGAACCTGTTTGTAGTTAAATATCGGGTTAATAAATAGAATGTAGATAAAGTAGATGTATATTTACCATTATGCATTCTTTCGGTGTGGTGTTTACCGTTTTGTCTGCTACTTCGAAGTCCGATGTTTGGGTATCGGATACCGAATAAACCCTATGAGATTAATGTTATTAAATGATTCAAATTAATATGATATTAAAGTACCGTTTGACTTTCCAACAGGACTCGAATCCGACGCATTCGTTGTGTTTTTTGGTAAACATTTTTCAATTAAACGAGTATAGGAATATAATGATTGAAAGTCGATACAATACAAACATCAAACAAATCTTCTTTTCGATTGGTTTTAATGTTGTCATGATGGCTCGGGAGTCGATTTTATTAAAATTAAAATTATTTATGGTAATTCTTGCCGGTTTTCGCGGGTATTTTATTTCAAATCGAGATTAATACGAGTCGATGATGTGTAACCGAATAACTGAAGTGGCTTGTGACTCGAATTAGTTGGAAGAAAAAGAAGAATTTTTGATAATGGCTGAATAAACTTAGTAGAGGAGTCCCTAAACGAAATAGAATTATTTCGGGATTTTCGGGAAAAAATAGTGTTAGTTTTATTTTGTATTGGAGTAATGGTAATTAAGAAAGTATGACATTAATAAAAAATGATTTTAATAATTAAGAACAATCCAATACCTATGTAAATACAAAATTACTTTCGGAAACGTATCATGGGAGTTAAAAAAAAGAAAAATATTAATATAATTTTTCTAATTTAACACCCGGTATATTGTAAAAAAAAAACAAATTAACAGCAATTTATTAACAAAATCAAACGAGAATGAACGTTAAATGAACCAACAAGCGAAGAAATTATAATTAAATAAAAAATGAAAAATCCGTTAAATACAGCGTACAAAATATATTTCTTCTTTTTTTTGTTTAAATTTAAATTTACCAATGCAACAATAAATAATTATTATTATTATCACAATTTTTCGTACACCTGTCAAATCGCAATGGTTTTCATCCGAAAAGATTAAAAACGAAACGACGAAATAAAAATTATTCTAATGTTCATTTGAACTACAAAAGAATTAGTTATTACTACAAATACACGTTAAATTTAGAAAAGAAACAACACGAAATCAAATTAATTGACGAGAGGGAGTACACAGTAAAAAACCCATTCAAAATTCGAACACATTTTTCACGAAACATTCCTTATTATTAAACAAAATATCAGTCTTGTTGTAAATGACTCACGACTCGTTACTACCTTCTACCACATTCCCACCTTTATCCAGATCTTTCGTAGTTTCCGGACGAACAGTCGACTCTCCGATTGCCCCGCTCTCTTTCCCTTCGAAATCGGACAACTTATCGAAATCCGAAGTCCTCTCGCCATCGGAATTCCTCCTAGGAGATTCCCTCGTCTCCGTCGCGGACCTACGAAAACCAACAATTAGTTCACAATCATTCAAAAACCCCATCTCTAAACTCCACTAACAATCGTTTCGTTACATCTTCAGTCTCCGAGGAATCACCCGTATCCGAACTACTATCCCTCGTGGCGGTTTCGGCGACCGGCCGGTGCTCGAACTTGGGCCCGATCGGTTTCTTCTTCCTGGCGGGATTGAATTGCCCGCAATAGCAGCACGCGAACGAAACGTACTCGAACTCTTCCTTCATAGCCATCCCGTTGTGAAAGGAGCACTTCGCGCATATCAAAGCGTACCGGTTCGACGGACCGTCTCCCACCAAATAATCCACCATTTTGTCCAAAATCGATCGATTACCAGGCAACACGTTTCTGGTTGTCGATAAACTCATCGGGGTGCTGCTACTTTGCGGCAAGAGCGGCGTAGATGGATTCCTCCTCGATGGTAACGAGAAAGGCCTGGCTTGGAGTTGTTGCTGCATAGTAAAAGTCCTGTCGATTTGGTCCGACGGATTCCTCTTTGCGAGCGGCGTGTTGAACGATAAACGTTGCCGGAGAGCTGCAAATAGAGAGTATGAATAAATTCGTAAAATGCGAATTCTATTAATAAATTAAAGGTTAACGACTATGTGTTAATTAAGCGAATTTTGCAATTATAAATAGCATTACAGCGGAACAGGTTCGGTCTAGTCGTGTAGAATTAAATTTAGCTTTTGATGATTTAAAGTGCTATAGAGATTTAGGTTTTAAATTTAGAACTGCTTAGAACACTCCAGATTCAATTAGAACTGTTTGGAACGCTCCAGATTCAATTAGAACTGTTTGGAACGCTCCAGAATCAATTAGAACTGTTTAGAAAGATTTAGAAAGCTTCAGAATCAATTAGAACGCTCCAGAATCAATTAGAACTGTTTGGAACGCTCCAGAATCAATTAGAACTGTTCAGAACTATTTAGAAAGCTTCAGAATCAATTAGAACGCTCCAGATTCAATTAGAACTGTTTGGAACGCTCCAGAATCAATTAGAACTGTTTAGAACGATTTAGAAAGCTTCAGATTCAATTAGAACGCTGCAGATTCAGTTTGAAACGCTCCAGATTCAATTAGAACTGTTCAGAACTATTTAGAACGCTCCAGTGTACAGTCTATATGTGTAGACTAATGCAGGATTAAATTTGGCTCGTTAATTTCAAGGTGAATTTACGAATTAATTAAAAAATTAACGAATTACCTGTACCGGGCGTATTTTGCCTGGCGATTACCTTCGTTGAAACGGTTGTATCCGGTTGGATTTTATCGTTTCCGAATTTGTCTATAATCTTCTTGGCGACCTTGTAAGTCTCCGTTTCCATAACGTTGTCTATAATCTTCTTCTTCTCCTCTTTGAGTTTGACCAGTTTCTTTTCGTTCCGTTGCAATTTCTTGGCGTAATACCAAGTGAGGAATTTCTTTAATATCCATATTCTGCGAATGATTCGTTTATTATTTATTTATCGAGAGAGATAATTGGTTAGTGAATTGGAACTTACATGAACGGAAAGGCTACAAACGGTACAAAATAAACCAATTTTTGGTGCGAGTCTATTTTCTGGTAGTAAAAGTACAGGAGACATGCTAGGGCTATGTAAAAGGTTATAGCGAGTAGAACGAATCGAGTTATAACCTTTTTTCTAAATTGTTCAGTGCGTCTACCAAATTCTTCTATGGAAGTAATATCGTTTTCTAGCTTTTCTAATATTTCATACGTGCTTTTCTTTTTCTAAAAAACCAACGAATTGTTTATATCTTTTTGTATAAGGAATCATCCGGAGCACTTACCCAAAACTTTCCCACGACGATACCCATATTCGTAAAGGCTTTACGAAAGCGAGTACGAGTATCTTAAGCCAGCCGGTGTAATTCCGATTTTCTATTCCTCCTTCGAATATCCAGACAAATTCGCCGAAAAAGGCATCCGATTGCACGAGCTGAATTAACTGTAGGCACGAACGATCATGGCCAGGTGACACTTTCACGTTACTCTGCAACTTTTTGCCGATCGTATTGCATATTTTTCTTTTATGCAAACCACAATAACCTCATAAATAATCACAAACCAATCTACGAAATCCAATCGACGTATTTTTATCTATGACTGTACACTTACTTGACAGTTTTGACTTTGACAGTTAATTCTTCTTTTTTATATATTATATCTACCTACTCGAATTAGTATGCAATTTTGTGCTCTCTTCCACAATTCCTTACACCCTCATTTCGCACAAAATACACATTTCACATTTACAATTTCTTCTTGTAAGTTTACGGATTAGGTATTAAGTCTATTCAGCTACTATTTAAAATTATTATCGGCCATTTTATTCCGACGAGAACTGTCAATTGCGTTAGCGATCTACGATTGGTCGAAAAATCCGCTGCTCGACTTCGATTGGTTCGCACTACGACAGTTTAGATTCCGGGATTTATTTTACTTGAAGTTGGCTAAACTGCAAATTTGACACTTTTGACGTTTCTTTTCGTCCATTGACAGCAACACAAACGTGAGGTTGTCTGTGGTAAAATAATAATTTGCTTATATTTTAAGCATCTTTTAGCAATTTAGATTATAAAATGGTGCAGAAAAAGGTGCGTAACGTTCACGATCTATTTATACGTATATTTATATATTCCGTGTATAAAAAAATGTGTTATATTGTGTTTGTTGTTGTTACACCAAACTTGTACTTTACGATATAATTTTCGTTTGTGTGATGACCGTATTTGCTATCTGAAGAGTTTTGAAAGAAAACTTTCTACCACCAATAGATTAACTGAAGGATTGTTCACATTTTCTCCACTAATTTTATGTTATAAACGAAAACTTAATTATCAAAAATCTTTCAGCCCAAGAAGAAGGTGGGAAAGAAGGTAGCAGCCGCTCCTTTGGCAGTGAAAAAGGTCGAGCAGAAAAAAGAAGTGAATCCCCTATTCGAAAAGCGACCCAGGAACTTCGGAATAGGCCAAGACATCCAAATCCCCCGGGATCTATCGAGGTTCGTGAAATGGCCCAAATACATCCGCATCCAAAGGCAGAAGGCCGTCTTGCAGAAGCGCCTGAAAGTCCCGCCGCCCATCAACCAATTCTCCCAGACCATCGACAAACAAACAGCCACCCAATTGTTCAAAGTATTGGAGAAATACCGGCCGGAAACCGCTCTCCAGAAAAGGAACCGATTGAAGGCCAAAGCTGAAGCTAAAGTGGCCAAGAAGGAAGAGACCCCTTCGAAAAGACCCAATACTTTAAGGGCTGGTACTAACACCGTCACCAAATTGGTTGAACAGAAAAAGGCCCAATTGGTGGTGATCGCCCACGATGTAGACCCTATTGAGGTGAGTGTTATCAACCAATACAGTTATTATTAAGATTATCGTTTATATGATGGATTTATATTGAATTTCTTCACCTGAGAATACAACTATTCGCTAAAATGAAGACAATTGACACTGAGTGTAGTCTTCGTATAAATTTTTGTATATACATAAACTTCTGTAATTAATTTCGATATATTTTTTCTAGCTTGTACTATTCCTCCCCGCGCTCTGCAGGAAAATGGGAGTCCCTTACTGTATAGTAAAGGGCAAAGCCAGGTTAGGGCTGCTCGTTAGGCGTAAAACTTGCGCGGCTGTCGCCCTTACGCAAGTCGATTCAGGCGACAGGTAAGTGTTCGATTAGTCTCTGGTAACTTTAACGGTACATTTATATATTTTTTTAAGGTCTAACTTCAACAAGCTTTTGGAGGTTATCAAGACGAACTTCAACGATCGCGCCGATGAGATCAGGAGGCACTGGGGAGGCGGTATCCTCGGATCGAAATCCGCTGCCCGTATTGCTAAATTGGAAAGGGCCAAGGCCAGGGAACTCGCCCAGAAACAGGGTTAATTCAATGTTTCGTTTATTTGTTAATAAATACAGGATTAAAGAATTAATACGGAATTGTTTTGTTTTAATAAATTGATCTAAAACTACTGGTGTAAGCAGTTACTTTTATTATTTAAAGAAGAAGAAAATGTGAGGTTATGAGACTTGTGTCGTGTTTATATTTGTTGATTTTCTGATTACGATGGTGTTGATTTTAAACGGAATATCGCCCACTAACCTCCCGCAGGACACGCAGTCCCTCTACAACGATTATCCCGTTTACGCGAAAACCGCAGGAGATTTATTAGCGATTCCCAGCAGAGTAATCGAACCGAATAAGCTACTCTACGTAGGCCAAAGCGAATTCGCAGCAGTCTTACCTCACGATCCTAACGTAGACATCATCGGTTCGGACGCCGCCACTACTTGCATTATAATCGTCCTGCGACACTCGGGCTCCGGGGCCGTGGCCCTGGGGCACTTCGACGGAAGCGGTAAGAACCTATCGGGATTCGAAAAACTGTTCGTTAACGTTACTATTCCCGACCAGAAACCAAAGAAGGCGTCGTGGCTGTGATACAGAAACTCCGAGGCCTCTCGCTCGCCCGTTCCGAAGGCAGGTTAGAGCTGCAACTGATCGGCGCCTACGAGAACGAATCTAGTAGCTCGGAGGAGGTGTTCCGAGGCATCATCCAAGCATTCCATGAGTATCCCGACGGGATTCATTTAACTCTAGCGTGCGTTGGAAAAGTAATTACTATTTACGATGATAAAAAAGTGCCTAAACCCATCATATACGGCATAGGAATAAGAGTTAAATCGGGCGAAATGTTCCCGGCTACTTACCCGGATAAAGGCCCCGAGCAGCACCTGCGCAGCATACGGAGCATCGAAGCACTACCCAGCCAAAGAATGGTGGATATTTACGATAACGAATCGGGGTTTTTGAAGATCCAACCGTTCCATTATGAACCATGGGCGCATAGAAGTTGTTGGTCGAATCGCACCGATGAGGCTTTGTTACAGCGCTACTCCACATCGCCCATGGCGGAGCCCCCCGACATGGCCCATAACATAAGGAATATGTTGAAGTTTATCCATGAACATTCCGCTCGGGATGTGTTTAAAGATAACAAACCGCTGCTTTTCAGGATGCATTCAGGCCTGTGGGAGCCTCTCGATTAGACTTTTTATTCTACTCTAAATCTACTCTGAAGCTATTCCGAATCTTTTGTCACTTAGAAGCTTAGAGCATGTGCTTCGCTATAAAATAAAACCCAGTTCGATTAATTTCAAAAATGTTTTTATTGAAAAAATGCTCGCAATATAACGGCAACGTAACAAAATATCGTAGTAATAAACCTTTTATAGATATCGTATAAGTTTTTAAATAAAAAAATAACCGCCTTTGGTAATAAAAAATCATCTCCTAAATACTCGAAAGTTACTTTTTCCAATCGACTAAACGCTCGAATTAGAAAAAATAACCGGAAATTAAATGCTCCTATCGCAAATTGATCGTTTTACGTATAAATTTGTACTTATTACAACAAAAAAAAAATAGTTATGTCTCGACAGAAAAATATGGCATGGAGTTAATAAAATATATACACACTTATCTGGCAAAGTGTTTGTAACAACATTCAGTATCCCGGCAATTACCGTCTGTATCATAAGGACACATTATCTCGAAAGGATTGTGCTTATCTATCCTAAAAAACAAATCAAGTAAAAACAGTTACAGTAACAGTTACCCCACGAAGAGAGCCTTCTTCGCTACCTCTTAACGGAATCCAATGGTGACACGTATCTCAGCACGTTTTCCTCCTTTTTAACGTTCCCCGTACTATCATCGTCTTTCCGGAGGATATCCGGAGCATCTTTCGGTATCGGAGTGCTCGGAACCGTGCCAATTTGGAACGGTTCCGCTGGAAGCACACTTTTTATTGGCGTAGAAGTAACAGGAAGTTTATCCTTCTCCTTCGAACTGCAACCAACAAGTTACAAACTCAACAAGTAATCTTTTATCAACGCCCATCTCTATTCTTTCACCACCCAACGCTAGATACGAAAATTCTTGCATTATAGCCCCATAAAAGTAGAGAGAAAAGACCCCATGTTATATCAAAAGTATCCTAATAGAAATGGATTTTTCACTCGATAAGACAACAAATTATAGTTATTTTCATCAACTTTCATCTCTATTCATCCACCATGCAACATTAGATACGAAAATTCTTGCATTATAGCCCCCATAAAAGCCTCCTAATAGAGATGGACGTTCACTGTAACAGTTCCAAAATCACCAACCTCTCATCGATCTCGGCTTTCCTCTTCAACAATTCCCCCACGTTCGACGAGAACACCTTATGGGTGTCCTGCAACTTCGCCTTGACCCGCGCCAGCTCATCGACCAATCTCTTCATTTCCTGCGACAATTTCTTCCTCTCCGTGGTCGATTCGTTGATTTTCTTGATCACCGGCGTCAGTACGACGTATTTCTCTTCGATCTGCAACCTTCGGTCGCGTTTTCGGTTTGTTTTTAAACAATTTACGAGGTTCCGGTACCAATTTTTGTACGGAGAGAGCGCGAGAATTGGTCGGGCCCTCATACGAGCGTTTATACAGTAACAAAATTTAAACTAGCCACGTTATAATAATAAGTAACTTAATAAGTAATGTATCGGGGGAACGGGATACGCTAAAAGGTGGCTGAATAACGGTTGAGTTAAAGGGCTACTTTTAAACGAATGAATAAACATAAATACCTTCCGTTTATCTGCGTTTGCATCTGCTTTAGAGCGTTCTGCAATATCCAGGCGTCGTGTTTGATGTTTGGCACGGTCGGCTTCGGTTTCTCCGGTTTGTTACTTGTAACCGGTTGGTGCTCGATTACCTTGGCATCGGGCGCCTCCGCCGCGGTTGTGGTTTTCCTGAGCGAAGGTTTCCTGACTCGCGGCCTCTTCTGGGCGTTCTTCAGCTTCAGCAGGAGCTTCTGGTACTCGATTTGCTTGTTTTTCGGTAGCAATTTCACGGCGGATTTTTCTAATATAGCGGAATCGTTAACGGTTAACCGGGGTTTCGATTGGGCCTCTACTTTGGCTCGTTGCTCTTTGAGGAATTTCTCCACCGAGCTTTCGATATCTTTGTTCAAATTGCTCGTATTAGTGTTACTAACGGATTCCTCTTCGCTGTCGCTATCGTTATTTATGTTGATTATAATCGGTTTGATTTTCGGTTGGAAGTGCCTCGTTAACTGTACCGGGGCCTTTTTGGTGTATTTAACATCCTTCGTTTGTGTATTATTAGAAGGTTTCTTAACAATTTCTACTTCCTTAGTGATTTTCTTGGACATCGAAGCGAGCAGCAGAGCCCTGAGTACGTCTTCGTCCTCATCGGGCGGTATCGGGTTCATATCCGGACAGAGTTTCTTGCTCGGAATGTTATCATTACTGGTATTCTCTTTATCGATTTCCTCTTTTAACCGATTCTCCTCCATTTCTTTGACCTTCCGCTTCTTTCGGTGCTCGAATTTGTTCAAAACAGCCGTTTTTAGAGCCTCTAATCTCAATTGGATCAACTCATCGTCGATTTCCTCCTTCTCCTTATCGGATTGCTTCGATTCCTCCACGTCCTCGGGATTAGTCATGGCTCTCAGGCGAGACTTTAGACTGTTCTTAAAGCAATCATCGTCCTTTTCCACGTGTACGGTAGCCTTTAGTTGAGTCTGGAGCTTCCGATCCAGCTCGATATCGAACGAGTAATCGCTGGTCGATTCGCTCGAGCCGGAACTGCTGCTGGTGCTTCCGTTCATCAGTCTCTTCCACGTCTTCCTCCTGCGGCATCTCTCCAACGATTTATCGTCCGATTTCCGCCTGAGTTTCCTGTGGTGCCTGTGATGGTGGTGATGGTGGAATTTCCTGTACCTTTTCACTTTTTTGTACGACACGCTGTCGTCTTCGCTGACGCTACTTAAAGAAATAACTGGTAAATGGTCTTTAGGCGATAGAGACTTACCCGTTTCGTTTAGAATTATCGAATTGTCTGATATCTCTTCGAAATCATCGTCGACGATTTCGCCCTCTTCGGGCACCGTCTCGGGGCTTTTCGACATGTTTTATCGCGTCGTTTCGCACTTTACAATGGATATTGTTAATTATTGTTATTATTTCGACGTGATTTTAGCGAACAGGCTGTGTGCTGTTCGATAAAAAAAAGTTCTATCAACCTCGAAGTAAAGAATGGAATGATTACGAAAACGTACTGTCAATTTTCGTTGACGTTTGTGACAGATGGCGTTTTAATTTTCGAGCCGATTTTAATCGATTTTTTTTATAAATAATCGTTTTTAAGTTTTACGCTACATAAAGAGTAATTATTAATAAAAATATTGTTATAGTTGTTATGTTGTTATTTTTATTTGTTGTTTATTTTTTGTATATTAATTATGGCAAAATTATATTTTATCAATTATGAATCGATTCGTGTTAAACATGTCAAAAATTTTTAAAATAAAAAAGAAGAATTACATTATTTTACAAATAATAATAATAATGGATTATTTAACGAACGAAACGCTAGAAATCGACGAAATCAACCGTAAAATCGTCGAATTACAATTGTCCGTAGATAACACTAAAAAGGAATTCGTGAAATACACAGACAATGTTTACATTAAATACAGTTCGAGTGGCCGCCCGAAGAAGAATCGCCAACTCTACAAAACAGCGAAAACTTGCCAAGAGGAATTGAACAATTTACGGAAGGATATCGAAGAATTCAACACAGCAAATCTAAATCGAGCCGAAGAATCAATAACCGAAAACTTACGCGAATTAAACACCATCAATTTCACTCTAAAAGTCCTATCGAACGTCCGCAGAATTAACGAAAAACTCGACGAATTCGACTCGCTTTTGACCGAAAATCGATTCTTAACTTGCAGACAAACTATCAAAGCCTTGGAAAATCTAATTCAACAAATCCCCGATGAAGAAAATTTACTCGTTTCAAACGAATTCCGAGCAATCGTCAACGAACGAAACACTTTACTATCCAACAAAATAAGATGGAGCTTCCAAGAACACGTAATAACTTGCAAAACCGACGAAACCAGCACAATAAGAATCAATACAAATGTACAATCTTTACAAGAAGTCTTATCCGCAATGTTTTACGAGGAATCCGATACGTTTAGCGTAACTTCCTTCGCAAAGTTCTTATGGATTAACTTCTTTACTATAATCGTAGATAACTCAACGGAGGTTAATCGTAAAGAGATCGACACTTTCGCTGAATTGTCTATTAAAATAATCGATGCAAATAAGAGACCCAAGTACACCGAGGTATTCCAAAACATCCATCAAGTACTCCAGTATTTAATCGAGTACTTCAACTCCACGAGCATCGAGTACATCGGAGGGATTATACGAGACAATTTATCCGAATTGATCATCAAAAATTGCCTATCGTACACGATACCTTCGACTGTAGAGGAATTGAGACACTACAACAAAGTAATCGAAGATGTTAAGGAGCTCGAGAGGGTCCTAAAAGAGAGTAAATTCTTCGCAAACGATACTAGTTCGTTGCTAGATTACGCTAGTAACATAGACTTCCATTTTATCAACAAAAAATGCCAACGATATTTACACGAGTGCACTATTATCATGAAGAAAGATCTACACGATATGCTCCCCGTAGAAATCCAATCGGAGCGATGTTGCATATCGAAATCTGTTATAGAATTGATGGAATATTGTGAACGAATCCTCGTAGAAGCCTCGCAAGGTTCCTGCATATCGGCCGGTCGATTGTTCACAACCTGCCGGAACATTGTGAACAAATACGCAACGTTTGTTCCAGACTATCACGCTCGATTGCTCAAAACCATTCCCCAACAAGTGGCCCTATTCCACAACAATTGCTCGTACATAACCCACAAATTGCGCGAATGGAACGATTCGTATATAAAGAAACTGCCTTCTACGTTAGATGTATCCAGCATAGGTTTCCTATCGGAGATCGATACACTCGAACGCACCGGTTCGAGCATGTTTAACGAATACGTAGCGAACCAATCGAAGCAATTAGTCGATATAATGAAAGACAACGGACTAGACGGGGTGGTGTTAGAGGGCAATTTGAGCCCCAAAGCGGAGAAATCCGTGAGGCAGTGTTTGAGGCAACAGGAGCTGCTCAAAACCGTTTGGTACAAGGTACTCGATAACAAGATATACAACGAAACCATCGGTTCGTTGTTGAACGTGCTGTGCGCGCGTTTGATCGAGTCCGCCGTGAATTTCGAGGATATCTCATCGAAGGCGGCCGAGCAATTGCAGGAATTGATCGAGATGGCGGTGAATCGCGGGGGGAAGTTGTTCGGGGACGTTGCGGGGGAACCGGTGGTGTACGAGCACGTGCCGTTGTGGGGGAAATTGAAGGAGTTGGGGTTCGTGCTGGGGGCCGGTTTGAAAGATATCGATGACCGGTGGGCTGATAGAAAGGGGCCGTTGGGGGTGCATTTCGAGCCCGTGGAACTCAAGGGGCTCGTCAGGGCGCTGTTTCAGAACACCGATCGGAGGGCGGCGCTGTTGGCTAAAATTCAAGAATAAATTTGTTTTGTTGTGTTAATAAATAGTTGGTTTTTCTCTTTAAAATGTGTTTTTTTTATACGAAACGAGCTGATGATGAAGGTTCTGGTAGCCGAAACGTCGATTTTTGAATTTAGCGATCTCGTTTACCTAGAAATCGCTCTTTTTCCCGTTCGAATACGAGCGATTTTAAGGTCGTGTGGTAAAGGGCTCCGTCCCTTGCACCCGGTCGGTAAGAGGAATACAAATTTGTGATTTTTAAATGCCTTTGCGAATAAAAAAAACTAAATGAGCATTTTTACTTAATGGAAAAAGTTTTATTTAATAATAATAATAATAATCGCTTCAAAAACTACTATACGTTTCGTCCCTGCTTACGAATTAAACAATTATTTTTAACATTTTTTTTATTACTTATTGATTAATTATTAATTATTATTAATCAATTACATAACGTAACAATTACTATTTTTTTATTCATTTAGTGATTATCATCGTTATCATCGCAATTTCGAGTCTTGCATAAGAGCAATTAATTACAATTCATTTATATACATTATATATACAGAATGTCCCCTTAGAACTTACTATATGGATAAGGAATAAATTTTTTTTCGCATACAAAAAAATCCATTAGAGGATACTCATCCATAATCCATATAATCTATTAGATACATATTGCATTGGGACACGCCGTATATACACCAAAAAAAAATCCACTTTTCCCGGTACTTCCCCGAGACCGGCATATAAAAAACGCGCGCCGCCATTTTTACCTTACCGCCTACAACAAAAACCAAACGTTCAAAAAGAAGAACCGGCTCAAAGCTCCTCGGGCACCATCTTCAGCAGCGCCATCTTCTTCTTGGCCACCTTCGATATCAATATATCGATCGGTTTCGCCGTATCGTACAACGACGGAGCGTTGAAGATGATTATACCGGTACCCACGATACACGCCATCGTGAATATCCACAGGAACAATCTATCCAACACCATCGCCACGTATTTCCAATCTTCCTCCACCTGGAAACAAAAACCTGCATTACATCCAGCAGGAATACGTAACACACAGCGGTTTCCATGGCAACCGCCTCCATTTAGAAGGTATTAAATACCGTTTCCATGGTAACAACTTCATTATACAGAGCGGTTACCATAGCAACCACTGTATCATATAGGCTTCTAAACGTACAGTTACCATGGTAACAGTATCTAATGAACGGTCGCTATGGATACCGTTGTGTATTATTGGATTGGCTTACGTTTTCGAAGGAGTCCTTGTTCCTGACGTGCTGGGCGATGAATCTGGAATCGGCGATGGTCTTCTCCATGTCGTGTATCTCGATTTTGTCGAAGGGCGTGGGGCTGAGGTCGCTGGAGCCTTCGAAGATGTTCGTCCTGCAGCTCGCCGGGCTGTACAGGTCCTCTTCCCCGCCGGCCAAAGGTAGCGGAAAGGGGGGTTCCCCGAAGCAGGAGCCGAGGCCGCCCGAGTCGAATCTGATACAGAAAAACGTGAGGCGGTAGAAGAAGAAGAAATGGTTGTTCGGCGGGGCGGTGGAAGATCCGGAAGAGGTGCTCACCTGGGCGGCGGTAGGCCCAAATCGAAGCTGTCGAAGGAGGTCTTCTCGTATTTGCACTTGTCCAGCATGGGCACGTGGATGACGTCGGTGAGGACGCTGTCCAGGCTTCTGTCTTCGTCCTCCTTTCTGGGTCTCTCGATGAACAGGCACTTGGGCAGGAACTCGATGAAGAAGACCTTCACCCACGGGGCCAGTTTGTGGGTCACCGGCGATCTGAAGTTGACGTTCAACACCGCTATGGTCACCACCACCGAGAGGGTGCACAGCAGCATGGTGAACAGCAGGTATTTACCTAAGGAGAAGGCTTCCATAAAAAAACTGGCTACCTAGCTGTTTAACCTACCTAGCAGAGGCACCGTAATGGAAGTGGGCGGGATGATCTCCACCAAGAGCAAGAAGAAGACGGTGAGCGAGAGCAAAATGGAGATGGAGAGCGAGACCTTCTCGCCGGAATCGGATGGTAGATAGAAGACCAAGATGGAGAGGAAGGAGATTCCGACGCACGGTACGATCAAGTTCACCGTGTAGAAGAGCGTCTTCCTGCGGAGGGTGATGTAGAACATTATGTCGAGGTAGGGCTCCTCGCAGCAGCTGTAGTACTTTTCGTTTCGCACCGCCGGGACCTGAAGAAATATGAAGAAAATTGAAGAAATTGATGAAAATGATGAAAATGAAGAAAATGAAGAAAATGAAGAAAATGAAGAAAATGTAGAAAATGTAGAAAATGTAGAAAATGAAGAAAATGAAGAAAACGAAGAAATTGAAGAAAATGAAGAAAATTGAAGAAATTGAAGAAATAAAAGAACAATTGTTTACCTTCATAATATCCCATTCGACTGATATGTAATAATCCTGCAGATCAATGCCTACGTCGATTTTGTTGGAATCGTGGACCTGCTGGAGGTGCCTCAGGTCAACCTGGAAGAAAATTGAAGATTTTCACAAATTGGGTAGTGTATTTGAAGAAAAAAGAAACTCACCATGTAACCGTCGTAAGTCCAGGATCCGAATTTCATGAAACACGTTTGCTCGTCGAAGGGGAAGTACTCGACGTCGATTTCACAAAACGATTTATAAATCGCAGGCGGCTTCCATGACACTGTACCCGTATGATGGAGAATGGCTTTCGTCATAATGGTCACTTCGTAATTTCCATCGGCGCTTAAAAATTGAAGAAAATTGAAGAAATTGAAGAAATTGAAGAAAATAAAGAAAATAAAGAAAATTGAAAAAACTGAATAAATTACAAAAAATATAGAGAAATTGAAAAAATCGAAGAAATTGAAAAAATTGAAGAAATTGAAGAAATTGAAGAAAATAAAGAAAATAAAGAAAATTGAAAAAAACTGAATAAATTACAAAAAATATAGAGAAATTGAAAAAATTGAAAAAATTGAAGAAAATTGAAGAAAATTGAAGAAATTGAAGAAATTGAAGAAAATAAAGACAATTGAAAAAACTGAATAAATTACAAAAAATATAGAGAAATTGAAAAAATTGAAAAAATTGAAAAAATTGAAAAAATTGAAAAAATTAAAAAAATTGAAAAAATTGATAAAATTGAAGAAATTGAAGAAATTGAAGAAAATAAAGAAAATAAAGAAAATTGAAAAAAACTGAATAAATTACAAAAAATATAGAGAAATTGAAAAAATTGAAAAAATTGAAGAAATTGAAGAAATTGAAGAAATTGAAGAAATTGAAGAAATTGAAGAAATTGAAGAAATTGAAGAAATTGAAGAAATTGAAGAAATTGAAGAACATTGATAAATACATACTTATTGTAAAGGACAATGTCCGGAAGCCAAATGTGTTCGGACGGAACGTGCAGCGTCTCGACGCCCCCGTAATCGTCCGGATTCCATTTCAACTTGTAATCGTTCCATTCCTGCAAACATCCTGTATATATATTTCGAAATTTATTCATCTTCTACATTTAGAATCTTCCGTTACCTGTTCGACCCAAACGTTCGTCGTCATTATTTGGTTCTTCAAATTCTGCAAAAAACAACAAAAAAATTGATACAGAATGAAAAAGAAATTTCTATCGGTTTTTAAGGAAAAGTCCTTTCATAGAAAACGACAGGGAAGGATCTAGATAATAGTTTTGTACAATACTTTTTCTACTAACTATAAACTTACCACGTCGATGAGCTGGGACAATTTGAGGCCCATTTTGACGGTGAGCCGATCCGAATTGTTTCCCACCGGTCGAATTAATCGATTGTAATTCGATAGAAGATCGTCGTAGAGACGCTTGGCGTCCGGATTGGCGCGAATAAAGGGCGGCGTCGCGACGCCCAATAATAATATTAAAAACAACGTCGGCCATTTCAATGGGAGCCGAGGCTCCATTTTTTAGGTATCACCTGTCAACAGAATAGTAGATGAATAGGAATGGATGAAGAATTAAATGAAGAATTAGGTATATGAAGACTCAAATGATAAATTAATGAAGAATTGAATAAATATGTATATGAGGAATTAAATGAAGAATTAAATGAAGACTTAAATGATAAATTAAATGACCAATTAAATGAATAATTGAAGAATTCAATGAAGACTTAAATGAAGAATTAAATAGGAAATTATCTAGAATTAGAACACACTTGTGTAGTGCAATATTACTTCGGGTATTCCCCGAGGAAGAGGCGGTAAATTCACATTCAATTTTCTAAGTGAATTTGCGTTTAATTTTACCATAGAATTCTTATGGGAAATGTTATAAGATTGTTTGTTTTCTATGCTGTTTCCCTAATAATTAAATGCGATTAATTATCTAGTTATAAGACATTATAATTAATTTACGAGCAGTGTATACTCGTATTATGAAGTATCTTCTTTCTATTATGAACTCCCCCGATTAATATAATCTAGTTATCTTTGAGTCTTTGAGTGTATATCGATCTAGCTCGAAGAAAAGTCTCGAGGGCTTCTCGAGAGAGGAAAATCCGGAAATGATGCGAGAGGCTTTTGTTAATAATTTACCATCTTTAAAACGGGTTTTCTCTTATCTCGTTACCAATCGGATTTTACACTCAAACAAATTATTTTTCCTCGCTTAGGGAAATTCCATCAGCAGGCCTTGATCAATTGTCGCAAACGAAATAAAAACAAATGGAATTGAAGATAATTGACGAAAGGAAGGAATAAATTGTGATTATACCAATTAAATTCGATCAGAAATAAGAAACTACCCGATTTTCCCACAGCACTCTTTTCGTATTATCACATCCCTTATTTTAGATACGAGAGGAGAGTCAACGCCCACTTCGATCACATCACTCTACGCGGAGAGAAAAGAAGAAAACTTTCCGCTCTTTTTCCATTAAATTATCAATTAAAATAATTTCCACATGGACTTACGAACAATATACTACAAACAAACCACCTTTTTTTACCCTTATTTTACCATTTTTTTTATTATTTCGCGTTCAATCTCTCAACGCCCACTTCGATTTAATCCTCCACTTTTACAACCAGAAGTTCCACACACGAAAAAAACCACCCTTAATTTACCCTTATTTCACACAAACAATTCCACATCAACGCCCACTTCGATCAACTCTCTTTTCAAACCCCGAACAATTAATCACACAAAAACTATCAAAAATTTCCCTCATTCAACCCTTACAATCTCATAATTATCCCTTATAATTCACCCTTATATATCACTTACCCTTACCTTGGGCTATATTTCACATTATTCCCTTTATATAGCGCGAATGCATCGCCCCCCGGAACACCACTCGGACGGTCCGGACGCTCCGGATCGTCCCCTTCTACTGGGACGGTGAATTGCGGCGTCTCGCCCCCGCCCGGCGTCCCGACGCCGCCCGGACGGGGACGCGCGCGGGGCGGGGGAAGGGCGCCAGTCGATATACCCCGCGCGAAGGATGGGCGAGGGGGGATGCTAGTGGATAAAATTCGCTGATATCCGTGTATCCATATACACAGGGTGGTTTGGTTTTTGTGTGATTTGGGGTAGTGCGAGAGAAAGGGATAGGGAGATAGGCAGAGAGAGAGAGAGGAAGAGAGAGAGAGTTCTTAGCTAGATTTTTATAGAGGGTGTTTTTTTTTATATAATTTGGAATAATGCGAAAGAAAGAAAGAGAGTGAGAGATTTTTTAGATAGGTTTTATAGAGGGTGGGTTTTTTTGTAATTTGGGATAATGCGAGAGAAAGAGAGAGAGAGTAAGAGAGTTTTTAGATAGGTTTTATAGAGGGTGGGTTTTTTTTTGTAATTTGGGATAATGCGAAAGAATGAGAGAAAGTGAGAGAGTTTTTAGGTAGGTTTTTATAGAGGGTGGTTTTTTTATAATTTGGGATAATGCGAGAGAAAGAGAGAGAGAGTGAGAGAGTTTTTAGATAGGTTTTATAGAGGGAGGGTTTTTTTGTAATTTGGAATAATGCGAGAGAAAGGGAGAAAGAGTGAGAGAGTTTTTAGATAGGTTTTTTTTTGTAATTTGGGATAATGCAAAGAATGAGAGAGAGTGAGAGAGTTTTTAGCTAGGTTTTTATAGAGGGTGGTTTTTTTATAATTTGGCATAATGCGAGAGAAAGAGTGAGAGAGTGAGAGAGTTTTTAGATAGGTTTTATAGAGGGTGGGTTTTTTTGTAATTTGGGATAATGCGAGAGAAAGGGAGAAAGAGTGAGAGAGTTTTTAGATAGGTTTCATAAAGGGTGGCTTTTTTTATACAGGTTGCTCCATTTTTCATCGCAACATAGGTTATATAGGCCATGGGTGCGATAAAGACAACTTCCATTAGACACTTACAAAGGAAAAAGAAAGAGTGACATTTGTGTCATTGCAACTTTTCACTACAACTATCATTTTAATAATCTTTCTTTGTTCCACTCATAGAAATGACCATGTTGCAATCGGAAATGGAGCAAGGTGTATACAGTATACAGGGTGTTTTTTTTTGTATAATTTATTAAAACATATCCGACCATACAGAGTGTTTGCAAGAGGCGTACATTTCATGGCAATCGTGATTGGCGTTGGAGGCTCTGTCGTAATCATCTTCATCGGGATAATCATCGTGAGGTTTAATTCTGTGAATCCGAAATGTTGTTAAAATGTTCAAATAAAAAAAAATAACTTTACCTGAATACAGTCTTCATAAGTTCCTGGAAAAGCGTCCCTTTACCTTTCGGTACTCTGCTCACCTCGCATATGGCTTTTTTGAGGCAATTTTTACCGTCCTTGCTCAATCTACATTAAAATAGTTCAGTATAATAACTCGTACATTGCTCTAAAGTCTCTAAAACACTTACGCTGTAAGGAGCTTCTCTAATTTACCGTAGAGCTCCCGTCTCGTCCTCCTGTGGACGTGATGGAATTCCGGATGGATAAAAGATGAATCTTCTCGGTTGAAATTGTTATTTTCTCTGCTAAAATACAGATAAAAATTTCGATGAAAATCGAAGAAATTTGGAGAAAATCCCCCTTACCTGGCCGGAGTAAATCGAACTTTCCATCCAGCGGGTTGTTTGAAATGCCCTTTGAGCAGGAATGGATCGTAGTAGGTCTTGAAGGGATACTTTTTGCGCTTCAATTCCTGCCCTACATTGGAGTATCCCTTGTTAGAGATGCGATGATGGTGGTCTTCGTGAGGCTCGATGAAAAAAGAAAAATATTTATGAAAAAAAAACTCCCACAAGAACACTCAAAAAACGCTCCAAAAGTGCTCAAAAACACTCCAAAGAACACTTAAAAAACACACCAAAAACAATCCAAAGAACACTCTAAGAGTACTCAAGAAACACTCAAAAAAACGGCCAAAAATTATTTTGGAGGAGTTTTTTGGTTAATTCTGGAATATAATTTACCGGTAAAGTAGTTTCCGGCGCTTGCGTGGTGCTCGTGATCCTTTTTTTACCGAAAATTTGGAATATTTGTTGAGGGTCCGAGGGTAATTCCCATGCCAATGCTGCAGTGATGCCAATTGTAAAGATTCCCCCAACTCCCACGGAGGGAACGGTAAGACAATAAACTAAAAAAAAATTAAATAATTTTAAAATTAAGATTAAAAAAAAACACTCCAAGAACACTCAAAAAACGCTCAAAAAACGCTCCAAAGAACACCCAAAAAACTTAAAAAAATGCTCCAAAAAAAGTACTCTTACCCTTATCAAATGTAAACAAAAACAAAAAGGACTACTTGATGAAAGAGTTATAAAAAAATTAAGACTTTTTGATACTCACCGAGTTGTAGGGAACTTCCCGAGGGGAATGTCAAATATCGACGCCTTCTCGATAAACTTTTCGAAGTTTCCGTGTCATTTCTTCTCGAATTTTCACCGATTTCCATCGATTTTCCGGCCAGACACGCGAACAAAAACGCCAACGCGATCAATTTCGACATGTTTTTCCAATAAATAAATAAAATAAAGTTAATTAATAGAGTTAATTGTGAATAGAGAGGAAATTGCGATATTATATCGGGTCTGTCGAGTTCAAAAAACGCTACTAATTTAATTTTTACCGTTCTTTCCGTGTAAAATGCGAGAATTATAATTGTTTGATTTTTCCATTAAATTTAATGCAATTAGCGCTCGAATGTAGTTAGAGCAGTTAGATAAATAAAATGTAATTCGTTCGATAAATATCGAATGAACGATAAATAACCGCATTTTGTATTTGTTAAATATTTTTTTTAATTTAATCTTTTTTGGTTCGGGAATCCCCCGGTTGGGCTTACTTTTCTTTTTCCTATAACTTCGCTGAAAATCGGTGTAATTAAATCCGGTTTACGGGAGGCGATTGGTGATAAATAAAAGAGTATTATGCGAAATTTTCGAAAAAATCGCCTGAGCGGTTTCCGAGAAAATTTCGAAAAACCGAAAAATTCTCGAAATCGGCGCGCAAAATCCGGTTTTTCGACCGGAAGGAAGCTTTTCAGGATTTCGAAATATCGATTTTCCGATAGAGCTCGTCGAGTTACTCAGGATGGCGATTTTTCCAATTTTTTTCTCTTAGAATAAAGTCGTAAAAAAGAAAAAACACTTCAAAAAATACACTAAGTAAAATAATTTTTTATAACCCCCTCTTAAAATTTTTTACATTCATCTCTGCTAATGTTTATCCTCATTAATTACTTCTAAAACTCAAAAAAAATCACACCGCGTTTTTGTAAACATCCTACATCAAATCAAACAAAAAAATTAGAGCCTCTAAGTAAATGAACGAAGCACCGAGAAGAGAAAAAAAAAAAGTAGAATAAAAATTAACATTAAATCCCAATATGAAGCTACACGTTTCGGAATTCTTCGCGACCCTCCTCGTGCTCCACGCGACCCGCCCCTGCTCGAGCCACACCAGAGACGCCCCTGGAAAATCCAGAGGAAAAAGATACGTCGCTTTTCCAGAAGGAACCACTTTCATCGTAAGTCAAAGCAATTTATACAACTTAGAGCCTCTAAATATTTATATTTTTATAGTAAATCAAAGAGCTACTTGATCATAAAACTTAGAGGCTCTAAGTATACAACTTACAGGCTCTAAATTGGGTATTTTTCAGGCGAATTTGTGCGACACTTTGGCGACAACCACTGGTTTTAACATGTACTTTCAAGGGATCAATTGGGGTACCGGTTGGGTACTACCCAATAGAACCAGCGTACTCAATATGCTCGTAGAGCTCAACGAGCACAAGAGGAAGAGGATTCAACGCAGAGCCATCTATTCCAAAGTGGAAACGATGCTAGAAGCGTAGGTTATTTTTTCTACGACCCTTTTTTTCCTGATTAATTAATTGATTTTATCGAGTAGGCTTGGGAAATTACTCTTTATTGGTTATTATTTTATCGAGTAGGCGTGGGGAATTATTAATCGTTTTATTTCATCGAGCAGGCGATGGGAAATTACTCTTTATTTTTTTTTATTTTATTAAAGAAATGATGGATGAGGAGAGAGAGGTTTTAAATTTCAACCACTTGTAGAGGGTTTTTGAGAAGGGTCGAAAGAGGTTTCAATGGAAACATCAATTTTTCTCCTTTTTTCTATTCGGTTGATTGATGGACGAGCAAATTTTCCCAGAGCCGCCTACTAGACCGGTTTTTAAATTAAATTACTTCGATTTTCCAGTGATACACTTGATAAGAAAACGAAAATAAATATACCTACTCGATTTCTAACACCCTGTATACATATACATACAGGGCGTCCAGAAAAAAGTGACAGTTTCACTCAAATTACAACCTTGGATGGGTTTTAGGGTGGTTTAAAAAGGTGTTATTTTTTGATTTTTTTATTCTCGAAATTCCATACTTTTCGGTCACCCTGTATATATTTTTTAGGGTAGGTTACGAAGGAGCCTCTTGCGTGTACCGGGCCCTGTGCGAAGCTCCTCGAAAATTCCGGGGAAAATCCACGAAATTATCCGAGGAATTGTTGCGTATATTCTTCAAGTAAGTTTTTCCAGATTTAGTAATATTACAGACCTAGGAATGTCCCCAGATTCCCGCAATATCCCCAGAATTTAGTAATTTTTTTCATAAAATTCCCGGATTTTTTTCAGATATCCCCTCCAGGGCCTGCTCGACGACGAGCCCCCGGATCATCACCATTATCACAAGGCCCACAGGATAGGCAAATTCATGGAACATCTAGATTGCTCTGAAATCTATCCCGATTGCCCGGTATCTTTGATCGACTTGGCTTTGGGATATTATCACAGTTAATAATTATTGTTAATTATTTCATTTAAATTCTACTAATTATAATTACTGTTTGTGCACCAATTTCCTTATGTAAATCTACCGGGTGTTCGATAATTAGATAAATAAATCGAAAAAAATCGGGTCAATTTCGAGACACGTTTGTTTAAATTTTTCAACATGGAATAATCCCTAATTAGAAACTAATTTTTTGTACAAATTGTAATATTTACAGTTTTAAACTAGAGTTTGCATTTACACATGCAAATCGAATTTAACAGTTAGTTAGTACACGCACACTAGATAGACAATGCTCGAAATTACCAAGATACTTTCCATCCTGATCCTGCTGGTTTCCACGTGGAATCCCGCGCTTTCCAGGCAATTATCCAGAAGAAAAAGGTACCTGGTCTTCCCCGAAGGAGCCAGTATGTCGGTAAGTCAATACTAAATCATATTTTAATCACTCTGTATATAAATATAATCTGTGCTCTGCTCTGTTCTGTTTACTCTGATCCTACTCTATGGAGAATTTGGTGTAATCCGGGGTAACAATGTAAACGGATAAAAAGGAATTCGAAAATCGACGTTTCGACTTCCCGAAATCCAATCTTCAGCTTCAAAAATGCGATTTTTTCCTGTTTATAGGCCGCTGCTTGTATGACGGCCCAATTTTGGGTGAATCCCCCGGGGATATTCACCGATACATTAGCGTGGGGGGTGGCCTACGATCTGCCCACCAACGTCACCGAACTCAAGGCCTACTCGGGCAAAAACCAGCTGCTCAAGCGGAGGTCCCGGCGCGAATTGTACGGGAAAATCGAGAAGATAATCCAATCGTAAGTGCAGATAAACTCGCGCCATTTTGTAGGCTTTGTTTAAATGTGACAGCTGACAGATATAGGCAACTTGATTATAAACTTGCCTAATTTTGTAGGGGAAACACACGCGTTGTTTAAATATGACAGCTGACAGCTAGGCAACTTGATTAAAGTATTTCTTAACGCTTGCTCGATTATTTTATTTATTTTTGGATTTTTTTAGGATAGGTTATGACGGTCGCTCGTGCGTTTTGAGGGCCCTTTGCGAGGCGCCCGGCAGGTTCCTGCCCAAAGAGGACAATCTGCTCAATTACGTGTTGAAATTGGTGTTTCGGTGAGTTTTTTTTCGAGTTTTACCGAGTTTTTACGCGCTATTTTCCGCTAGTTTTCCGTTGGAGAAACTCCTGCCCGGGGAGCCCGAGGAGCACCGGATTTATGGAGGGGCCGCGCGAACTGGAAGGGAAAATCCCCGCGGAGATTGCTCGGAGATTTTTAATTGTCCGTTTTCTTTGATCGACGCCGCTTTGGGGCGGTATTCTTGAGGAATAAATTGGAAAAATAACGAAAAATAAATTATTTAATTGGGTTCTATTTCAATCGCGTGGTGGAACTGTTACAATTCCGCACCGGTCCCATCTCTATTCTATGAATGTTGATATTGTAGGGGAGAGAGGAGCAAGAGAGGAGAGACGAGAAAATCCAAATAAAATTTAACAAACCATTACCAATAAATAAATATTTAAATAATAAATTTAAATATATCCATCATCCAGTTCGAGAATCGAGTTCCCCCTCCGCGGATAAATCCGTTTAATTAACGAAACCGAGTAAAAATTTCCCCTCATTTTCCATCATTTCCCAATCAATTTCCACACCAGCCGATGGAAATTTCCGTCTCGGATCGCTTCGAATTAAACTGGATTATATCCATTTATTTCCGGGAATGTCCCGGAAAATTATCCAGAATATTCAGGGAGGTATTTTGTAAAATTTAAAGGGAAGTATCCGAAGTATACAGGGTGGGATATTTGTTAGGGACAAGAGGGGTTTTAAATTGAGTAAATTAATTAAAAAAAATCTCAACAAAATCTCGAAAAATTCAAAAATTTCAAAAATGCCTTTCTACAATTATTTATTAACATATAATATACATCTCTAAATTGTTATTAACAAAAAAAACATTAATAGTTTAGTAAATAATACTGACAAAAAAAGCTCTTTGGTATTTAGAAAAAAATAACCTACAAAAATACCGTTTGTTCTCTTCAATAATAAACCAAAAAAAAATGAACACAAATATACAGGATGTCCCGATTATCTAATTTTATTGGGACAATAAAAAAGACGAGAAAAGCAACAAGAATTAGTAAAAATAAACCCTCTCTCTCTCCCACCCGCTGCAATAAAGTACTCTTCAAATAAAATGTCACGTATTATATACAGGGTGTCCCATTTAAAATAAACATCGAGATAAATCGAGAGCTTTTACCGCGCGTAAACAACACAAATACAAACACCCCGTATATAAATATACCTAATGAAATGTATTTAATTTAAAATTTACTCGAACGGGGGTAATCCGAAGAGCTCGGGTTTGAATTGCACGAGAGAATCCAACACTAACGTGGCGTTTTTCTTCAATTCTTCCGGTATATAAGGAGCTGGTACCATTACGCTCTGCATGCCGGCACTTTGAGCCCCCTTCACCCCGTTGGGGGCGTCTTCGAACACGATACACTGGAAGAAAAATGGTTTTTTTTAATGCAAACAACGTCCTTGGTTACTCCATAACAACGTAAAACTGTCAAAACTGTCAAATTGAAGGAATCTCCTTGGTTACTCCGTAACAACAATGTAAAACTGTCAAGTTGAAAGAATCTCCTTGGTTACTCCATAACAACAATGTAAAACTGTCAAAGGAGCGCTGAAGGGGGGCCATTTTGGAAATTATGCACGTTAATGTTTACCTTATGGCATAATAGAATGTTGATAGTTATTAAAAGAATACAATAGTACCGTAATTTGCGATTATAAAGGATTGTTATCGAATAGGAAAAATAAATAAATAATACTTATAGGATTGCGTGAAATAAATTATTGCTTTAATTTGTTGCATACTATGCAACAAAATTGTATGTTTCCAATATACATAGGTAGTAATAATAGTCGTCCTTCTCTAATAAAGAACTTATTCAATTTGCCATTGTAATACATATCGCTATCCTTCTCTAACTAGGACTTATTCAAACTGACCTTCTAGGCCTTTTTAATTTATATTTGAACGTTGACAGATGGTTGACAGGGTTGTTTTGTGGTCTTCTAAGATGTAAAAAGCCATTTACAACTTCTAAAAAACTTCATCATAGGTAAATTCTTCTAATAATACTTTCATTTTGCATAATAAATTACACACCTTGCTCCATTTCCGATTGCAACGTGGTCATTTCTATGAGTGGAACAAAGAGAGATTAATAAAATGACAGTTGTCAGAGTGAAAAGTTGCAATGAGACAAATGTCACTCTTTCCTTTTCCTTTGTAAGTGTCTAATGAAAGTTATCTTTATCGCACCCATGGCCTATATAACCTATGTTGCGATTAAAAATGGAGCAACCTGTACATAGGTAGTAATAATAGTCGTCCTTCTCTAATAAAAAACTTATTCAATTTGCCATTATAATACATATCGCTATCCTTCTCTAAATAGGACTTATTCAAACTGACCTACTAGGCCTTTTCAATTTATATTTGAACGTTGACAGATGGTTGACAGGTTTGTTTTGTGTTTTTTGGTCTTCTAAGATGTAAAAAGCCATTTAAAACTTCCAAAAAACTTCACCATCGGTAAATTCTTCTAACAATACGTTCATTTTGCATAATAAATTGTAGATCAATAAACCAATCTCACTTTTTTGCGACTAACTAACCGTCAAATGTCAAAACGAAAACCTTTTTGACCCCCTTTTTTAATGCAAACAACGTCCTTGGTTACTCCATAACAACGTAAAACTGTCAATTTGAAAGAATCTCCTTGGTTACTCCATAACAACAATGTAAAACTGTCAAAAGAGCGCTGAAGAGGGGCCATTTTGGAAATAACTAAACATCAAATATCAAAACGAAACCCTTTTTGACCCCCCTTTCAGCACCACAGTCGAACAACGCACTCACAACCGACCCTTTAGAACCAAACCACCGCCATCTTCCTCTACCACACAACCCACGAAACCCACCAATATACTCACACTAGAAGGATCCGGCTTATCGGGAAACCTCTCGGCGCAAACGAGGAATATATCCGGCGCCGGTTTGCCCATCTTCACCGCCTCGTCGGTGCTACCGCACACGATGTGATCGAACAAATCGAACACCGCCCGATGGCGGCTCGTCTTCAGCTCCATGCTCTCGCGCGACGACGACGTCGCCACCGCGATGGGCACCCCGTGCCCGTGCAGGTGCCTCACCAGGCGCTCGACGCCCGGCAACAGCGGCGGATCGCCCAGCTCGGTCATCTGCTTGCGCTTGTAGACGGCGAGGAACTCCAGCGGGGTGACGGGCAGCGAGAGTTCCTTGACCACTATGGAGGCGGTGTCGAGCTCGGGGGTGCCCAGGACTTTGACTTTGACGTCGTCGGTGTAGCGTTTGCCGTGTTCCATGACGATGTCGTTGATTATTTTGTCGTAGATCGATTCGGATTCTGCGGGGGATATTGTTTGGTTGAGAAATTAACCAAGTATGTGCGGTAGGGAAGGATAGGGAAGAGTAGGGAAGAGTATGGAAGACTAGGGAAGAGTAGGCAAGAGTAGGGAAGAGTTAGGAAGAGTAGAGATGGGTAGGGAAGAGTAGGGATGGTTACTGAAGGTTAGGAAAGACCAGGGAAGGCTAAGAAATACAAGAGAAGAGTAGGGAAGGGTGTGAAAAAGTAGGAAAGGGTAGGGATGGTTAATGAAGGATAGGAAAGACTAAGGAAGGATGGGAAAGAGTAGGAAAGGGTAGGGATGGTTAATGAAGGATAGGAAAGACTAAGGAAGGATAGGAAAGAGTAGGGAAGGGTAGGGAAGAGTAGGGAAGGGTAGGGATGGTTAATGAAGGATAGGAAAGACTAAGGAAGGATAGGAAAGAGTAGGGAAGGGTTAATAAAGGACAGGAAAGAGTAGGGAAGGATAGGAAAGAGTAGGGAAGGGTAGGGATGGTTAATGAAGGATAGGAAAGACTAAGGAAGGACAGGAAAGAGTAGGGAAGGATAGGAAAGAGTAGGGAAGGATAGGAAAGAGTAGGGAAGGGTAGGAAAGAGTAGGGAAGGTTAGGGAAGGTTGAAGAAGGTTAGGGAATGATAAGGGATATTAAATTAAAGAGTTTAAAAAAGAGCATAAATATGTTTTTTGTTAGATACTGTCTGGGGGAAAATTTTTAAGTGATCTAATAGATGGAATTGGATCGATTAAAAAATTTCCATCAGACGAAAAAATAATATTTATTAGGCGATGATTAATTCGCTTGGATAATAATCAATTAATCAATACAAACTGTGTGACTTTAAATTTATGAATGATTACTTAATTATGTAGTCTTGGAGTGGCTATTTTTGTGTAATTAAATTTATTTAAATAATTGGGGAGGGGGTGTTCGATATAAAAAATAAGATAAAAATTTTAATGAAATAAAAATATTTAATCGAGTTGGCTTGTGTATAGAAAGGGAATAGTTTTTTTATCTAATAGGAGCTTATCTAATAATAATCTATATGAGAGAAAATATCGAATTAAATGGAAAAAAATTCAAAATAAACTCACCCAATAGAAGCCCGTCCATATCGAAGATGACGTGAGTGACCTTTTTGAACTGCATTTTGATTTTTCAAATTGGAAAAAAAATGTGATTTTTAAATTTTTTTCGATTCAATGCCGAGCAACCCGGTGGAAATCCCAACGCCTACTGGATTACGGTTCCAAGTTCTAAAATAAAACAAATCGTTTCATTGATGATGCATTTTCCTTAACCTTGTATAACCCGCCGGGTAGCGGAAAAGCGCACGCGCGAAACGTGGAAATTTTCGACCATGTTGTGTAATCAATTTCGTTTCTTATACGTCATTACGTCATCTTAAACGCGGTCTTACTTATACAGGTCTGGAAACTGGTTCGCATTTTTGCGAAAAATGAGGTTTTTTTATGTTATTTGCTGCAAGAATTTTTGATGATTTCATAAAATATCTTCTCCTTTATCGTTTTAGAAACTGCGCTCTTTCATTTCGAATAATTGTACACTCTTTTACGAGTTTCCGAACCTGTTTGTAAGACCGTGATTAAATCTAGGGTGCCGAATAACACCGGCAGTTGAGGACAATTTATTATAGAAGAAAAAATAAATCGAGGTATTTAGCTGTTTTGATACGGTGTTTCAGTCATAATTAGTCTTATTATAAATACAAAATAATGATTATGTATCTTTGTATAATTTTTTTAAGAATTTCTTCTTTTTACTTAGTTCGTATCAACTTGTCTAATGTTGACGTTAGTGACATTTCGGGCGACAAGGGATTAATAGAGGTGGGAATCGATTTTTCAGTATAGAGGCGCAGGAACGACCGTTACAAAATAACCGTTATTTTTCCAAAAAAAAAAATCGTACTCTTTAATTTCGAATAGAAAAACATGATACATAAAGTTTTAAGCTCATAAATGGCAGTAAATACTTATAGTCCTCTGTCAATTGTGTTCTAATTCAATAAAGCAAAACTTCCAGTCAACTATATAGAGACACATTAATGCAACTAACTAGTGCAAAATTATTTAAAAATATTAAGATACAAGTCTACATATACAGAATGATCGATTCAATTTAGAGCGCACATTCCCAGCAACTTCCCTCGTACAAATAGAGGTGTGTAGAGAGCACAATCCAGAGCACTTTTGGAAACATCCCTCGTACACACACAGAGAGCACAATTCGCGGAACGCCACACAGGGGTGGCAATTCGCAACATCGCGAACATCCCTCGTACACGCACATAGGGGTGGGTAATTCTATCAGGGGTGGGAAAAACGGAGAATCATGCGCTCGGTGCCCGGAACTCTAGCGAAGAGAGGGTACACCTCGAGGGTAGCTGCAGTACAAGGGGAGCGCTCGGGGGCTGCAGACCTCTCCGCAACCCTTGCGAATCCGGATCGATCTTTTCATCCCTCTCGCGTATACAGATTTATACGAAAGCGTGTGTGTGTGTATATGAGTGCGTGTAGCGTGTAGCGTGTATGTGCCTCTCCTCGAGCTTATTATACCGATTTCGGGCGTTTGTATACTATATACTAGGTACTAGGTAAAAGCGAAAACCGCCGGGATCTTATTATTTGGTTTTTTTGTTGTTATAGGGGCTCGTTTGTACGAGGTAAGTGAAGCGTATATATTCTTTTTATTCGGGGTAGGTAGATACATAATTCTAACACACCCGGTATTAAATTGCATACGTACTAGATATAGTATGGAATTAATTGTGTTTTGATAAATTTATCTGCATTGCGTGTATCTCAAATATTTGTTGGACTTTTCCATAAAAAAAAAACGTTGGATTATTTAATTTTTCTGGACATTTTCGTTCCAGCTATGGAAGAAGTGTTGTTAGAGGGTAAAAATTTCAAATTGGTAACGGAATCCGAGCTTCCAGAGATCATCGACTTCCTGGGCGACCATTTGCCCGATTCGATTAAGGTAAATTAGTGGGAATATTATCCGGATAAAATTGATTCAGGAAACGGTCCTTTTCCAGTTTCATCAAACGCTGAAGACCTATTTGAAGGACCGCGTGTGGGAGTTTCATTTCTACGTCACGAAAACGTGGCCGGAACAGGCTGTGATTTTACATTTTCCCGGAATGACCAGAACGGTAAGAGATTATCCAGAAACCGGATCCGGATCCACGCCAAGACTACACCAGATTAACTCCTGAAGCGTTCTAAATCGTTCTGGAGCATTCTAAACGGTTCCGTATACTGTTCTAAATGGTTCTGGGCAATTCCAAATTATTCTGAACTTCCCTAGTTTATCCTGGACCGTTCCAAACAGTTCCAAATGATTTTAGACTGTCCTAAAAGGTTCTAGGCACTTCTTTAAATACCCAATATTCTACACCAAACCCACACCAGATCTGCACTAAATCTACGCCAAATCCAATTGAATCGATCATCACCTGATTAAAAAATCCTGCTCTTCTGCAAATCGATAGCCTCCCCGAGGAAAAATCGTGCACCTGGATCCCGCGAAAAGACCTTGGGAAAAATCAGAAGAAAAAAAATTCTCGTGCAACGACAATAAATTGCTCATTCGTGTTGAATTTTATCGACACGCCACGTTCACAACTCCACTATTGCACTAGTTTTACACTATATTTATCTAGATATTACCCCTGACAATTCGGTTTTTGCACCAGGTCAATCTTTCCAACATAAAAATAAAGTTTTCTCTCTACTTTAATACAGTATAATACAAGACTCTTCTCTCTACTTTTAATGAGTATAATACAAGTTTCTTCTCCCTACTTTTATCGACCATAATCGACCATAATCATAATCTAGATATTACCCCTGACAATTCGGTTTTTGCACCAGATCAATCTTTCCAACATAAAAATAAAGTTTTCTCTCCACTTTTATACAGTATAATATAAGACATTTCTCTCTACTTTTAATGAATATAATACAAGTTTCTTCTCCTTACTTTTATCGACCATAATCTTCTCCCCAGTCCAATCGATCATCCATCTCTCATTCATCCTCAAACACACCAATCCATTCCTCCATTACCTTCCATCCATTTCTCCATCTTACATCAATCTCTACTCTATTCATACTCATCATCATTGTCCAATTCCAGCCGAACGGTAAACTATACGAGAGCTTCAGCGTGTTCTGTCCCAGCGACCAATTGGACAACATCTATCTTCTAACCGACGAAGACGTCCTGATCGATTGGACTCGACCCATTTACCTCAACTTCACGCACGCCAAGATCATGGAGAAATTGGAGGAAATGTACGCGCGAACGGGCACCATGGAGAAACTCACCGGAGAGGTCTACTGCCAATTGGACGAGGAGATTCGCACTGAAGAGGACGAGAGCACAACGTGAGTGTCCAACGGCATTTCTGAACTGTTTCGGAATCGTCTAAATGCTTCCGAACTTCCCTATAACAGGCAGCTATCCTTTCTTCCTCTTTTGCTTACAATTTAAATTTCTTACGGCCTTCGACTGTACTGTTATTTCGCCCTTCGGGGTCCAGGGTATTCGCAGAGGACGCGGAGATGATGCAGCTGTCCGCCGAGCACGCCCCGATGATACACGATCTCTATCCGGCCAATCACATGGAGTGCGTCGAAGTGTTCGAGAAGCTGATCGAGAAGCTGCCCTGCTTCGGGGTCTTCTCGGCCGACGGCGATCTGGCCGCCTGGATGGTGCAATCCTATTACGGCGCCATGTTTTCCATGCAAACGCGACCCGAGTATAGGAGAAAGGGATACGGACTGATGCTCGCCAAGTACCTGACCAAATTGGTTAGTATTATTTGCTCTAATTTACTCTAAAAGATGAGATTTATCGCTTGAATATATCGCTTGAAAATGATACAAAACATACAGCACATTTAAACGCTTAATTAATCAAATTGTATGGCACTTACTTTGAAAATACTATTACAAAAACTCGAAGATTACTATTATTAATCGATTTCCTCGAATAAACCGCTCGATAGATGCAGGATGGCTAAAATATTCAACGATTTAATAAAGTGTATTCGTTTAGAATCTCTCATCGGCGCCATTTTGATAACAATTCATTGACAGTTCGAAATGGCAGGTGACAGGCGCGGCCTTCTTGTGAAAAGGTTGGATTTTTTTGCAGGTGAAACAGCGCGGTTACATGCCGTTCGTGGTAATCCGTCCGGAAAACGACGCCTCGAAGGGACTGTACGCCAAATTGGGTTTCAAAAAGTATTTCGAAACGGTGAGAGCCATCTTGCGGCCCCACGAGATGTCCGGCGACGCCCAAGGCGGAGGAGGCGGTGGCGGGAAAGTGACCAAGCAAAATGGGCATTAATTCAAGAAGAATTCTTCTTTTTCTTTTTCTTTTTTTGTTTACACAAACACACACACACAAACGAATCCCCGTTTATTCGCGATAATTGACGCTTGGTTGAATTTATAATATGATATTATTACATGGCATTTTAAAGAAAAGAAGAATTGATGAAAAAAAATAAAAAAAAAATCCTTTTAGATATTCGCGACGCGCGCACATACGTTCTTCGGGAGCTGAGAGGGCTTTGGAATTTGCTTCTTCTCAATTTTTCGAGCTCGTCGAGTTTTTGACAAGTATGACGTTTTGAATCGTCCTAAATGGTTCCGGACAGTTCTAAATGATTGTGAACAATTCTAACTTTAACTGAACTGTCTTGAATCATCTCGAAGGGTTCAAAATAGTTCTGGAGCAGACTTGTGACAGGTATGACGTTTTAAAGCTACCTAAATTTGACAGAATTCAGCTGTCCGGCTGTCATTTTTGACACGTTTCGACGTTTTAAATTAGCTGTCATTTTTGACAAATGAGACAGTTGTGCTCATGGAAAACTCGATTGGGCGATTTTCAACAAAAATTATTATTATAATAGCTCAAATTTGAATAAATCGACCAATTCGTTCTTCGCAAAAATGAATTGAAAAATGAATTGCATTCCGATAAAAATTTTTACCAAATACTCGTAGATAGAAAGAATAAGTAGATAAATTCAATCCTCTATATGAATAAACACACAATTTGATATTTGAATTGTAATTAAATCGGCCTCGAAAAAAAATTATTCCGGAATTTAGGTATTTATTAATTCCCGGTGAATCCCCGCGATAACATATCCATATCCCCCCGTATAATTCGCATTTAATTTGTGTTTGTTTTCGAGGTAAATTTAATTGCGAGTTAATCTATCGCTAACTAGTAGTTTAAACAAAATCGATGCTGTGAATAAAAACCGTATTTTTATGGTAGAAATATTTTTGAAAAACGAAAAACCAAAAAAAAAAATAAAACAAAATAAAAATTATCATTTTTCGCAATTTTCGTTAGTGAAAGCACGATCAAAACGCGTGTAATTCCCCCGTTAAAAAATCTCTAAATCTAGTTAGAAGAACTAATGGTTCCGGACAGTTCTAAATGATTCTGAACTTCGATGGTTCATCTTGGACAGTTCTAAATGGTTCTGAACGGTTTTTTAAATATAATTTGGTGATTATAAAGTGATGACGTAGGCAGTGATATTAAAACGGATGAATTATACGCGAAATGTGGCTGAATAATCGATTAGAAAGAGCCTAAAAAAAGAAAAAAAATCACATTTAACGTGCCGTAGTGTGCCTTAAAAAATACACAAAAACATATTAGAAACGGAAAAGCGTCGTGTTTTCACTAACGTTTTTTTATTTGTTTTGAGAAATTTACTTTTCATTTCCCCCCTGTACATATATACAGGTAGACGCAAATTTGTGCGCAATATCCTATGAGTGCAACAAAGACAACTTCCAATAATCTCGCATAAAAGAGAAAGAAAGAGTGATATTGTGGGTACATATTGCAACCATCTTACTCTAACCCACTGTTATTTATATGCTCTTTCTTTGTTCCACTCGTAGAATTTCAACAAACATTGCATCTACCCTAACTACTGTATGCTTTAATCGCTTATCCCGGAGTTTTACGAATTAAAATAACAAAAAAAAAAACAAATTTACTTGTAGCTTTTTTGGAACTTTTTATATTTAAGTAGACTTAGAAGCAAAATAGCTTGCCCAGTAATGTTATGACTGTGATAGATTATTTTTCCTTCGACGACCTCCAAATGGGATTTTATATAGCTTACAGAGTGATCGAAATAGCTGGAGACGTGACCTGCGCTACTTTTGTAAGTCTCTAGCTATTCAATTGGTACTGTAGATTTAATTATGAAGCTTACAGAGCGATTAAAGTAGCTGAAGACGTGACCTGCGCGACTTTTGTAAGTCTCTAGCTATTCCATTGGTACTGTAGATTTGATTATGAAGCTTACAGAGCGATCGAAATAGCCGGAGACGCGATTTGCGCTACTTTTGTAAGTATCTAGCTATTCTATTGGTAGTAAATTCGATGTCGTCGATAAGAAAACTGGTGATACTGTACTGGAAAAAGCTAATTTTAGTTTAGAAATAAATAAATAAATAAAAACATTTTTCGCCAATCGATTGGAAATAATATCGTTAAATTAATGGACTCTTCCGTGATATTTTTTCGTTAATAACGTTAAAACGCGGTTCTGAACTGTTTCGAATCGTCCTGAAGCGTTCTAAAACGGTTCTGGAGTAGTCCAAACGCTCCCGGACAGTTCTAAATGGTTCCGGAACAGTTCTAAACGATTCCAGACAGTTCTATATACAGAACTTTTTTCGTTAATTGGACTTTTCGCTTCGAATATTCCACTGTAGAAGAACAAACGAAAAAAAAAATACAAAAAAAATACCAATGCGTTTTTCTCTCCTCATTTTTTTATTGTATTTTATTGTATATTTGTATTAAATATTATATTTTAAACGAGACTCGTTAATTCCACAATACCTCATACTTTCATAGTTGATGTTAACGCCATTATCCTCCCATCTACAAAGAAAATGAACAATTTACCGGATAATTCTAATTGACATCAGACAGTTATAAACTGTTCCGGACTGTTCCGAATCGTCCCCACGCGTTCTAAACGGCTCCGGAACAGTCCTGAACGATTCTGTGCAGCTCCAAATGACCCCAAACAATTCTAGATCATAAAACTATAATAGTAGTATTTACCTGAGTACTAAACAGAGTACTATCCCCCGTTCTTCTGCATCTCCTTTCGATCATCTCCTCGCTGGCCGATCTGAGATCGTAGGCGAACCCTTTGGTCCTCAGCGATTCGATGAAGAACCTGGTGCAATTGAACCGCGCCCCGAACTCCGAGGTCTTGTAATCCCACGGGAACGCGTGATGGTAATTGTGCCAGCCCTCGCCGCCCGTTATCCAGGAAACGTAAGGATTCTCGGCCGGCAGGATGTTCCTGGAAAGGGGAATTTTCGTTCCGGTTAAAACGTTTACTGTCCCGAAAGTGCTTAAAACAGACAATGGGGGATAATAGGTAGAGTCAATTTTGAGACAACCTGTATATGTATATGCAACGATCCTGTATTTCTAAGGTCTGGAAAGATGTAGAAAAAGCGTCCCGTTATTATAGAATAAAACGGGGTTCCTAAAACGGTCACTAGGAGGCGATGTTGTAAAGGTTATATTCATGTTATATTCAAACTAAAAATAGATAGAAAATATAAAAATATACTTAAATCAGCGATGGTTTTGTTGTTAACATCACGCCTCACGTATCTTCGGTTAATGTATTTCAACATTTTCTCCTCGAGATGTCAAAAAATAATTTTCGAAGTTTTGACAGCTCGAACTGTCATCTCACAATCTTGATTTATATGTAGCGCGACGCTGATTGGCTGATATAAGTCAAAAGTTAAGCTCAAAAAGTCCTCAAATAACGGGACACATTCCCTAATGCATAAGCGTAGTTAATTTCCAGACCTTAGAAATATAGAACCGTGTTTATAAAGGAAAAAAACAGCCACATTTGTGTCATTGCAACTTCTCACTCTGACAACTGTCATTTTGTTAATCTTTCCTTGTTCAACTCATAGAAACGACCATTTTGTTGTCTGAATTAAAGCAATCTGTATACCTGTCAAACGGCCTGTTACCCCAAAGGTGAGCAGCGCTGTTCACCAGCCAGGTGAAGTTCAACACGAGCGCATATCTCAACGCAAACGCAGTAAAAGTCGATGTCCAGACGTTCTCTTTCCAGGCCCATACCGGCAGGAATACGGGCACAATGAAGGCGGCGATGAAATACAAGCTCTTGTAATGCCTGGAAGCAATCACACAAAAATATCCAGATAAGTATACCTCATCGAAAGTAGCTTGGCAGTTGGGAATGTACTTTATCGGATGTAGCTTGGTACTTGGATCCAGCGTATAGGGGAAGGGAGATGAACGATGTTAAAGAGAGTTTGGAGTCTTTTGTTGACTAAGAAACCTCGAATATGGAACGAATCTACTCACGAATATCTCCAAAACTGTCAAGCTACATTGGATGAGGTATAGGATATATAGAACGTGGAATTATTCTGACCGTTTCTGCCACATGACGAGAGGATCGGCTTCCAGATCGGACATATCGATGGATTTCCCTTTTTCCTTGACCAGCGGGTGTTTCCTCGACATGAGCCAGCCGATGTGGGAGAAGAAGAACCCCCTGGTGGCGTTGTGGGGATCCGCGTCGGTGTCGCTGAATTTGTGGTGTTGCCTGTGGTCTCTTACCCACACGTACATGCAGTTCTACAGATGTAAATAAATAGATTTTTATCAATATACAGGTTACTCCATTTTTGATTGCAACATAGGTCAAGGGTGCGATAAAGACAACTTCCATTAGACACTTACAAAGGAAAAGGAAAGTGTGACATTTGTGTCATTGCAACTTTTCACTCTGACAACTGTCATTTTAATAATCTTTCTTTGTTCCACTCATAGAAATTACCATGTTGGTGTATAAAGGTGGACTATACGAAGTCACTGTATAAGACTTGTGGTGGTCACTGTATGTGGTTTTTTTAGAAGTATTTAAGTGCGGGATTTACCTCTCCTGCCATCGTTTGGAATATAATCAGCAGGAATCTCAAAAATGGAGTGGCTTTGAAGGATTTGTGCGAGTAGAGCCGGTGAGCTCCCATTGTGATGCCTTCTCCTGTTGTTACGATCAAAATGGCGACTGAAAAATTAGAAATAATATTATTTGTTGAAAATTATATAATTAAAGATGTTTTTTACTTACTCCAAATGATCGTGAGGACTTTAACTTGGAGCGTGAGGATTAAATAGAGTCCGTATAGAGCTACTAGATGCAGCAGGAGGAAAAATATGGCATTTTTCCAGACGATTTCCCTATGGAAATTCGGATCTGTTCCTAGTTTTTCCTTATTTTCTTCATCGATTTTCCCTTCCATATTCACTGCAGATTGACTCAATAAATGAATTAATAAATAAATGAATGTTTTCTTACCAAATTTTTAATATATTTTTAGTAGGCGAAAGTTTCGTTGTAAATAAATATAAAATTTTTCAAATTGTGCACAAAATGATACTAACAATAAGTAATTTCTCTCTTATCTCTATAATAGTGGTGTTTTTTTTTTGAACTAATAAGCTCGATAAGTCGAAGGGTAATTACTGATATTGATATTCTCCATTAAATTCTATATACGGAAAATTCGCCGAGTTTTCCATTAACATTTATCAAAATTACAAAACAAATTGTTTGTCTTCCAGTTCCGCACAGTTCTAAATGATCCTAGACAGTTCTAAATGGTTCTGAACTGTTTTTGATCGTCCTGAAGCGATCCAAATGGTTCCGGAACATTTTAAATGTCGAAAAATAGTTCCAAATAATTCCGAACAGTTCTAAACGATATTGGACAATTCTATATTGCAAAAAGTTACTCCAACTCGAAACAAGGGGTTAAGGGACGGGCGACCTCGCGATCAAATCGAGTACACGCAATAAATTAACATGAAAAATAACCGATATATTCCAAGAATGCCTAGTTATTTAGCGATAACGATTGCAGGTACTACTTTATATTGCAACGAATTAATTGGCAGGAGTGCCTCGTAACATGGAGTACTACATCAAAAAACCCCAAGGAATATGTCGCTTTTTTACAACGCTTTGCTCGTACTCTTATCAATCAGCTTTACCGTCGAAGGTAAGTACTTCGCACGGTACTTTCTCCCGGTACTAATTAGCAGGATATTTTCCAGAATGCGGCAGACCAATAGGCAACGAATTTCGACTCGAAGAGGACCGTGTGGTGGCTGGGTACGATATCGGGTACTACAGGTACCCTTGGTACGCGATTCTGACCAGGTACAATCAAGTGGCTTGCGGCGGTACTTTGGTGGCGTCCAAAACGATTGTAACGGCGGCGCATTGCTACAAGGAATTTCTAAATTTAGCCAGGTAAATCTCAGTACTAATCGGTACTACTTTTGGTACTGCTCGGTTGGTACTTGGTGCTCGTAATTTTCCAGTAAAGGAGTGTTCAAACTGGAGCAGGCTTACATAGTGAAATTGGGCGTATACAACATTTGCACCGCGGAGAAAACCTCGAGGTCTTACACCGTGGAAAAAGTGCATATACACCAACTTTACTACACCAAAAAACCCTACTATGATATCAGCGTGTTGATTTTAAACGGGGACACCCCGTATACACCGATTTGTCTACCCACGCCGCGTACGTACCGGATTTTACACCGCTCGATTTTACACTCTAATACTAATTTCCTCGATTTTTAGATTCTTTGAAGAAGCCCCTGGACGGTACGGTGCCCGGATTGGGTACTCTGCGGTACCACGGGGCCATGCCTTGTACGGTACACGAGGCCAGGTTGCTCGTGCACAATCAAACCGAATGCTTCGATATGATCAATAGTACCGGGAACGATCCTAATCTCATCGAAAACGCCTTCTGCGCGGGGTACTTGCAGGGAGGGATCGATACTTGCCAGGTAAGATGTACGGGGGGAAGTACCGAGATTTAGTGTACCTGGGGGAGTACCGGAAGTACCTAATTAGAGCATTTGCAGGGAGACAGCGGTGGGCCTCTACAAGGTTTGAGCGAAAGTGGCAACTACGTGCTTGTCGGTACGTATTTATTGGTACTACTTTGCATCGATAAATATTTTGCATCGTTCTGAAGCGTTCTAAATGGTTCTTCGGTACTTACAGGTATAGTTTCGTTCGGTTTCCGATGCGCAGTACCCGGTTTACTGGGCATGTACACCGACGTCGCGCAGTACGTGGATTGGATAAAAGAAAAATCCGCCGGGCAATTGCAAATAGTACCGGTTAAAGACGAACACGCCATCGGTACAAACAGTGAGTTAATTAATAATATCCTTCTTATACTCAAAGGTTATAAATTATTGATAATGACGTCTCGGAATCTACAGCGAATCACAGCGCTCGATTGTATTAAGCGACCAATAGAAAGTTTCGTCGAGTAGTGACGTCATTATCGAGTATTTTAGGTGTAGTAATTCGGTGATTGTTTTTTCGCAGATGAGAGTGAGAGTGCGCCCCATAAACACCATAAAAAGGGGCATTTATGGCGACCCTACAGGCGCCCCATAAGGATTATAATCTACAAGAATAATAAATGGAACGTGGAAACCAAAATGGTACTACACCGGCCTATAATCAGGAGCAAAAGGGTTCCGAATTGAACGCTCGTTGTGTATAAAATGTATTTAATTTTTTTTTAAGAACAATCTTAAATAAATAATAATACGCTCACCGTAACTAGATTAAATGAAATAAAAAAATACATTCGAAATGATTTTGAAAAAATTCGCGGAATGGAAATTCCCCCTTATGTACATTTTTTACACTTTGATTTCTCAAGCGAACATGTCCCAAAAGCCTCCATTAAATTCACCACATTTAAGTATCCCCAGTGACAGAATCTTGGGGACACCCTGTATGCTCCTTTTTAACTTTAATTCGAATCGATTAGAGTTAAAAAGGAGCCCCAACACGGCCGTAAAGCTTCGCATAAAGTTCCCAAAATGTCCCTCGTTAAATGCACATTTTAAAGCATCCCCGAAGGGCAGGATCTTTGGGACACCCTGTACGATCCTTTAATAAATAACATTCGTAGAAGTTTTCGTGACGTTCGAAGAAATGGCCTCCTCCAGATTGCTGTCTAATTTGTGATAATTAGCGGAATTCGGTCTTCGGCCTCTGTATTGTCTCCGGTTTCTCTTTCCCTCCAACATAAGGGCCATTACCTGCAAGCGAGACAGACATATTTCATCTTATATAGTTAACACGAGCTCGCGCAGCACGCGAGACACTCCTAACCACCTAATCTAGCTAGTACTAGGGAATATTTGAACAAGATAAGACCTGTATCGAGTGATTATAAGCTCGCGCAGCGTGCGAGACGCCTCTAAAGAGTCTATACAGCTAGTACTGTGGTTACCTTAACTCTATTGTGGTACCCGACGTAACCCAAAACGACCAGTACGCAAACAACCATGAAATAGGACATGAAGTACGATTCCCCGTCGATTTCCTCCGCATTTTCCACGTTGATTGGGTTCTCTTGGAGAGTATCGGGCTTCTTATCGGGCATCGGTTTTTCTTTTTCTACAATCACAAATTCTAGTTAACGAACGAGTAAAGGGGGGTACTTTAGCATCATCCTAGTACCTTCCTCTGCGGGAGGTTGTTGTTGATTGTCCAAGGGGATGGTGTCGTCGTCGGGGTTGTTGTAGTTCAGGTTCCCCTGCTCTTCCATTTCGTTGTCGGGTTCGAGCGGTGGGGGTTTCTGTTTGTCGATGGAGACTTCGGGGGGTTCCTGTACGGGGGCTTTGGTGGTTGGTACCGTTAGAGCGGGCTTGATTGGGACATCTGCTTTGTTAGTGGGTTCTTCGGGGATCGGTTCTTTCGGTTCTTTATCGGGTTCCGATGGCTCCGATTGTTTCGCAGGTTCGACCGCTACCAACGGTTTGATTTCGTTTTCCGGTTTCTTAGGTGCGACTAGAAGATGAATAATTCGTATTACAAGTAATCGAAGATGAATAAGTTAACGAGTTACCAGATTCGTTCAACGTTTTCGGTTTTTCCTTGGTATCATCATCAGTATTAGCTTCAGGTTTAGGAGGATCGGGTGTGACCGCCATTTTAGGTTTAGTATCTGGCACAGGTTTCTCATTACTCGGTTCGTTCATTTGTTGCGTAATTGGCTGTATAACCGGTTGCTTATCCGAAGTAGGATTTAATCGAGTGTGATAATAGTGTGCGAGTAAACATTCGGGGGCGAATTTCTCGTCGAGATTGCCGCATAAGAGTATGCAACGGTACGGTGAGATACCATCGGGTTTAAACAGGTTTTTGGAGTAATTAGCGACGCCTTGGCATATCTCCGAAAGGTTGTACGATGTGCTGGTTTCCTCTAATGTAGGATAGTGAATTTGGCTGGTGTTCGATTTGCAGTAGGCCATTATGCGATCGTAGTAGAGCAGGCATTTGACGTTTTGCGTGTTATTGGATGTTAGTTGTGCGGTTTTTGTGATTTCTGCGAGGTTTATGCAATTTTTGAATACTTCGTTTTCTTGTTTCATCAGTTCCGATGCGTTGGTACATGTATTATTAATGGCTGTGTAGAATGTGTTTTGGGTTAGGGTAGGCTGAATTGATGGGATTCTTCCGGCATGGACGAATATTATCATCAAACTGCATATTAACTCGAATAAGGCCATGATTCTAAAACAATAAGAATAGAGGATATTATAAACATAACCTCTTTTTTTATAGATATTAACGTTACTAACCTTTCTATTCGATATGAATGATTAAACTAAGGGCATTTTTACGAAAAATACGCTAAAATAAACGGGTGAAACGACAATTTTTAGGAATTATCAGATCAATTTTATTTGACGTTTTTTCAACTATTTCTGACGTTTTGAGATAAAAATCAAATGACACTAATGGCATTTCTTTTCGTTGTTATCTTGCCTTTTACTTCATAAATACCTAATCATTATAGCTCCATAGTTTATCAATTATTTAACTAAACAATAACTGAAAATTAATAATAATAAAAAAAGGTCATCTTTTAGTACCTAATTTTGCTATTTTGCCTATAATTTCACTTATTATTTATTATTAATACTATAAAAAAAGAAGAGTTTAACATACATTTGACATTTGACATATAATGTTTTTGGGCTCCTCCTCCGTTTAGTAATCGAGATTTTGAATTAATTTTTGAACAATACAAGATATTTTTAAATAAATAAAATGAGCGATTATAGCAGCGACGAAAACGACGATTATGTTTTGTACAAAAACAGGCCGGAATGGAGTGATATTACGCCATTAGCACAGGACGATAACGAAGAGCCCATTGTTGCTATCGATTATACCGAGAATTGTAAGCTAACCTAACAAATATACTATTTAATATCGCACTAATCGATTTCAATAAATAATATCTTATAATTGGTATAAATATATAAATACGTCGTGTGTTTCAGTCAAGGATTGCTACGATTATTTCCGAGCGATCGTGCAAAAGAAAGAAATATCGGAGAGGGCTTTGGAATTGACACAAACAGCTGCCAATTTAAACCCAGCCAACTACACAGTATGGCAATACAGGTGAAATAACGTCTCATTATTTTCGAAACGAATCCAAAAGGTTTTTTCAGACGAGACATTCTCAAAGGACTCGACAAGGACCTGCACGAGGAGCTCGAATTCGTCGAGAAAATCATCCTGAAACAGTCCAAAAACTACCAAGTCTGGCACCACCGCAAAGTCCTCGTCGAATGGCTGAAGGACCCTTCCAAAGAGAAATATCTCACGGAACATGTCCTTTCCAAGGACGCCAAGAACTATCACGCCTGGCAACACCGGCAATGGGTCATTAAAACATTCAAGTACGACTAAAACACCCTGTATAGTATGAAATTATATTTATAATTTGTAGATTGTACGATGGCGAGTTGGATTACGTGGATCTACTGCTAAAAGACGATATACGCAACAATTCCGCTTGGAACCAACGGTACTTTGTTATAAACAACACCACCGGTTTCACCGAGGAGGTTCTACGACAGGAAATCGAGTACACCCTGTCCCGCATAAGAGAGATCACCGAAAACGAGAGCGCCTGGAATTATCTCAGAGGGTAAATACGCCTTGTGAAATCAGTAGTAAAAGGCCACTTTATACAACCATGCTTCATGTATTGAGCTCGAGATCACATTGATAAAAGGCCACTTTATGCAACGTTGTTTCAGGTTGTTGTTGCACGACAAGGCGGGCTTGAGCAACAACACGACGGTGAAGGCGTTCGTGGAGGAGTTGTACGAATCGAACAACAGATCGCCATTTTTGCTGGCCATTATAGTGGACATGTGCTTGGAGCAAGTAGGCGCTGGCGGGGGAGATTCGAATTATAGCGCGAAGAGGGCCGTGGAATTGTGTAAGGATTTAATGGAGAAATTCGATACGGTTCGAGCGAATTATTGGCAACACATGCTGGATAGTATCGGGAGTGAGTCCGGTGAAGGAACTAGCGGAAATTGAGGTTAGGTAATTATTTACAGTGTAATTGGATGTATTATGAGCTGAAACGATTTGTAAACTGATCGTTTTTAATGCAGTTGTGCGGTTAATTTATTTTTGTTGCGGATGGTTAGATTTCTTCGTGCAGATTGATGATTCGTTCGTACAAAATAAAGATCCATTCCAATCTCATTTAATTTAATTAAAATGTAAATAAAAAACATCTTCAAATGTCCCTAAAATAACTTTAATAATAATAGAGATTATCAATTTAACGCGCCCTGTATAATAATTACACAAAGCACACTGAACGTATTATGTAAATTTATAATTTAAAATAATCTGGTTGAATAAAGAGTAAGGAAAGGGCCCCTCGATGCCAAAATAGTGTACGGAGGGTGGTTGGAAAATTAAAATGATTTTTTTTGAAAAAACAAATAGCACGATTTTCCTAATCGTGGGACACCTTGTATATAAAAAAATGCTTATAATTTAAGAATGAATTAAAATTAAATCAAAAACTTATACATACAGTAAAATTCTATAAAATATATCAGTAATCGAATAATAATAATCATTAAATCAATTCCACAACAAAATGTGTGAAAAAAGATTTAATATTCCTTCTAATTCCTCTCTAAAGCTATTCCTTCGTTTCTTCTTCTTCTTCGTTTTCTTCGTCTTCTTCCTCCTCCCAATCGTCCATTAATTTATTGACGTTCTGTACCGCTTCGACTTGCTTCGATTTCTCTTCCACTGGCAATTCCTAAAATTCCATAATTAATCAATCGAAAATTCTCGATTTTTAATTATCTACGAGGGCAGGGCGAAAAGTTCTCGAGCTAGATCATTTCAAACAGTCTAACTTTCTAGATAGCTCCTGAATCAATCAGAACTGTGTACAGCGCTTCAGAACCATTTAGAACAGTCTAGAACAAATCTAGAACGCCCCAGAATCAATTAGAACCGCCTCGAACCAAATATTTCGACCTAACGAAGAGATCAATGTAATTTTTCAACCGAAAATCGCGCTCTTTCATTTCTCCGTTTTTCACCTCACCCTCGCACATACTATACAGCATGTCCCAAATAAAACGTCGAGCCGTAACACCGCTACGGGACATCCTGTATAATCTAAAATAAAAAATACCCTTGGGTAGTTACCCGAGATTCCGCCTCAGCGCTTTTGTCCCCTTCCTGCGAATCCGTATCGTCCCAATCGTCCAAAATAGTCTTATTAATATCATCCGCAGGATCTTTCGCCTGTGAATCCCGCGATATAACATTCGATTCTACTTCTTTTCCGTCTCGTTCTTCTTCTTGTTCTTTCTGATCCGTTTCATACGCTACTTGATTGTCTGCAAAATACATTTAATAGAAATGCGTTTTTATTAATGTATGAAATCCTCCAACCTGATCCAACGGAAGGTTCGGGTTCTTCCGAGACGATTTCCTCTCGCTTATCCTCTTCTTTTTCGGCTTTTCCATCGACCTCCATCGCCTCATCCAGATCTCCCGCGATCTCCTGAACCTCTTCCACGATCTCCTGAGCCTCGTGCAGATCTGCGATCTCCTGAGCCTCTTCCACCACCTCCGGAAGCTTCTCAGAACACTGGGTATCAGACTGTGGAGGAGCCACGTCGATTCCTCGAGATTGCTCATCCGTTGTTTCCACAACTTGCTACACATTTATTTTACCAGTTAATATGTAAAATACACCAAAAAAAATCTCACCTTTGCATCACTCTCTTCACCGTCTCCCGCCTTGTTTTCATCGTCTTCATCGACTTCCATCGTTTCCTCCCCGTTTTGGACGTCATCTTCGCGGGTAGCGGTCTCACCCAGGTCGCGGTGCTCGTCCTCCCGGGAGATTTCTATGTGCGGATGTGCCTCCATCAGCGAACTGGAGGCCTCCATCTCCAAGGCGTCGCCGCCGGGCGCCTCCTCGAGCTCCAACGAGCCGCCGCCGCCGCCGGTGAGGTCCGGCATGCTCTTGAAGCCGCCCGCGGGCGCTCCGGCGGCGTAGAAGGGCTCCGACTCGTCCTTGAGCCCCGTGGTTTGATTGTCGATCTCGCGCTGGATCATCTCGATGGATTCGATGGGCGAATCACCCGGATTCGCCACGAGGATCTGGTTGGCCGTGGAAGTTGCGGAGATGGGAGGGCCGTTGCGGATTTCTAGCAGGCCGGTCTGGGAGTTTACCATCAGATTGCCCTGGTGGGGGGAGGAAAAATCGGGGTTTTTTTGTTGAGAATTTTCGGTTTAAAAATTAGTAGTAGGTACGAGGGTGAGGTGAAGAGTTCTCGATAACGAAAGAACGCGATTTTCGGTTGAAAAAGTTCATTGGTCTAATTGGTTCTGGAACGTTCTAAATGATTTTAGGCAGTTCTAAAGAATTCTAGACAGTTCTAAAGCACTCTAGAGAGTTCGTAGAATCGTCCTGAAACGTTCTGAATGATTCTGAACAGTTCTAAATCACTCTAGGCAGCTCTAATGAAATTTAGACAGGTCTAAATGATTTCGAACTATTTCGAATCGTCCTGAAGCGTTCTAAATAGTTCTGGAGCATTCTAAACGGTTCTAAATCATTCTAGACAGTTTTCAATGACCCGTAGAGAGTTTAAAATGATTCAGGAGCGTTCTAAACAGTTTCAATTGATTAAGACTGAGAACTCTTCACCTTACCCTCGTATTATTCAACATACCTGCGAGGTAATAAACTGGCCCTCTTGACCGTCCACCGGATGACTGTATAAAACTACGATATTCGAATTCTCCGGGTTCTGTCCTTCGTGTTCTTCAGGATAATCGTGATCCGTCAGAACCATCACCAATTCATCAGTGGAAGCTATATCGCCCGTACTGCTTTGTATCATACCTACGAAACGATTTAGTATCGATTAATTGAATAAAATATAAAAAAAACCAAGGCTTACTTTGATGTATAACGGTATTATCCTGCGCGTGGGCGCTAATCACCTGCCCGGCGAAGGATTGACCGGCGTGCCCGCCCATACCGGGCAGTATGTACTGCCTGTTATCGTCCAGCACCACTATATCGACCAGATTTAACCCCCCCGTAATCCCTTCAATCCCCTCACTCTCGCCCCTATTCTCCCCGTCTCCCTCTAACACCTCACTGTTCACCGGCACGTTAGAAATCACGTTAACTTTCTCCTTTTTCAACACATCCGACAGCATGATATCGCTTATGTCCATCTCGTGCGGGTACTCGATCGAGTCCTCCATGGAATCGAGCTCGTCGAGGCCTGCTATGCCGTCGCGTTTGCTCTCGTTCGCGTGCGTTCTGCGCAGATGCGCCATCAGATCGAGCCCCGATTGGAGCTTCTTCATGCAGTACTGGCAATCGTAGGCGGCCTTGCCGGGTTTGTTGTAGTGCCCCGTTATCCGGATGTGCGACGACAGGTGTAGCGTAGAGTCGAAGGCCAGCTTGCAGTCCTGGCATTGGATCTCGTTGGAGTTGTGCGTGAGCCGATGTTTATCCAGTTTGTCGATGTTTAGAGCTACAATTTAGAATGTTTATTAGAGGTATATTAGTGTGTCCCTCGGAAGGTAACGTACCGATGTAAGGGCATTTATCGCATACGGGGAAGTTGTGCCCCAATGGGGGTTTCAGGGCGTGCTTGATGTACATGTGGTAGAGCATCAGCTCCTGATCGGGACATCTCCTGCCGCAGTACTTGCACAAGCGCTGGTCGAACACCTCGTCGTGCACGTCCGTCATGTGTTTCCTGTAGAGGTAGTAGAGGACGAATTCGGGGGCTTCGCCCCCAGCGCGTTGGGGGCACTTCGTGCACGTCCAGGGGCCCTCGTGTTCGTCGCGGTCGGGCCGTGGGTGTTTCCGGTACTGCTGCTGGGGCGCCGGTTGGGGCGGTTGGTGGTGCTTTTGGGCGGCGTCGGGCTGGAATGCGAAAGGTTTTAGATGGTTTTTTTGGATGATTTTGAATGGTTGTAGAGGGTTTCGGGGCTTGATGAATGGTCCTGGAGAGTTCTAGATGGTTTTGGAGTGTTCTAAATGGTTATAGATGATTCTGGAGAGTTCTAAATGATTCTGGAGTGTTCTAAATGATTGAGGAGAGTTCTAGATGAGTCTAGACAGTTCTAAATGGTTGTGGTGCGTTCTAAATGAATGTAGACTGTCTACATTATACATGATTGTTAATTTTATGATACAGGGTGTCCCATACAACCCGTAAGTACCTGATTATTGGAGGATCTCTTGACGGGCTCGCAGACGGCCCTGACGATTTTCCTATCTTTCTCGTTGGCATCCTTGTTGCCCGGCATGATTTTCAGCTTGATGTTTTTGTTTTTCTTGACGATATCCGGATACTTTTTCAATATTTCCGTGACGATTTTCGTGTGATCGATGGAACCCGCCGTGCTGCTTTCCACGCTAATGGTGGTTTCCAACAGTTGGCTGTGGTCCTTTTGGTCCTTTTGGTTGATTTTCATCTTTTTCGATTGGGGTTTGCCCTGTTGATCGGCTTTTCTCTTTTGCGTCATTTCATCGGCTACAATAATAATACGTTTAGTGATGATTTGATGAATGAATAGGTAACTTACGATCTTCGAACATGGTGGATCTAATTCTCTGTTCTTTGGCGAATTCCTCGAGATCCTTGAAATTCAACGAGTTATTCGGGCTTTTTGTGGAACTTTTCTTCGTAGGAATCTCCACGTTGTTCCTCAAATCGTCGAAATTCAGTTTCACCTGCAAGACACATATGAAATGTAACCGTTCGTTAACACCACAAAAGGCCTTTTAGCAACTATCAACTATACGCAACACTCTGTATATAAAGCCAGGTAGTACCTTCTCCTCTTCTTCTTTAGTTAAAAGTGGCCGGCTGGTGTACGAGATGTCTTCGAAATTCGAATCGAGCATAGTCATCGCTGGCAACTCATCCTCGGGCCATTCGAATCTAGTAGGCCTTGGTGGATTATTGGAAGAATCGCTCCATTTTGATTCAGTGTGCGCGGGATTCCCTGGACCTCCACGAGCTACCGTAGTAACAACCGCAGGGGCTCTTCTCTTCCAGCCCTGCGGTTTCCGGCCCGGAAGCGAAGAGATATCTGGCTGGTGTCTGGCTTGAGCAGGCCGCTTGTCCTGCTTGGGTGGCTGTTTGATCGGTTTGGTAGAGACCTTTTGGGCGTCGAGGAGTTTGGTTAGCAGTGAGATGTTCATCGTTTGGGCCGCTCGGTACAATCGATCCGAGAGGGATATGTGGAACTCCAGCATACCTGTGAAATAGTTCGATTGTATCATTGAGTAATAAACAAACGGTGCGTTTGAACTACCTACCAGTGTACATGAAATTGACGATAGGCACGATGACGTCTGATTGGAGCTCGTTAGGCATTACGATGGTGTTCTTCTCGGTGGTGTATCCAGTTTTCTCCAGGAATTTGAAGTAATCCGTGCAAGCGTTGATGACCAACCGGTGGACTTTCAATTGGACGTTTCCCTCGAATTGCAACGTCAGATCGCAGTAGTCCGTGGTGGCGAAGAAGACTTGGAGGCGTTGGAGGAAGAACGTGCCCCAATTTTCCAGTTTGATTTTCTTCAGTTGCTCCACCATGTTTGTTTCGAAGTTTTCCTGGAAAATACACTCGAAATTAGTCGTTTTCACAGTAAAATTGAATTAAAAAAAATTAGAAAACGAACTGTCAAATAAATGTCATTTTTCGCCGGCCTACTACTAATTGTTTTTACAAGTTAGAAATTTAATTAAAAAAACAACAAAGTGTGCTAAAATGGCATACGAATAAGCGGCGTCATTTTTACCCAGCCTACTAACCCCAAACTCCCTTCATAACGCCGATACTACAATATTATCCGAAAAATTTACTGTCGCTAAACGAAATACAATTAAAATAACCATTTTAAATATTCAACTGACCTTTTTAGTTATGAAAATATTAGCTCCATCTTATCACAAGCTTCCAAAACGTGCCGTAATCTTCCCGAAACGATCAATGATACGGCATCGTATTGTCAAATCGGCTGTCCAGGTGGCGCTTCTCGTGGCGGCAAATTTGAAAATTCGTCACGAAAGCTTCGCTAACGACGGTAAATTTGTAGCAATTTAGTTAATTAACAATACAAATTGATTAATCGCGGTGAAATTCGATTAATAGAACGGTTAATTTAGATAAAAAGCAAACCGTACGTACGCGATTAAATCGATTTTTAGTGATATTGACAAGGCACAGATGGCGCTGTTGTCATAATTAATAACTTGTTTAATTTTTTAGTTAAGTTTCAACAGTGAAGTAAGTAGTAAATAAAACGATGCTTGTTAATGACAATTACAAGTACATACTTAAATACGTTTGTTAATTCAAAGTGCACGTAAAAGTGTACTAGAATGTGTATCAAATCTGGCAACTACGCGTTCCCATCGATGTGACGTAAGGCTTGGCAACATTGCAAATGCTCCGAATCACGAATCAGCCGCCATCTTAGTTGTCGAACCGTAATCGTTTGTTGTCCGTTATTTTCGCATTTAAAGTGAGGCATTTCCTTCGGGAAATGGAAATTATACATTTGGATCGGAAGAAAAACAAGTGCGCCGCTTTTATTCGGGAATAAATTACAGGTGGGTGTCGAAATTATCGATAAATCGCTCGTTAAACGGCCTACTAGATTCGGGCGCCAACGCTATGTTTGACATACATAAACGTCAACAATGAGGATGTTTGTGTTGTTATTTATTTTTCGTTTATATTTCTCGAAGTTCAATATAAAATCGACTAAATAATATATAATTCAACCCTAAATAAACTTCAGTTAAGGAAAATAATATATACAAACGTCAGTAATTAGGTCAAGTATTCGAATTCCTCTTCATACTATGCAGTTTTAATCTACTAATAAAGTACTCTAAAATCACGTTTACAAGTTCGTTTTAATATGTTGCAGGTGTAGAATTATTTCAATCGGTTCTAAGGATAATCGAATATGTTTTACGCCCATTTCGTGCTGGCCAAAAAGGGCCCGTTAGCCAGAATATGGCTGGCGGCCCATTGGGACAAGAAACTGACCAAAGCGCACGTGTTCGAGACCAACATAGAGAAATCCGTCGATGGGATCCTACAGCCCAAAGTCAAAATGGCCCTGCGCACATCGGGGCATCTCCTGCTAGGAGTCGTGAGGATCTACTCGAGGAAAGCGAAATATTTATTAGCGGATTGTAATGAAGCCTTCGTAAAAATCAAAATGGCCTTCAGGCCTGGCATGGTGGATTTGCCTGAAGAGCATAGAGAAGCAGCAGTAAATGCCATCACGTTACCCGAGGTCTTCCACGATTTCGACACCACCATGCTAGAACTCAAGTAGGTCCCTCTAACGGCTAATTTCCCAGTTTTTTTTTCAATCCGTTTATCGTAGTGACGTAGACATCGAAGCCCAGTTCAGCATCAACCAATCCAGAGCCGAGGAAATCACGATGAGAGAGGATTACAGTCTATCGATGGTGAACCAACATCATCACGATGACGGTTTCGGAGACATCGGCTTCGATTCGGAGGGCCCGGATTTGATGAGGCACGCCTCCGGCATGACGCCTTCCATGGAACAGAGCAATTTGTTGTTCAGCGAACCCGTTCTGGATCCCATGGGGTTGGATAAGGATTCGTCCGAGCCGGTACCGTCTACATCGGGTACCCAACAGCACCAGCACAGACAGGAAGTTTCGATGGAAGTCGATGCCGTGGTTAGAGATGATGGATTCGGTGGATCGATCGATAATAATATGATAGGTAGTTTGCGAAATGGTTTTTATCAAGGAATAATTTGTTAATTTTGTGTGTGTGTGTGTGTATAACAGCCGGTGGACTCTTCGAAGGCGGTTTGTTCGACGATGCTCCCATGGGGGAAGTACCGGTAGTGGATCCCTCCATGCCGGATGTGGGTCAAAGTATGGCGGATCATCCGGATAGCGATGACGACGGTATGGATAACTTCGGAGGACCACCATCGGTCGGTGGATTAAGGTAACCCGCTCATTTCAACTAATAGAGTGGTTTAATTGATGATTGTTTTGTTGGGGAACAGTTCGGACGGTTCGCGCCCGCCCACCTCGATGGGGCAGCTCCCCAAGGCGGTCACTCCGGCGCCTTCGGATCAACCGGAACCGGCGGTTTCGGAGCAATCCCAACGTGAAGAACCCGCCGTACCGGCCATCGAACAGACTACGTTGTTGCACAACGAAGAGGAGAGCTTCGCACTGGCGCCCGTAGATGCCGCACAATTGAAAGGTACCAACCTAAGGAAGGTTCGATTAAATCTGAAACCGTTCCGTTATTTGTGGAGACTCCCACCTCTACACTAATACGATTGTATTTAGTGCTACCTTTTTAACGCTAATCAGAATCTATAGTTACTCTGTAACAACCAATGTAAAACTGTTTAGTATAACTTAACAAGAAAGGTGCTGAATACCGTTGAATTGACGTAGTAATTAGAGGTGGGCGTTTCGATTTGCAACAGTTATTTTTACATCGTTTCTCGTTAGGTTTGTCGAAGGCGAGAAAGAAGAGGAAGCTGATCGTGGACGAAGTGAAAAACATATCGGGCGAGGAAATGAAGAACCAATTGAGCGATACGGGCGACGTCGTGACGACGCTCGACCTGGCGCCGCCTACAAAGCGATTGATGCATTGGAAAGAAACGGGCGGCGTGGAGAAATTGTTCGCGTTGCCCGGCAGAATCATACCGGCCAGGGTGTTGTTCAAGAACTACCAAAGGCATTTGTCGCTGCGATCGATCGGTACCGAAGATTTCGGCGTTTTAGGCGACGCCGATTCGCTGGCGTTGGAACAAGGTAGAGACAACGACGATTCGCACGCGGAACCGACGCCGACGCCCACCAGGAGAGGACGCAAGAGAAAAGTGGTGGAAGAACCGGTAATTTTACGAAGTCACTCCCCGTTTCTATTATCGTTAAATTGCTTGTTTTGTTGTGGCAGAATCGGACGCCGTTCCACGTTCAAGAGGACCTCCACAACGTCCATCCGGACGCCACGCCGACGCCCTATCCCCTGGTGCCTCCCAGCCCCTATCGCAGGACGAACACGCCGCTGCCCCCTAGCCCCTATCCGCCGACGCCCTATCAAATGTCCATGGTGTCCCAGGATGTATCCAGCGAGATGATGCCTCACACGCCCGGTACGTCCAATTCTTCTTTTATTTAAAGTCTCCTGTGAAAAATAGGAACTCTCGTTTTTCGTGATTTTCTCGGAAAATACCCTGACGAATTTTTCGAAACTTTCCCAAAATATTCTTCATATCATTACTAATAACCTATCGCCAACCGCATGTCTCGGAAAATCTCGGTAGCGACGATCAACCAGGAAAATTGACGGTATAATTTTCGTTGTAGGTTTGATACCGCCGGTCACGCCCGGTTTGTTGGCGCCGCCGGGCACGCCGGGCATGATGTACCCGCCGTCGGGCGGCTATCCGGGCCCCCCGACGCCGCTGCAACATATAGAAGACATGCCCCATTTACCCGCCGATCAAGTAAGTCGATTCGCTTCGAAACGACCGTTCGTTTTTAATGATAATCGAACGAATTTCAGGTACATTCGATACTGCAAGAGCAGGAAAACATGTCGTCGATGACGCCCTCGCACTCGTCGGATTTGCTCGGTGGCCACGCGGGCGTCCCGACGCCGCATCATTCGGGCATCGACGCCAATTTGCCGTTGGAGCCTTTGGAGAATCTCCAACACGATCTGTCCGCTATGGAAAACATGGGATACGATCAGGTACATATTGTCTTCACTATTAATACTTAATAATCAATTAATTATGTTTATTTATTTAAGAACCAAATGGCTAATATGGGTTACGATGAGGGTCATCACGGCAACATGTCCGAAAGGGTGCATTCGCCTTGGAATAACGATTATGATTTCGAACCGGCGCCGGTGAGTTAATCTACAACTAAAATTTCGATTTGTATATATTTTTTTTATTTAATTATTCGTGTTTGAAGATTGAAGAACAATTGGCGGACGAGACGGAGGAGCAATTCGCCGAGAGGGTGTTGAACAAGAGGGCTTATCAAATGTATCAAGTGCTCAAGAGTAAGTTTGATATGGTGGAGAAAGTGACGTTCGAAGAGATGACTCTGAGGAATAACAAGAAGCTCGTAAGTGTTGATTTGTTTTAGTGTGTGTGTTTTATTGTTAATTTATTTTTATTTTGTTTTTCAGACGTCGCAGAAGTTTTATAGTTTGTTAGTGTTGAAGAAATTTCACGTTTTGGAACTCGCGCAGGACGAACCGTACGGGACCGTTACAGTTATCAAAGGACCGAAATTTAATAATCCGGCAATGTTGTAAACGATTTCTTTTTCGTCTAATTTTTTTTCTATTTTACACGAGAAGAAGTACAAATTGTAATTTATTGTTTATACTTTATTGATTTGTACTTTATTGTTTATGTACTAGGTACTTTTTATTTAATTACGTCATTTTCTATCTAGGTTGATTTTTTTTATTCAATCTTCCTTTACACATGTCACATAAATTATATAAGAGATGTAAATTTAAAAAATAATAAAATTTTGTAAATACCTAACGTTTGTTTTATTGCATATTCATCCGTTTTCTTTTTAATAATAAAGTTTTGACAGTTTTCTTTCACTTTTGGCAGTTTTACATTAGACCCTTTGGTGCATTTCAGTTTACAATATGGTCATTTCTATGAGTTGAACAAAGAAAGATTAATAAAATGACAGTTGTAGTGAAAAGTTGCACTGATACCACCCATCACCCTTTCTTTTTCCTTTATAACTGTCTAATGGGTCCTTGTCGCACCCAGCCTTTAAATAATCTACATGCAAACTAAAATGAATTAACTCGTTTACATAAATAATAGTCGTTATAGTTAGACAACCACCATTACAAACTGTGCAATTAAAGTGTCCGGTGAAGCGCCTAGTAAAAGGCCTCGTAAATATGAATCCAGAAGATATAACCTAACTTCATCTTGAATAAATATGGAGATTTTTGTCGTAATTTTTTAAAACAATACATTTTATAGCTAATAATAAAATCATGCGAAAGTTTATAGTTTACAGTGCGTGTATAAAAACTAAAACCGATTGACTCGAGCCTCTTCCTGCGTAAATTATCCATTTTTTTACTGGACCAGGATGGGCCAAAACACCAGCGGAATGCCAAGTAAGTAGAATAAAAATTAATTTATTTATATATAAAGTTTGTCACGTTATAATTCCATTCGTTCCGTATCGAAGAGAGTTAGTAGTATTATAAATCTTATGTAATTTTATTTATCAATAAGTAAACTAAGCGTTTGTTTTGTTTACATATTGTCCTCCCTAATATTCCGCAAAGTTGTGAATTTTTTGCGAATCTTTTTGATATATGGCAACCTTGGGATAAGTTACAAATATCCAAAGTCTGCTAATTTGTGTTTATTTTCAATAAATGCATCACTTTTTCTATTTTGTAATAACATTTGCATGTACAACAAATTGGATAATGTATTTTTTTTCAACAGCTTAAGGTCAAATCATTTATTGTTATTTAAGTATATGATAAGTATAAAAATTTAGTTTAAAAGTTAGTTTTTTGCATTTAATATGACGCATAGCAATATAGCCAATTTCAATGAGTTGAATAAAGAAAGATTTGTGAAAGAAACAGTGGGTTAGAGTGAGAAAGTTGCAAATCCCACACAATATATGTCTTTCTTTTTCCTTTATATGAGACTTGTAGAAGTTGTCTTTGTTGCACCCGTAACTTATATTGCAAGCAAATTTGTACTTACTCAGGAGCGAATCGAATTTTTTGTATATTTTTGAGTATAATTTTTTCCTTATTTTGAGTAATTGCTCAGAAATTTCTGAGACTTTGAGGCTAAAGAGAATCTTATAATTTATAATTAATATCTATAAATGTCAATTCTAATAGGTTAAAGAAAATAATAAAAATTGAGATGGGAGAAATAAAAAAGAGGATTTCAAATATTCGTGGTTTCAAAAATTTCAAATTTTCATAAAAAATTGAACAAAAGGAGTATCTTATGATGCCAATTTTGAAAAATTAGAATTGCGAAAAATGGAATTGAAAAATATGAAATTTTTATGAAAAAATAAGCAATTCTGATGCATATTTCATATAAATTTTGCGAAAAATGAGAATTAAAATAATGAAAATAAACTTTTTTATATTTGAATATTTTCAGCAAATATCATATTTGATCAAGATTTCTTGCATACATTCCCAACTTTATTCATAACAACAATTACAATAATATTACACTCAAATTAATCTGTAACCTCCCAACACTAGAACATCCCTATAAATTATTATAAGAATACTCATTATTTACGCATCTGCATGATGGCAAATTTCACTTTAGCCAGGTAAAAAAAAAGGAAGATTCACCCTCGCAATGAGCGAAAACACGCCATTCGATATCCTCTCACCTGGACGATTTCTCTCCTACCTCATTCAAACGAAGGAGGGTTATAAGTTTTCGAAAAACCACCCTAATTTCAAACCATTCAATCTCCCACTAGTTACATATGGTAATAATTCCGATAATAACAATATCCCGAATCGATGCCATTCAGAATACATTCTCGTCACCTGGTCAAAGGGGTAGCTTCGTAAAAATTGATATTTTCCAAAAGAGAAAGTCTCTCATTGTTACTTATTCTTCAACATCTGCTTCTATTTCAACAATATTTCAACTAAATTAATCGATTATCTAAGCAAGTATATCCTCGTAGAAATCGGTTGTACTCGCACGAATCGAGTTTAATCCACAATAAGCCGGATTAATAATAAATCCACGATTATTTATCCAATCCAATAACGTTTTGTTCGATAAAAACTACACAATTTCCCCTATACAACGCGATGTAAGATGTAATTACGAATCGTCAGCTGGTGATACCGAGAGACACCTTGCGCTGATCAATTTTAAGGGCACCTGCGGTGACCTTGCAGCCTTCCAATGTTCCTTAATTTCCTCCCGAGAGATGAGCGACCCAATCGCGACAGGTGAAATGGTAATATCGCCAATAAATATCGAAGAATAACTGGGTAATTGTCGCTCTATCAGTATGCACGATTTTACTCGAATATCTCGGGTGTTTGTAGTCGCTAACAAGGGAGAACCAGATGCCGATGCAGCGCTCCGAAAATAAATTTGTTGTAAATTTCGAAACCCGTGCACGTTATAATATGCAATCGAGCGCTGTTCGGTTATTTGGAACAAATCTAAAACCGGTAAATACCGATGCACCAAGAGGAAACCAGATACAGGACCTGCGATTTACCAATCGGGATTCGTTTGGGTTTGTTCGAAATAATGAAGTAAAACGTGCGTAGGATAAAAGAATGAATTGTTTGGCATCGGACGAAATGTATATAAAGTGGCATCTGTTGGGATAAATAAAATGTTGTAAAAATTGCGGTAAGTGTTCTTAGGCTTGTCGGCCAAATGTCGCTGTTGCATTTCGATGGGTATTCCGAAAAATTCACGTTTCGAATTTAAATACAATCATTTGCGTACCAGATGACAACTTTTCGAATAATCTGCAATACTACAATGCAAACTGCACGGCTATTTACAAGCAAAACAATTAAATTTCTCTGTATTCAAACACACCTAAAAAAACAATTATCTCTTTATGTTCTTCTTTATTGAGCCACCCTGTAAAAAATACAACTATATCTTTAGATTTCTCTATATTGAACCACACTTTAAAAACAAAGTTATCTCTTTAAACTCATCTATATTGATCCCCCCTCTAAAAATCAATTATCTCTTTAAATTCTTTTATCGAGCCACCCTGTAAAAAATTCAACTATATCTTTAGATTCCTCTATATTGAACCACCCTTTAAAAACGAAGTTATCTCTTTAAAAACTCATCTATATTGATCCACCCTCTAAAAATCAATTATCTCTATGTTCTTTTATCGAACCACCCTGTAAAAAATACAACTACATCTTTAGATTCCTCTATATTGAACCACCCTTTAAAAACAAAGTTATCTGGTTTTAAACCCCTCTATATTGTAACCCCCTCTAAAAATCAATTATTAAGCTCTTTTATCGAACCACCCTGTAAAAAATACAACTACATCTCCAGATTCCTCTATATTGAGCCATACATTACATAATATCAGGTGTCTAGTAGCCTAGTAAATGTCGAAAGCCAGTTTAGAATTTTCCCATGAACGTTTGCACACGAAGAGAGAAATGATTTATGTTAATTAGCGATAATCGAGCGAGTTTATCGATCTTATTAGTTTTTGCGTAACGCATGAAACATCTCGATCGTTAAAATACATCAATTAATTGCCCGATATACTCATAAAAGCGGATTTATTTAGAAACACTAATCGCTTCGATTCGAATACACATGTATGATATATAGTATATGTTTAGTTAAATGTGGTGTGACGTCACGAATTTGTAAAATTATCCTTTACTATCTATACGAGCGGAGGGATGCGTTAGAAAAGGAAAGAGAATTCGGGATGTAATATGCAACGGAGGAGCGGAAAATGTAAGCGACATCTGCGCGAATGCCACGAATAAATGAATATATTTAAACGGTGGAGAAACAATGGTTGGAATGGTGTAGAAACTCCGATGGGGAGAGTAAATGGCGACACATGTTCCCGTGGAAGCCGACACGTGCACAGTTTTCGCTTCAAGGGAGGGCCTCCACTCGAACTTTGTTAAGATATTCTCGGTTTTCGGAAGATTTTTTTTTCTCAGTGTAACTGCGATTGATTGTTGGTACATTGGAAAAATGGTTTGTTGCTAATTTGGTAGACTCGATGGGTGAGAAATATAGGCGATTGAGAAATGGATTATTGGAGGTGGATTATTGAGAAAGGAAATTCAAAAATCGACGGTTTGATCGTATAGAAGGATTTATCTTTAGAGTGAAAATTGAAAAAATAGGCAGTTTTTTCATTTTTTCCGCTTTTTTTTTGTCAACTTTTCTCCCAGCGAAAAGGTTGATTTCGATGTTAATCAACACGGGAAATTCAAAAATTAAATCTAAGCGTCTTTTGAGCAGTTTGTCTTCATTTATTTCAATTTTTTTGGACTTTTTGACAAAGAAAACGATCGATTCCGACGTAAATCGGTACAGCAAATTCAAATATCGACGTTTCGACTCTAGAAACTTTCATCTTCAGGTTCCAAATATAGTCAAAAACACGATTTTTCCACTTTTTCTTTTTCGAATCGAATAAGCGACCATTACAATTTTATATAATATAATAATAAAATAACTAATTAATCGTAAGTGGCAATATAGGCGTAAAGGTTTGATTAAAAGCTTCCTTTAGCTCCGACCGAGAGGTCCAATTATTAAATTGATAAGGTCATAGGTTAAACCGAGAGACCTTTTCAGGAGCAATTCCTTGTAAATTGGATAATTGGCCCCATAGCAAAAGTTCCCTTCTTTAAGAGATTCGCTCGAATATCCAACGAACACTTCAAAAAATATATTAAAACTTTCTAAAATTGGAAACGAATAATTATACCATTTTCTCGCAAACCCCCTGTTTCGGTTT